CAACACGCTGGTTGTCCGTATCATTTGGAGTATTAAAATTAAAGGCTTCCAGTCGCAAGGCGAGTGAGAATTATATACGGCAGATATCAAATCCATAAAGATGGATCCGATCGTCAGTATTTTCCATGTACATATTCCTTGTCCAGTAAATACAGTCGTTGGTACAACACGGTGTAAGTTTCCTGTGCGCTGCCAGCCTCGGGTCTTACCAACACGTATTTGGCAGAACTGCTCCCTACGCGAAAACACAATCCCAGTAACTCACGAAGAAGGTAACCTGCCGCCTATTCTGTGCAATTATTCTAACTTATAATAAGTACATAGTCTCAGGCCTCCATGGTTACATCAGTAATCCACCACTAGGGCTATGACCCTTAGGCAGTCCCAAGTTCTGGCCCGTATGTTCAACCTTCGTATTGAACACAGCCCTCAGCTAGAACGCAATATGTGAGACATACACAATGAACTTGTGGTCTAGTAGTGAACTGCCAGGTAAACTTACCTGCGCAACAATAATATTCTCGTGCCCTCTAATGGTCTTGCCCGGCAACCTTATTCTGGGGGTACTTGTGTCTTGAGGTCGAGTACTACTGCTCCTATGTACTATGTAACTTAGCACAAAAGTACTGTCTCTGAGTCATCCGATATTCGAGCAAGATATTGTAGCTCCTCGAGTTGATGTCATTTTCGTGTTCGGGTGGCCTCGGGGAGTAGACTGCCCTTTCACTACACTATGCAAGTACCAGGCTACATTATGATTATATGAAATTCAATAAAGGGACGATGATTTTCTTAGTTATGTCTATATTATTATTTTACGGCAATAAAACGATATAGCCTTTGATTGACACCATTGTATGTAAGCTAGTTAGATAACTAAGCGTTACAATCATAAGTCTTTATAATGAAAACTAACCGGAATAGCCTCGAAAGAAACGAGAGCACCGTGCTCATGTAAGGCAAAGTCTATTATGAATACCCCTTCGAATCGAGTCATACTGATAGTCCCGGCCTTGTCATTTTACATTCAACTTAATACTGTTGGATTAAGTATTCTAACAGGTATATCCCACCACGTCCAAGAGTTATCAACAGAAGAAACCTTAACTCTATAACTTCAAAGAGTTTAGCCTATATCTTCCCATTTGATTGTAAGCTTGAATACATAGCTAAGCTATCAGACGTTTAGAATTTAGCACTGCCATTATAGGTACATATCTACAAGAGGGACACATGACAACTATGTACATACCTCTCTTCTCAACCCATGCCTTATGTTATGTGAAGCTCATTAATCGTGCCCTTTTCAAACATGAATCGTAAGAGGTTACCAATTCCTTGTTGGCAAGTGGAGCAGGGAAGTGTTGAAAAAGGAAGATAGGTAGGTACCTACATAGTGTTTCGTATGCCAAGATTCTATAGGCCTGAAGGAGGAATGCTTGAAATGTGGGGTGATGCTGTGCTACGCGGCAGAAGCAATACGTACCGAGATAGCCCCATGGGCATCTGTGGGGCATTCTAGGGTTTTCCATCTGATCGGCTCAAGCAAATCGGTTCTGGACCTTCTATGTACCTATATAGGTATTCCGTTTGCTGGGGTCCGAGGGCGCTTAGCAATACATTATGTATGTACATATATATGCTGGGTTGGCTGGCTAAAATGTCTCGATTACTATGTATGTACATATCAACAAGTCAGGCATTTCCGGTAGTGATGCAAGTTTTGCTCAGCCTCCCCCAGCGTTCGTCATCTTGCGTTGTTAGCTTCTTTAGACTGCGATACATATGTAAGGCTATCAGACATAGCGTATGTATATGATACATACCGAAGTGCCACTTGGGTGTGATTATGTATGTGCGTACCTACATACATGTACGAAGGGTAAGGACGATGAGGAAGAATGCATAGGTTAAGACTATCTCCTGCGACAAGGTTATGAGCACAAAGGTGGTGTAATTCTATTTGCTATAGGACTTGATGTCAGGCGACCTTGAACCGTTTAAGCTTATGCTGTGCGCAGAAGTAAAGTTCCCAACACAGTTTAACTACCAGGTAAGTACTCTGCATAGATGCTAGGTACCTGCATAAATATTGGCTAGTGGACAATACATATAAGTACATGGCTGCCGCCCCGCAGTTTGGCATTTCCCATCTTCTACAACCCATTTTTCCCTCTATTGACCCTACTAAAATACCTACTAAAATACCTACCTACAATAACGTCCTAACCTACCTCAATACATACCTCCTGCATACATCCGAATATCTACCTAGGTTAAGATACTTCCAACAACAGCACATCTTACAGCAGAAAGCGTGGTATCGTGTGGTGTTCCTCTTCAACATTAAACGCTACCTAAACTTCAACAATAATTTTATTATGGCATATGCATAATCGTTGTAATTCCACCCGCAATTCCTCCCGCAATTCCTCCCGCATTCTTTGTTAGCAGCCTGCTTCTCGGTTTCGCACTACACAGCACTACTCGAATCTCGGCTTTCGTCATTTAGATATTGTCTGGCATTTAGCGATTACTCCAGGTTCCTATTGGTAACTGGTAAGGGATTTGTTCGGAAGTACGTATATTTGAGGGCATCAGAGTGAGAAAGAACATCGGCATTGAAACATCGTTGTTCAACAGAAAAATACCCTTACTTGAATAGCGTCACCACAAACCCTACCTAACCGACTACTAAACCATTCGCGACGAGACACGTTCTCTCCCTTCGTTATCCTACCCTAACTCGACTCGCGGATCGAATCGAACCATTCCTACCCGCCCCCACATCCTCTACGTGCATTCTCGTTCGCCGACCGCCGAAGACGCTTCAAACCAACCCACCAAGCAATCTTACCCATTGACTTGTCGCACGAAGACGAAGAGCTACCATATTGCCCCGAGAGGCTTCATTAATCACAGGTCTTTCAAATGACGTTCCGCAATAAGTTTACTCGGCGGCTGAATGACAGCGTGAGCCCCCATTACAGAAGAAGTCCTTCTCGCAGACTGCGCTCAAGAAGATCTCAGTTTTCGCCCACACCTTCGCCTACGCAGCCGTACCTTTCCTGTGAGAATTTACATCCGATCTATGTCTTTTACGCGTTTAGGTACTGACTGAGCTCTCTAGATCATGACATTCTTCGTATGCCTCTCGGTCCTATTCTAACTTTTTGGACAATGCTAACTCTCAATGCCTAGTCACGTACGAGGATATCAAGGCGCTTAAGAATGACTGGTTGACCGACAACGTAAGCTCCCGTCATGGAATATAAAATTAAGTTTTAAGGGATACTGATGAATTTCCCCTGTAGAACATTGCCTTCTGGGAAGAATACCTAGAACGTGAAGTGCTTTCGAAGTACCCCCAAGCACACATCGTTCTCCTCCGACCGTCGATGACTTTCCTCCTGATGAAGAATAAGGACACTGAGATGGTTCGAACCGCCCTACCCGACTTCCGACAGATAACGCACATATTTCTCCCCATTAACGACAACCGAAACGTCTCACAAGCCGAAGGTGGAAGTCATTGGTCCTTGCTCCTTGTGAGTATCATTGATGGTGTTTCATTCCACTACGATTCGTTAAACGGTTCAAACAACGACGAAGCTTGGGAGGCATCTAAGCGATTATCCAGCGTACTCGGCAGATCCCTACGATTCCATTATCTACCTGACTCACCGCAGCAAGAAAATGGAAGCGATTGTGGCGTCTTTGTGTGTATCGTCATGCGATACCTACTTGTCAAGCGTCTCTTGGCCGTCAATGCCGGAGAGAAGATCTCCATGAGCATGGCCCACAAAGCTATCGATAGTGTTGGAGCTCGTAAGGAGATGCTTAAGATAATCGAGAGTCTGCGCAAGGAGGGAGAACGAAAGCGTCTCACACCGAGCAATACGCCACCCCGAATCGAATAGAGCTCGGTGGGCATGTTGATTAACCAGATCAGCTGCCGGTTTATACCATCAGTACACTATTACCTCGCCCGCCCAGGTATAGTTCCTCAACCTTTGTGATTTATTATCCGACATGCTTAGGCACGACATCTGAGCGCGGCTGTTTCGAAAAGCATTTCTACAGCCGTGTCGTCCTGCACCTAGTGTATTCTGTGTTGCTGAAATCACGTTTACAGCGAGCTATGTACTACTTGAAGTGAGGCCGTTTGAGACTTGCGGGGAGTATAAAGGATGCGGAATCGGGGTTATTTGCATTGTTCACGTCTGCATACTACGGCCCAGGGAGGGATTTGGAAACAGCGATTTGTAATTTATTTGAATTTTTCCTGGCATCGATGGGTGGATAAATACCATTATGAGAAATGTATCATTTGATAAGTAGTTAAGGTGTGTGTATTTACAGTATACTCGTGATGACCAGGATGAAGTGAGTTATAGCGTGACACATGATATCCTTCTAGCTAGGGGCTTGGCCTCCGAAAGCGTTGACAGCGAATATAACAGACACGCCATTAGGTTTCGGCGACAGACCGTTGAAGTTACCTTAATAATAAGCACAACTCCGAACTCCAGATTAATATGAAGCCATCGCAACTAGAACGGGTGTCTTAGTGATACTGCTTCTGGGCGTGCACCGACGGTTTGAGTAGTACCAGCCGCCCCCATACATAATCAAACACCCCCGTGGAGTTTTGTACGGCGTACGCCTTATTGGCACATGACTGGCAAGCCAACGTGGCAGATTCAATAGTGTAGCAATGTTCCCCTAAGACGGACGAACGAGGCCCGGACGGATAGACAAATCATATAGTCCCTCGTTGGTTGTCCGATAAGGGATATTAAGGCTGTATCAACCTTGCTGCGGATAGAACAGCGAGGCCTGTACACCGTTCCCTCGATTTGTGGCTGCTGGAGAGTGATGTTAGCGCGAGGCGATGGGAAACACATAATGCATGGATGGTGTTCTTACCTAACACCAGCTATACCCTCGTGTCCCGACCATCTTGGAGCGATTATTCACTGGCGTTGCTCTAACCCCCTTCATTTCCCATCCTGCTTCCCCACAAACGCCGGGTTCTGCTCCATAGTCGCCGAGATGAAGCCTCGCAGCGCCGCCCAGCGATTCGTCGTCGACACAGGCGCCGGTGCCGGCACAGCCGCCGCATCCCGAGTCTCCATTGCAGGGCTCTCTTCCCCACTTCGCTCAACACCCCTCTGCACCTGCGTCTCCGCAACAGCACTCAGTCTCGCAAGACTAACCCCAAACCTCTGCACCTCGCCCTTCACAATCCTCTCCTTGCGCTTCAGCGCACCCGGCCTGCTCTTCAAGCTCCTGTGCCGAACCTTGCCCTCCCGCATCTGTCTCAGGCCCTCCTCCGTCTCCCCGTCCGCCAGCAAGTCCGGCAGCGCGTCGGCCAGCGAGTCGAGATTCGCCACGAGCTTGTTGTTCGGCCGCCGGCGTCGGGGCGCTTTCTGGTTCGCCTTCTCGATGCGCGAGACGAAAGACGCGTGCTTGATGGTCCGCTTGTCTTTCTTGGAGTTGGAAAACGAGTCGCTTGTCCCGACGGCGTCGGGCCGCGGTGCTTTGCGCGGCGCGTATGGCTCTGGTCCTGAGCGGGCGGCGAGTTTGGTGCGGAGGGAGCGCCGTTTGGAGGGGACGACTGGGGCCTGGGGTGGATGTTGTTAGTGTGGGATTGAGGGAGCGATTATGCGAGCTTGGGGACATGCCATGTTTTTAGTTGGATTGTTCACAATGCCGAGAGCTTGGGTATGTTAACGCAGATACAAGTACTTGTTGAACATGAAGGGTTGCTTGTTGAAGATTTGGAAAATGGACCGAATAGTGATAGAAATTCTAGTGGGGTTGTTATGTAATTGTCTAGGTTACACTATCTCTTATCGGAGAACTATATTTAAATATTTTTATAACTACATGTGAGTACTAACTACCTACCTACCTAACCTATGTACATACTACTTAATAACTTAAACACATCAGAAAGCTCGCCTCGAGATAATTCATTCAGTCTACCTAGGTATTATTACATGTCTTTAACACACATCCTCATAGACATCTTGTTAGGTAGTGAATATTCCCATGACGATAGACGATACCCGAAACCCAAGTCAATTCTATATCGGCGGCCATACTTGGGCCTTGAAACTTCCCGAACGCCTCGCCTGCTTCACTCTACAACACACGCCTTGGCCGTTATGAATTCTAATGCAATTGTAATTTTATTCCCCGGCGCCCATATGTCTTTTCTAGCAGCCCAGCAGTAAAACATGCAATACTACAAATATTTAAGTTTTCTAGTGGCAAATACGGCCACCATTGCACTACAGGCCCCAATGAACAAACATACGGAAATAGCATTTGGCCCATCGGTACCGTGGTGCTCATCCGGATGTGCGTTATGCGCCAGCTCGGGGCTCTTGCCTGGTTCAAGAATGCTGAAGATGATAGTGCTGAGAATTGTGCCGATGAATTGTGGGATCGTCGTATAGATGTTCAGTATACCGAAATAAACACCAGATAACTGACCGGATGAGCCCGACTTCGACGCGGCGTGCAAACCCTCTGGATCGAGAACGGAAGGGCTGGCCGGATCATTCAAGTCCTCTAATTCCACGTTTGAGTCGTGCGACAGACGACGGTATGATGTGTTGGACCCAGTTGCACCACTGAGCTTATTGACCTCGACTCCGAGGAATGCTGAAGGTGCCCATGATGCTATATTCCAAGGTCTATGAAGAATTAGATATTAAAGTCAGGACGTTTTAGGAATATGCAAGACACTCACAATCCGCATAGGCAAACGAGGATAGTCGCAAACCTAAAGCTATGGGCAAATGGTGCGAAGAGCATTGCTCCCGCAAAGGTTGCATGGGCGCACATCCACGCAGTCAGAAGGTCTGGTTTATACTTATTGAATCTCTCCATGACGCCACGAAGACTCTGGGGAGGACGCCGGGTATAACTCTCGTCATCTGGTGATCTGATAACCATTGGCAGAATCCATGACCCGGAAAAGGTGATGATGGAATAGATGATAAAGGCCTCGCTTCCAACTCTACCTATCTCCCCGAGCGCATCCCCCGAGTCTTTTGCGTCATGTAGCGCATCGTACCGAAAGTAGGTCTCACCTATCCATGTTGTACTGTAGAAGAGAAAAGGGAACCATCCGATCCAGGCCCAAAACTGCGCCATACAGATTGCTCGTATGCGAGGCGGCAGGTTTACAATAGTAGACCAGATTTGACTGACAACCTTAAACCCCCCATCATCCCTACGAGGATCATGCCTCGGGGCGATCAAAATCCTCTCTGTTACAGCCCAGGCAGTAATTCCACACGTCAATACAAGACCCAACGCGGCAATAACAGTCAGCTGTTTGAACTGGGTATCGCCTAGGGATGTTCCAAGGAGCGAGGGCAAATCAATAGCGCCAGTCGCATAGGCGATTCCATGGCCAATGGCTGACATTCTACTGCCTATTGATAAAGTTAGTGTGCATTGATGAGACGGGCATCATGGTTCTTTACCCCAAGCAGATCCTGTTTGTTGCTTGTCGATCGGAAGTGTGTCAACGACGAGACTCCTTGCCGCCGACATTACTAATAGCATTGTCAGCACATAGCGACGCAGAGCACATCAAAGCGCAAGTATCATCTACTGACCGGCATTGATAGAAAAATCAACCGCATATATCGACAACACGGCGGCGGATATTGTGAAAGTTTGCGCTACCTTTTCGTCGGGAACGAAGTATCCTACTATCTCCTTGGTGAAACCCAAAGTAAGGAGACACAGAGACGAGAGTATAGCGCCAATCACGATAAACGGTCTACGTCGTCCCCATTTCGATGTCGATTCGTCTGCCAACGCACCAACTATCGGCTGCACGATGAGTCCCGAGAGCGGCCCGGCGATCCAGACCAAGGATGTTTTACTTTTCGTTAATCCGAGAGAAAGGAGGTAGGGGGTACAATCTGAACACGGGAACTATTAGCCCTTGTCTCATACTGAAGCCATCGGGGGACTTGCATGTTTGCTCTACACCCCAAACAAATCTACGCGCAACAGTGAAGTCAGCATCCACCGTCTCATCTCTTGGGTATGATATTTGCGACATACGTAATGCCGATGGTGTTGAGTGTCAACAAGGCCATTCGCACTGCTTCAGTGCTCCCCTTGATAGAGGGTTGGCCTGACCATCTTGGCATATTGTTCCGCTCGTAGGGGCTATGAGCCCGGCGTTCGTCGTGCTCGAGTTCGTGCTGAAAGCCGTCTGTCAGCCTTACGCGACGTTGATATTGAAGCCAAATTTAGAAATTACTATAGAATTCGGGTTTTCGTACACGTCTAACTGGGCCAGCAATACTCCTAGATTATCGATACTAATTGTTAATTTATATTGTTAACTAGTCGTGGTTAGAACCATGGTGAATTGGAAGAAAGCTTGGAGAAAAGTTGGCTTTCTCGGCTTGTCTCGTGAGTCTTGCGAGATGAATGCATAGGTAGATAAAGTTTAGGAGGTTTAGCTAATAGTTATTGGTAGGAGCTAAGACCGTAATGTCATGGAGCAGGGATGTTTGTGGATCATTGGGGGCTCTCCACTGTGGCTTGGTGCTATGATGAAAGCTGCACAATTCCTGTGGAACACGAGGATTTGATGCTTCTCGTTGGTAGAAAAGTACGTTGGTATTATAAACGTTGTACATATGTAGTGTGGAAGGAAAAGTGCTGACGTTGGGGAAAACTGGTACGAGTCTTTACTCTCTTGGTGTAACCCCTTTTCGAGTATTATAACCCTTATTATAATCGATTTGCGATTCTATCCAGGTACGGATTACAACATCAATGTAAGATACTGAAAAAGGAAGGGCAGACTTCATGTTTGAAACTGCCTTTGTACTACATTATATAAGTGCATAGCACACTTATCCAGCGGGTAAGCGGCATCAAACTCACTTAATTTAGAATTATTAGATACCTACACGAAGGCCAAGTCGGTATGTACTATGAAGGTACCTGGGTGCCTTGATGTAGGTCTTCAATGCCTGCCTTAGGTACCTAGGTATGTACCGTCAGGGGATCAACCACAACATAGCGTCCCGGCATGTTGGTTCGCTTAGGTACGAACTGAAGTCCCACATGGTTATGGAAGCTCTGTTTTTGAATAATTCACGTGCTATCGGTTTAAACCAACGAAGCACTACCCAGCTACTATAACACCAAATAGGGGTACATGTACCCAAGGTAAGTAAAATGGAGCGCATTACGCTAAGATGTTGCCGATATAAATAACTGCAGAAATATAGCATGCTAGACTATAAGGTTAATGCAGTATAGGATCCCGTCATCCTACCGGCATCGTGTACGGAGGCCACGTTGATGTTTAAGGTAGGATTTTGGCGGTTAATTGAATTGCTGCATATGCATGTATGAATCAATGCCCCGCCATTAGTAAGATGACAACGAAGTGGAAGCTCCGATTCAGGAACGTGGGGTTATAGAATTTAGATTTTGACCAATTTTAAAAGCGCCATTCCTTGTTTTTTCACTGAAGTAAGGGGAGTAGACCTACTTTTATAAAACGCCACAGAAGCATCGTACATAGCTGGACGCCATTAAATCTGCAGATAGAGTGGATGTAGACCTCAATTGGCCCATCCATAATTTAAGGGCCCGCACGATTCTGCAGCTGTCCTCAGTTGCATCTCTGGATTTGTCCCATACCGCCGCCGCCCATCACGCAATCATGGATCTAGTTAATCAGTTCGTCCCCCCCAAGTATTTGGAGTTTTCTTCCCAGAGGCAGGAGGATCTCAATCTCTCTAGCATTATCTGTCACTATGGCTAACGCCCTGCCCATCGTCACTAGCCTGGAAGGCCGGTTGTTGTTTGCCGTTCCTAAGAGTAAGTTTTTTCGACCACGTCTTGGACAAGCCGGTTCGCTTCTGTAAGACTAACATACTAGGAAGAGGGACGACTCAATCAAGCCGCTCTCAACTTATTAGAGGGTGCCGATATCCAATTCAGACGGGAGAGCCGACTTGACATAGCTTTGGTCAAGAATCTTCCTATTGCTCTCATCTTTCTCCCGGCGGCCGACATACCCACCTTCGTTGGCGAAGGCCAAGTTGATCTAGGAATAACGGGGCATGACCAGGTGCAGGAGCACGATGCCGGTCTCCGCGCTCTGTACAAGGCACGACGATTTTCGGGTGAGATCACCCCTGAGGAAGAAACCAAGCGAAACTCAAAAGGATCGGGAATCGAAACTGTCTTGGATCTGGGGTTCGGAGGCTGCAAGCTGCAGGTCCAAGTGCCTGAGAAAGGCAATTACAATTCCCCGAAAGACCTGATTGGGAAGAATATCGGCACAAGTTTTGTCCACTTGGCACAAGAATACTTTACCAACTTAGAATTGGAGGAAGAAGCGGCGCAGGAGGCAAATGGCGCTCCCGTCCAGTTTTCCAAGAAGCTACAGACGAAAATCATCGAACTGAGCGGTAGTGTCGAGGCAGCTTGCGCTCTTGGTGTGGCAGACGGGATTATCGACCTTGTCGGTAAGGTTGCCTACATAAATTCTCCAACGCTCAACCTGAAGTCTAACGGCTAACCATGACAGAATCCGGGGAAACCATGAAGGCCGCGGGACTTAAACCAATCGATACTGTTGTTGAGTCGACAGCTATCTTGATCAAATCGCAAAAGCCTTCCAATCCAGCTCTTGTAGACCTAATTGCTGCCCGAATTCGCGGCGTCATCACAGCCCAGCGATACGTCCTATGCCAATACAATGTTGAGAGGTCAGGGCTTGCAGCAGCAACTAAGATTGCGCCAGGCAAACGAGCACCAACAGTAACATCTTTAGAAGAAGATGGCTGGGTTGCAGTCAGCGTTATGGTCGAGAAGAAGAAGATTGCGCCGATAATGGACGAGCTGACCAAAGTCGGGGCAACCGATATCTTTGTATTAAATATTGCCAACACTAGAAGTTGAAAAGAAATAAAAGAAAAGAATTATGATGGGTATTACCTAAAGGGATGGAAAAGGTTATGTGCATATGGGGAGAAAGGAGACATGCATTAAGTACCTTGCATGTACTTCTTACATTATGTATTTAACGTTTATCTCGCTATGTTGGAAATGTCCATAATGTAGGCTTTCTAGGCAATCTTGGCTCAGTACCATGGTTCCCGAATAAATTTCCTGTTCGACAAAAATTCGGTATTGAAAACACTAATGTAGGGGCTGAGGGAACACCCGTGGTAGCGTGAGGCTTTGCTAGCTACCTAGGAACAGTTGCACGCACGCAAGGCTTATGAATCCTTGGTGGCTTTGCTTTTAGTGTATGAAGTTAGTGGTTGTGCTGACGCAAACCGGAGCGGCGCGGGTCCCAAGGGAGAAGGGACCATCAGTTGAGACATCAAATTAGAACCTTCCAACATTAACAAGTCACGTCACACTCGTCACACTCATATCCAATGGAAATCCACATAGATATTCCCGTAATTCCTACCCACGCACTTGAAGATCTCGATGATAAGTATGATTAAACTGCTTGTTCCCCCAAATTTAACTCAACACCTATTTAAATACATAATCTTATCGGGTTGTGTCAATTCCGAACGTCGTGTACATTTCTATTATTTTGGGGTTACTGCATGAGCGAGCATGGAACCCAAGGCAAGGTCTCATACTGAAGCTGGCGGTGCTAAACAGTCGAGCCTTTATCAGGTAAGTCTAGCTGCTGCATTCCCCCGAATGATCTGATTGGAATGTTGAACAATCTTAACTCTGTGGGACATGAAATGTGTTACCTGTTACTATATGTAATATATATTATATTGTGATATATTATGAAACCGCAACTGGCTGTGTCAGATATTAACTAATAGCGTAGGCAATACAGACCATCATGACCCCCGTCCACTTCATCTCGTTCCTCCTATCGCTGTACCTCGTCGACTGCCACTACCACGACAAGCGCATCCAAGAGCATTCCGAACGATACAGTCGACTGCCGGCTTGGCTGCTGCCCTCGTGGCTGGACCGGCTGCTGTTCAGCCCGGACCCGTACGGATGGGTCGACCGCAAGAAACAGAATGCGGCACCGGATAGCGCCAGGAATGAGGAGCGATGGTATTATCACACGAAGCAGAAAAAGCTCATGAAGATGGAGACCGCGGATGCTTTTGAGATGCAGCGCACCGTCCTGCTCGGACTGGGTGTCGTGGGGATTTTTGCGGTTTGGGTGCTTTGGCGACTAAGCGCGGGAGTCCTGGCTTGCTTTGCTGGTTGATTTGATGTGACTATGGTTTTTACGAGTATATGACGAGTATATGAGGAGAGGGGGGTTCGGCTTGGGGGTTTTGGATGGCGAAGTTATTAAACAGAGCTACGAGCATTGAGAGCATTGAGAGCATTGAGAGCGATGGTTACGGCGTAATACGGATCTATCTACGATTTATGAACATTTCCATATATTGATTAGTAGGATACAGACTGTGGTTAGGTATATCTAATATCCGGACGGATTTCATGCAATTAGATGATATTTCAAGAGAATGTGTCAATATTAGCGAATACAACTTTCGTCTACTATAATGCAGTTTAAGATAGCCCCTCACGTTTGACATGTGAAATCCCGCCGAATCGAGCTCCAGCGTTGCATGCGTCGGTTCGTCTCGCAGGGGTAGCCTACATCTAAACATGGATTCACAGATGCACGTCGTAGGTATCTTGCAGCGATCAGGAACGGGAAGATGATGTGCTGGAAGGATATTTCGGAAACTACCTACCTAAGCGTACATAGGTACCTAGGTTAGGTTAATAGCGTACCTATATACCTAGGTACCTACCTAGGTATCCCACGACTCTGGATTTTGACGTCACCGTCGGGAGCTTAAAGCCTTAGTGTAGCTATACCGTTGCGGTCTAGCGGCCAAACCACAAGCTGCTGATCCACCCTGCCACCTATGTACATATCATATGTTAGTTGTAGGTAAGGACCTTTTAAAAATATATACCGAGTACCTCTTATGCCCGCCATAGATACACCTACGTCAATAAATACCTCTTATGCCCGCTATAGATACACCTACGTCAATAAACACCTCTTATGCTCGCCATAGATAGATACACCTACGTCAATGATATCTCGTATATAGGTAGGAATTTGCTTTTTTCCCCTTCTTGAACTAGGGAATCTGATTGGTTCAGTATCTACCAATCTATCTTATAAATGTTGCCGCCGAAATGCTACCATCAGAGCTTAACGTTCTTTCTTAGGAAAGCAATGTATGTATACTGCAGAGCAAAAGTGTAAAGAGACGCTTATTTTTCCGGGCCGCTACCTACATATAAGAGATGTCCCAGGAAGGTGCAGATATAGCATCGGCTTACCGAAGCCTCTACCTCGCCAAGTTTCAAGAGGACGTATCAGCCGGCACCAAGAAGCCTTTCCTAGTCCCTTTATCCTTCCTTGGCTTTTTGTTTATACCCATCTATCTTGCTATACCACACAAGAACCGGCCATGGCTATACCGAGCCAGATGGCTTGTCCTCGCTTTTGCCGTGGCCTTTAATTTCCATATGATACTTAACGTCTCAAGCCAGAACTTCGTCTCTGCATATGCCGCTGGTTTTGTCGGTGCTTGGGGTATCGTATGGAATTTCACCCTGCTCGTCTGGACAAAACCGCAATGGGAAGCCAAGAGAGTACAAATTAGAAGGAAGAGAAGGCAACAAGATGCAAAACGCACTCGGGATAAGGAGCCGAGAGTTTCTTCGCCTTCACTATCGGAGAACGGCCATGCTGCTCAGACAACCAAAAGCTCTAAGAGGGAAGCAGATTCTGCAGATTCAACCGGTTTAGAATCAGACCGATGTAAACCTAACGGTAATGGATCGGCTTATAATCGTAAGGAGATGATAGATGGCGCTGCTACCCCGAAGACATCCTCGGAAAAAACGAAGTTATCGGAGGAATCAAAGAAGTTGCTCTTAGACGCAATACCTTCACTGCGGAAATGTCAAAATGACGACGAATTAGTCATTGAACTCAAGAAATTAGAAGCAGAGCAAGAATTCGAGTACTACTGGCAGGAATACCCAGCCAACGCTTCTCTCTGGGCTCGGCTAGACTGGGTCTTCGACATTGCCAGCTCGGTCCGGATGACAGGTAGGCAACTCACTCAAGTTTCTCCGTTGAGAAGCACTTAACTGATATCCCATCCAAAGGCTGGAACTGGGCAATCCCCTGCCTACCTCCCTATCACCTGCCCCCCACCATCAACGGGTACCAGCTGCCCCTGAGCGTCGTCGGCCCTCAGCGCAGTAAGCAAGGCTACACGCGGCAACTCACCCTCAAATCCCTCTTCCTCACGCGCTTCTTCCGGGTCATCATCCCGAGCTACCTCCTCGTCGACTTCTGCGCCGTGCACATGACCGCCGATCCGTACTTCATCCTCGGACCCGAACACAGCGATCTCGCCCCTCTCCCACCTCACTTGGCATCTCTCTCCCCCGTCGCCCTTAACGCCTGGCGCAACGTCCTCTCGTCACTAGGCGTGATGTTCACGATCCAGCTCGGCCTCGCCGTCGGCACTTTGTCCCTGGCCCTGCTCCCCCCCTCCCCGCAAACCTTGCGTTTCCGCTCCGACCCCTGGTATCTCCCCTCCGACTACGGCTCTTTCTCCCAGGTCCTAGACCGCGGGTTACCTGGCTTTTGGGGCAGCTGGTGGCACCAGACGTTCCGATTTGGGTTCACGGCGCCGACCCGCTGGCTTGTCACGAACGGGTACGTGAAACCTGCATCGCGGGCGCAACAAACTTCCACAATTGCTTTTGCATATCTGCAGTCGGCCTTCTTGCATGCGGCGGGCAGTTATAGCACTGTGACTACGAGGACCAAGTGGTGGCTTCCGGCGCTATTCTTCATACTCACAGGCCTGGGGTCTACGCTGCAGACGTGGTTGGCGCGCACTGTTTTCGGGACGCTGGTACGTCGGATGCCGCGGTGGGTAAGGAGGCTTGGGAACTTAGTTTTTGTACTCGGATGGATGTGGTTGACGAACTGGGCGCTGGTAGACGACTTCGGTCGCTGTGGGTTATGGCTCTACGATCCGGTGCCTGTTTCCATATTCAGGTGGCTAGGTTACGGTCCGACTCAGGACCGCCGCGTGTGGAGGTACGGGTGGGATTTTATGCCAAAGTGGTACTGGGGGAAGCATTGGTGGGATAGCGGGTTTGGAATCTAAGCGTAAGACAAAATGATCCGGCTAAAGATGGTTTGAGGATATTGGGACAATGGTCATGTGATGAGGTCACATGACCAGGGTTACATGACCAGGGTTGTGTCCACACACGCCGCCTGCGCACAAGCTATTCTCCCCACTTGGGGAAACCCCTCCACTCCTTCTACAACACAACCAATCAGATTACAGTCATTCCATTCATATTTCCTTACTTTTCTTATTCGTTACGAAACGCAAAGCCACTCCAACAGGGGGTAATAGGGTGTCTTGATTAGCATCCGTGCTGCCCACTTGGATGCTCGAGTCTGGGAATTAGAAATATATGAATAATATTGTCTTAGGAGGTAGTTAGGATACATTGCTAACAACATGAGTTACACGCCCATGGCGGATGTCTTTCTTTGCACTAAGCTTCCTGACCTCGGCATCCAGCCAGCTCAATACCGTACTGTATTTAGACTGTTTTCGCTCTAATACTTTGCGAAAGGCGTTAAAAGCGAGCCTACGTTAGATCTGTCAGTAACATCTAGGTATGGCGGAACAAGATGCATGCAACTCACCAAGCTACCTCAGGCTTCTTCACGTCGCAGGTGTAACCCGGGTACCGAAGTTTGCGCGTTTTGCTTACGAGGAGCAGATAGGCTGTATCGACCAGCCTCGATATCGTCTCTACGACGTGGTGTCAGCATGCATACCATCAAGTAGTATATGTAGCAGCAGCATAGGACCTACTAATGACGAGGGCTGCCGATGGTTGCTTTTGAACCGCCAGGCAGCGAGCATAAGCCCACATCTTAGTAGCTGCTTCGCAAAAGGCAGCGTATATGTTATTCAACGTAGTATTGGCCGAGTTAAGCTCCGAATCGAAGAACATGAGATGACTTTGGATCCTGAAGGCATCTGTGGCATATATTAATTCATAGGTCCGAAAAATGGTATTATTAGGTTAAGAAGTGTCTCACTAAGAACTTTTCGCTGGAACGTTCGTCCTGGTGTACGCGAGAACTCGATTGTGAGAGAGTTGTATATAGCTGGGCGATGTTAGTCGGTGGCCCTGAGAGAAGCCAGCTTGATGCTTACCTGCTTCCTGCTCCTTTTCTCGATTACGAGATATATCCAAAGTCTTACAGTCGATCGTAGTGCCGCAGTAAGGGAACTGTTGGCCAGCATTTAACCTTGTGACCGGTTCATCATCGACCTTCATATCAAAGTTAACTAGAGTTTTTCGAGGATTCACCGTCACTCCATATTCTGGAACACCCCGATGCATGGTTTTCACGAAGCGTATAGCTTTCTGCTTGTCTATAGTGATGAGGAGAAAATCGTCAATAAGTCGCAAGAGTAGGCAGTCCTCCGAATCGAGGAAAGGTAGAACATGAACCTCGAGATCGGCATAAAAGTAGTTGCAGAGAGTAGAAGATAATATAGATCCTTGTGGGATACCTTCTCTTTGCCTATAGAACTTCTTTCCGATCTTAACGAGATTTTGTTGAATGTGTGAAGCTACAAGCTGGAGCAGCTCGCTAGTTTCATAATACTTATTCCACCTGTCAACGAACACCGTATCCCTTTTAGTAGTTGCCCACTTAGACTCTAGATGTTGCATGAATGTAGAATTGTCGCGATCGCTTATTGCCGTAGAAGGCCATCTCTTCACGGGTTTTGATTTAGACTTGTTACCTGCTCGACTTATCAGGTTTGATGCAACCTCGACGTGTGTTGATACTCGATATTGACGTTGTTGGGGTATAGAAGCAAGCAAGCTGACAATTGCCGCCTGGGGGATGGTATCGAAGGCAGACTGAACATCAACTTTTGCAAAATAGAACTCAACATCAGGCCTGGTGATCTTCAATTTGAATGGCTTCACACGCTTATAAATATCTCCCACTGAAAACATGGTGGCACCTAATTTCTGTGGGTTTATGGTCTGCTTGGGTCAGAAATTTGGATTTTTATATTAACGAAGAGCCATACCTTTTCCAGTTGGAGTATCGCGTGTGCTGGTGCTAGAATTCTATTGATTCCGGCTCCTAATACCTTCGACTTCCCCCGGAGAGCAACCCTTTTGCGGAGATTCATGATTGGCCGCATGCCAATCTCTTTCGGCAACAGGCGAATCTGACCAAATCCAAGAGCACGGGAGTTGAGAATTTGTTGGGCACGGGAGAGGTTGACCTCGGAAAACATCTTGGTTTTTAATGCCGCCATTGCAGGTTCTGCTACATATCGCCAAACGTCATGGCGAAAAAAGAACAACTTATACTTGTGAGCGTTTGACTCTGTAACATAGAAGTGGCTGCGAATGAGGGGTATTAGAAGAGAGTCGAATACGAAGTAGAGAAATTCGTTGAAAATCTCGCGGCGCTTCTGCAGATCGGTCTGTGAAGTTTTGTTTGACCTGAGTCGAGGTGGCGCAAGCCAGTCAATCTCGGTCAACTTTAATCGTTAGATATATCGATTTTTGAAGCTGAGGCATGCCTATAACACTAACCTTCATACCCTGCATCACTTCGTGAAGTGACATGCTTTCGAAGCGCCTTAATAATATGAAATGATCTATTTTACCGAGAAATATGCTCTCGTTGTGTCGAGCAACGTCTCCGCTGCCCCAGAACCCGTTAGGTATGATCTTCTTTAAAACAGCCTGGCAGAAGGCAGAGATCTTTGTCGGTGGAGTTGCTAGGTCGAAAACAGATAATATCGGATCTTCTTGAGTGGGGGAGGGTTGGTTTGCCTTCCTTTTCCTTAACACAAGCGCTTTGCGTGAAGATTTACGACTGGCGCTGGCTTCGGTAGACTCAAGCTCTTGGTGGCTAAGAGAAATATGAAGCTTTGAGAAAAGTTAGTGCTGCCGGTGTTAGTTCGACTCTGTAGACTTACTGGGCAATGATATTGAAGGAGTTTCGAGTAAGAACAACGCTGGTGTAAGATTTGTACTTTTCGTATTAATTCTATCGCGGTACCCTTTAGCCTCTTGGGTATTTTGACCTGGGCAGTGGACTCGTTGAGCCGGCCAAACTTTTCAAAAATCTCCTCTTCTCGAAGGGTATAATCCTTGAGCCGATGAGCTGTTTCCTTGAAATTGACTTTAGAAGTAAACACATTATGAAGTCCAAATTGACGAGGGAAAATGTACATCATAATCCGTAGAGTGTGTGCTTCATTCTGCAGCGTCATTCGTTGCTTGGCCTCAGTTGAGTTCCCTTCTAATTTATCGAGGTGGCTATATAAAGAACGGTTCAATACGTCTGTCACTGTTAGTAGCCTATAAAATACGCAGTGGTAATGCCTTACGGATATGTCTTAAACCAAAGTGTACAACTCCATGGGCGTTAAGAGAAGCTCTAGCGTAGAGCATACGGTTACGGATGAAGATAATCTCCGACAAGGTTTTCACAGCAGAGCTACCTGGTAGTCTCCCAGGCTTCTCTTGATTAAGCGCATCAACGTCTGACAATGGGTTTCCTGGCTTTGAATTAACAAGTAGGCTTCGACCTTGGCGTAGAGTTATAAAACTTACCACTAATCTGACAAAAATTATTCGCCCCTGTTTTCACAGGCGTAAATATAGCACAGTCGAGGAGTAGGCTTATCATAATACGTTCCCCCGAGTCACCCATTAGGGCGAGAAGCTGTGGCCATGGCGATTGCTTCAGCGTCTCGACATGAGGGTTAGGGCGAAACGCACGTAGCCCCAAGCCCCGATTTCTACTGTAGCCGTCGCAAAGTAAATGCTTCGGCCATGTACCAGACTTATCTCTGGAGAATATCGTTCTCACGACATATTCTACAATCTTCTTAACATTAGCTCATCTGTAAGACACGGTTGAATGGTCGTATTCAACTGCTAGGAAAGAAGGTTGGGCCGTACAAGTGCCTGTATCTCGATAAATCCGGTAGCGCCATCGGATAGTGTAACGCAGGACTCGTCCCCTTTCTGGGAGAAGGCCTTCCATCCTTCTATGCAATTATCTTCTGGGCTTTGCAATTCGGCTTGTATGCCAATAAGCGTGCCGTCAAGCAGAGCCCCTAAAGACCGCTCCACATCCGAGAGAGGCGAGCCTGGGATGTGGTTGTCTATGCCGACGGTAGCAACTTTTTTCCTTCTAAGTCTAGACGTAGCAGGTAGTCTCGAGAGGACGTAATTACGCAAGGTCAGTACTTGAGAGTAAAATTGATTGAGAACCGCGTGTTGGGTTTGTGGAGGTGCCAGGCGTTGATTGCTCTCGGGATCTATCCTCCCTATCCTCCCTATCCTTCCTTTTTTAACGGGTGGTTCGTCATCTAAAGGGATATTGCGGGTGTCTCCTCGCTTCCGCTTCCTTGGATAAGCCATTGTATGATCTCATAATGCCTTTAGAATGCGAATTGTGGCGTTCGTATTAAGCTGTCTAACCAGCAGGGGAGTCAGGAATAGTTACAATTCGACTCCGGATTCGTCCATAGGACGGTTCGAACAAATGCGTGTATGTAATCCGTGCACACGCGATGGGCGTGATGAATGATGGGTTGCGTATTGCGTATTGCGTACATATAAGTGTGCACCGAATGTAGTAGGTACATATCATTGTGGTATGTGCAGGTGCTGATTGATCAATGTATTAATTGATCAATGTAGTGTAGTGTACCTTACCTAGGTAGTGTAGGCAGGTAGGTAGGTAGGTACCTATGTAGAAACTCGAACCCACCCGGCACGGCTCCGGACGGGAGACCAGCCGTGCGCTAGTGTACCTAGGTAGGTAAGTTAGGTACCTGAGATTAGGTACATTAGTTCACCTTCAAAAGTGGATACTACCTCACCTATGTACCTAAGGTACGGAATGTTACCTACCTATGTACCTAGGTACATGTACAATACGTTAATTCTAACGCGGCATTAATCATTCATATTGATCTCATAATATCTCCCATAAGAACTTCATATCTACTTACATACCTGTTTAACTACCTAAACTATACCTGTTTTACCCTCGCTTATATATCACGTTTGACCTAATAATGATAACAAGTGCCCATATATACCACCTTTACTCACTTAAATAATACCTTTAACTTAGTTATTAAGTAAGTTGGTTCACCCTGTAATTAGAAAACACGACATCTTTCTTCCTGCGATATACCTACCTAAGGTAGTTATATTTTCCGACAGTCGGCTTTCTTCCTTGTTAAGCTCGGCCGGATTCTAGGTTGGGCTCTGGTACATATATTCATTCGCATTGGACATCGAGAAAAATGTGTTTGACTTATTATTCAGGCATGCTCGGCATGTTGGCCCTATTGGTAGTTACAACTTGTAATTTAACTCGCATACTTTGTCATACCAGATTGGTTCGCTAATTGTCACCGACCGGGTTTAGTCATGTCCAAGATATACATGCCAAACAACATATTGAAGCATCTCCAGAGCCACTCTGTATTATCCACTGGATTGACCCGAAAAGGTATGCTTCCATGCAAGATGAAAATACTCGGGGACGAATGGGAGCCACCAATTCCAGAGTCGCAATGAGGGTTTAAGTCAATCTCGTCTTCGATAGGGGTCAGTTGTCAGTCGTCAGTCGTCAGTCGTCAATTGCAAATTACCCCTTACTTTTCCCTCAGGATTGCGGCCTGATACACCAGTCATCTACAAGCATGATACCTAGGTAGCACTTACACATGTACGTTGATAATGAGGCTTAGGTACCACCCTCTCATAATCAGACCACTATACCTACCTACCTAAGGTATATAAGCCCATTTTGGCGTCGGAAAAAGAGGTACCCAAGGCTATGATAGATTGTGGCTTTCTTTCCGTGGATTTAGTTCTCCAATAATGCGAGTGAGCGAGTGGTTACGATGGAATCATGCAAGCTGCATGCACTCCTGTCTGAACTTATGCCGTATCCCACCGCCAGCTGGTCAATTTCATCTTTCAAATTTTTCTTCCGGCCAACAAGCGACCAACAAGCCACCACCCACCGGAACCGGTGCAATATATCGAAGTACTACCGGCCACGGAGAATGACTACGTCGAGTATAGGTAATCAACATCTCCTATAATTTAATTGATTGGGAGCCAGCTCAGTAAGGTACCTAGCTATTCTATCATGACGTTGAGGGATATAATGATTCTTGTTTGTGCGTTATGTACTCAAGTAACTGTCGTGTTGTAGACTGCGAATTGCTGGAGATCATTTTAAGCTTAAAAAGCTCATCTTCCACTTATAAGCCGGCCTACCAGGTTAAGATATTTCCACAAATACCTATATGTATCTAACCTAGGCAATTACGTAGTAGGAAAGAAAAAGACATATGTTCTAAGCTTGGGAAAGATCTAGGTATGCAAGGTCTCGCTCGATGTCTAACCATGTCACAAACAGATATTCGTATGACGCTTATTTCTTCACCAAGAATATTGACATGTTTCTGTCTGGTCTTCAGATTAGATAGATATTTGCATACGTTACCTATAGATATTTAATCAATCCTATACAACAATCAGGGTTTGTTATGTCTTCACGCGTATATAGAATAGAATATAGATCTGCAGGATGATTCTCCGACGGTTCGATCGTTATGCAGTCAAACGGCTCTATAGTCCTCAGACTTTTCCACCACTTAAATAGAATAGATCTTCTTTAAGAAATATACAGCCTTGTGGGATTCCAAGGTTACGACCGTATCCCGAAGTTCACAATTCACAATTCACAATTTACAATTTACAATTCCCAGATCCATGATCCATGATCCCAGAGAGATACCTGTGTACTTTCCTACTTTGGTAGGTAAAAGGTAGAAGGCCCGCACAGCACCTGATAGAGGCTAGACCCTGCCCTAACCCGTACCAAGATACCGTTCAAGCACCTGGCCGGATAGCGACTCCCCCATACTGAACCAGGTAAATTACAAGGTATGCAACTACCTACGTAAGCCTTATTAGTCGGCAAGGGTAACCCTCAGCTTTGGCCTTTGGCACCAAAATGCAAGTACCAAAAGCATCTAGACCTGCCAGACTTAATGCACCAAGAGAAGCCGTCACCTTAGTCGTTAATATTAGTAGTTAATCTAGAGCAATCGAAGTCTGTACCGATTCCTGTCCCCCCCAAACAGTTCTCCCCAAATCATATTGCATGCCAGCCTGCCAGCCTGCCAGCGCATCAACTCGGGAGACATTCTCACACGGCCAAACAGCTTGCAACCCTTTGCCAGGGGCGGGTCTTTTCATCTTAGAATCATCGAATGGCTCTTTCGAAAATCCTTTCGACGTCCACGGCCGGTACGCTTGCACGTCCGCCCTCCCCCCACACTTCTTCCTTGCTGCTTGTTGCTTGCTGCTACCTGCTGCTACCTCGCTACCTCACCATTGCTCATTGGCATCCAATTGCTTGTAAGCTCGAAAACCTAAGTCGCCTAGCTTAGAAAGGTTCAAGGCAAACTCCAAGGTTATTCGACAACGTAGCCTAAGACAGAGAACCCTTGTTCGGCTTGACCTACCTACGCTCTCCATTTGTCTTGTACAATATCTATCGGCGCCTGAATGTCAGGGTGATGTCCAGAAGATGCAGGAAGAGGAGGAACCCCTTGGTGCGACGTTGGCAGCCCATAGTTTTGAATCCCAGTCAAGTCTAAGTCCAACTAGACGCCAACAACAACACGGCTATTACAACCGCTACGAGCAACAACAACAACAACAACGACAGCAGCAACAATATCATGCTCGTCTAAATTCTAATCCAGCAGCATTTGACTCCTCCGACTACGACGATTACGATTACGATACAAACCTTGGTCGGAGCCCTGCGCTGCCTTCGTCGGAATTCACGTCCTATGCCTCAAGTAACTTTCAAGCCGCCCATGCGAACGCGACGAATGTCGAACCCGTGGCCGTCGTAGATCCGGTCGATTTCTATAGAACTTATCGTGGCTTCCACACGTCCGTGCCAGGCCCGGCCCACGACGAATTGATGGCGTCAACCCTGCCTACCCCAAAGCAAGATCAGAATCTTCCGTTGCGATCAAACGGAAGTAATGCGGCTCCGAGGCACCCCGCTAATTCTTCAACAAGGCCCGGTGTGAGGCCTGCTGCGCGCTCTGTATCGGCTCCCATTGACGACAAACAACCTAGTAGTACTTCGAGATCGAGAACTACAGCCAACGCTACACACGGGGGCCGTAGTGGGCATCAGCCCAGCGTGAAGGATTTGAAGAGAAGGTTCGACCAAAATGGGGCGCAGCCAAGCGGTTCTGCTGCCTCCAAGACTGTCCCGCGTGTTCCGATTAGAGAGACATCATCATCGCCCAGGTATCGTAAAGTAAGTGGTTCTTCTCCAACAACAAATGCACAACCATCATATGCGGTGTTGCGGTCTTCCGTGACGCGTGACTTGGAGTCTGGAACAGGATCGTCGGGGGCGCGAGCAACACAACGAAATAAATCGGTTCCCGAAGATCAGTTGTCTAGCAATCCACAGTCCTTTGCAAGCCGTATAGCGAAGCCTCGGGTCTCGACTGGGTCTCATACTCAGGCGTCAAAATCTCTGAACAGTCTTTCACCAATTTCGCCCAGCTTAATCCCGCAGATCCCCCAGCCTCACGGCCTTTTATTTGGGGAGATAGCACCCGGCGAGCTGGATACAGGGGCAGCAGGCTATGGTATTGAAGGTGTTCGGGCGAGACGAACTTCAGATTCAAATATCCATAATCCGAAGGGTCTGCGCCAGAGGAGCTTTTCCCACACTGATGTTGAACCGCCTTCGCCTAGTGATTGGTACCGGAGTGCAAATGGAAGTCCAGCGATTCATGACGACACCGAGACGAAAAATCCAAGGTCCGCTAAGGCCCATAGCCGGTCGCAAAGCGACGTTGCTGGAACTAGGTCGGGCCCAGCGCCGTCGCAAAAATCTCAAGCTTCGAACTCAAGACCCCACAAAGATCGGGGCCCGCCATCGACGACTTCGAGATTGCCCGTCTCAGTGCGGAAACTTAACAGCCCTTCAGGTTCTTCCAGTCCAGCATCGACACGATCGAATTCGCCGACTACGCTGAGACGCCCTGCTATCCAAGGGAAGTCTTCTAAGTCAATACCGTCCTCACGAGCAAAGACGCCCAGCAGTAGCTCTGGTTCCGCTACAAGACAACCAAACCGTTTAGGTTCCGTGACTCCAAATAACAGCACAAGACTCAACGCATATATATCAGCGCCTCCACCGAAATTATCTCCACCGCTGCGGAGCTCACGACCGCGTCAACCAGTTTCCTCCGCGACTACTGCCAGCTCAAGAATGAAAGCCGTCGAAAGAGGCCGATCACCATCGCATCACGACTCTCGAATAGGCATAAGGTTTAATGAGCCGAGCACGCGGGGACGAAAGATATCGAACGGCCCGATCGACTTCGAGTCGCGACGAGCGCAGATTAAATTGTCTTATACAAAATCTATTCGAGAGAGTGAGGCTCGGGCTGCAGCTAGAAAGGCTGCCGACGAGAAGAAACGCGAGGAGGAGGCTGAGGCTAAAGCCAAGGCCGAAGTTACAGAAAAGGCTCGGCTAGCTATTGAAGCAAAACATTTGGAGGAAAGCAGCCAAGAGGATCCAAGAAACGATAATGTTCAAAGCCCAACAGACAGCGAAATATCAGCTTCAGAGCATGCGGTGTTAACAATCGCGACAGATATCGCACAGCCTAGTTTAGGTAGCGTTACAGAAATCTCAGGGGCAGGAGTAGTCGAGAAGGATTCACCAACACTCGGTCTACCTGGAAGTTTTCCGACTGTCGAAATCATAGAGGACCAAGATGAGGATCAAGATGAAGCACCTCCTTCAGCTGTCTCAAACACAACCGAATTTGATGTCGAGCCACAAATTGATCCTCCAGTACAAGAAATTCCCGTACGGCTAGATGTTAGTAAAGTGGACAATGATAGCGATTACCCTAAACCAACATACTCGAAGACGGAGTATCGATCTCCGTTCGAAGATGAATCAACTAACGATGACCGCTTCTCGATCAATATCTCCTTGGATGCATCGACAGAGCCAATTCTACAGCCGAGAGAGCCTCCGCCAGCTACAAGCGATACTCAAAAGAACCACGATATTCCAGGTTCATATCAGGATGACGATGATGATGAATACTCTCCACGGCCACTTCCATCCGAACCGTACCATACGAAGGTCACAATAATTGGTCGTGATACAGATTTCCCGCTCCCGGAGCATGGCCTCGGCGAGCCGGCATATCCTGCCTTCCCCAGTAACCAAGATTTTAGAGAAAATAACTCTCAACTCAAACCACCCGATTTATCTCGTAAATTTTCCTATAACAGCGAGCAAGGCGGCCCAAGTGCTGGTCTGAGTGAGATTGAAGAGTTCTTCGTCGGCCCGATCATGAAGGATTCTACAGCAACCATCCCTCAAAGCTCCAGCCCCAAGATAGTGGAAGAGCATGATATCACCAGCCCGGGACAGCAAGCAACAGAAGACTCACGTTTCTCCATAGAGTCGCGAAGGACTATGGGTACGGCTCCAAGTCTCACAGTACCGAGAACATCGGATTCGATGAACAGGGCAAGCCAAACTACGGTCTGGACTGACTACTCGATCAATAGCCAGGATGCATATTCTGACTACGAGCAACGGAATCGAGATCTTCAAAATCGGGATTCAACCTATCGTGATGATGGCTCAATATCAGGATCTAGTTCTTTGTCACACCAATACCAGTACGGGCAGGATCCTAGCGAGACACCTTGCAGTTCCGAGATGCCCTGTAATGAACCTCAGGATCCAGAGCCAACGCATCGTGCCCCACACCAGCTCCCCGAATTAAACACTGGAGATGGCTTCATAGTCGACTATACTGAGCATAAAGAGAGCACCATTCCGGTAATCCCGGATCATGCTCCACCGCCACCTCCTGACGAGGGCTCATTACCCGAGTTTCCTAGGTCTGAAGCGCAGAGCGAATATTTTGATGACACGAGGCCTAATAGCTATGCGCAAGTTGGAAAGGATGACCGAAGTATATTCTCTATGGATCCTTCAAGAAGGGAAAGCGAAGATTACGATCCATCGGAATCGGGTTCACGTATGCTTTATAAAGGCTCCCTTGAAATTACCGAGGGATTTCCAACTCGCACGGTTTTGCTAGATAGCCAGCAAACCCTAGCTGAAAGCATTAATCAGGGTGGAGATGGTGTAGGACTTTCCGAGCAAGAGAGGAAACGATTATTCACCCGCCTTCAGACTATCAAAGAGCTGATTGATACGGAAGCATTTTTTACCAGGGACATGAATATTGTTGAGGAAATTTACAAAGGGACGGCCGAAGCTTGCCCTAGACTTGATGATCAAACGATTAAATTGATTTTTCGCAACACCGACGAGATAATCAAATTCCATTCTGATTTCTTAGCGGAGCTTAAGGCGGGGGTCTCCAGCATCTACACACCCAAAGGCCATCGGACCCAATTGCCAAAGGAATCCTCTACCCTTCCTGATGGTACATCTCTTTCAGTAACAACAACGACTGCTACAGGCCACTTAAACGATGACAGAGACCGGCAAACATCAATTGGACCAATCTTCATCCGGAACATGGAGAAGATGAAAGAAGTGCATGAGACTTTCCTCAAGAATAGTGATCATGCCGCGAAACGACTCATCCAGATCCAGGAGGACCCAACTGTGAAAGTGTGGTTGGACGAATGCAATGCAGTTGCGAGAGATTTGACTAAGGCGTGGAATCTAGACTCCCTCCTTATCAAGCCAATGCAAAGGATCACGAAATATCCAAATCTTCTTATTCAGATTCTCCACGAGACGCCAGCAGACCACCCGGACCGCCCATTACTTGAATCTGCTAAAGTCAATCTATATAATGCTATAGAAGAAATCAATAAAACGAAGAAGAATTTCGAATTGGTCGGGCAAATAGTTGGTAGGAAACGCAAAGACTCCGATGTCAGAGCCGGTCTAGCTAGAGCCTTTGGCAAGAGGGTCGACAAGCTGCAAACTACACACAAACCGGCGGAAGACCCAGAATATCTTAAGCTTCATGAGAGATTCGGCGACGACTACCTTCGACTGCAAGTTGTTCTAAGGGATGTTGAGTTCTATACAAGGCAGGTCACCGAATATGTCCACGAGTTCCTACAGTACTTGTCTTCGATGGAGCTTGTTATGCGGCTTCAACCGTCGCCTCACCCCGAGATCGAAAGTAAATGGGTCCGCTTCAATGTGTCTATGAGAGACATCGAGAAAGTCGCTCTGGAGGATCATGTCAGTTACATATTTCCCTCACATACCGCTATCACCTTAAGCTAACTAGACGTTCTAGCTCTCCAAAGTGAGGAAGCAAGTCATTGAACCTTTCGAGCTTGTAATCAAGTCGTACGGCAACCCGTCACTCGCTATGAAAAAGCGGGGCAAGCGTCGTATGGACTATGAGAAGTCGGTCCAACTGAAGAAGAATGGGAAGAAAGTTGATAAGCAGCTCTCTGAATGCGCCGAGCAGTACGAGGCCTTGAATGAAGCGTTAAAAAAAGAATTGCCTATGCTGTCTACGTTGACAGAAAAGGTCGGTAAGATTTGTCTAGCCAATTTCGTCAACATACAGACTCAATGGTTTGCCATCTGGAAGGAAAAGGTTAAGGTGGTACTCGAGGCCCCCGAAGTGCCAGAAATTGTCGACATCGTCTCTACATTCCAGCGCGATTATAAATTCCAAGAAGAGCAAATTAACACAATTGGTATCGTAAATCCAGCTTCTAAAGGCCGCCCCTCCCAGTCGATCAGCACCGATGAATCATTTGCACGACTTCGCCTAAGGCCTGCTGATCTTTCACCTCGCGGCCGAGGACTGTCTGTGAACAGCGGTGATACAGCTCCGACTTTGCCTACCCCTGACTTCATGAAACGTCATAGTGGCCAATTCACCATTTCGCCAACTGCTGCTTCGATCCCAAGCCCTCATCAGTACTATTACCGCGACTATTACGGGGGGGTTAATACACAAGGACGTCCAGGGTCTGGCTCGATCCATACCCCCGATTCGTCTGTAATGTCTCGTCCTATAGGACCAGTACCCGTGCGGCCTGGGACCGGTCAGAGCTATGACTCGGCCAGTGCACCAAGACAAAGTATGGAGTCGAGTGCACATACTCGAGGTTACTCTAGTTCGATGCATCCGTCGCCGCATCAGTCGGCCGAGAACCAACGTTATTCAGGCCTCTTCCAGTCTGCACTTCCCCCGTCCGACAGCCAAGAACGCCTTCCACGACCATCTCAAGCGTCATCCCGAGCTTCTTCTCGGGAGCGGCAACCCATTAACGGATACAAGGTTCTATGGCTAGCGGCTTCTCTATTTGAATTTAATATCGAAACCACCAAACACGAAGCTGGGTACCCCTATTTGACGTACCAGGCAGGAGAGGTATGTAAATTGTGACCGAGAAGTCAAAATTGTTGCTAATACAAGAATGTATAGATATTCGACGTCATAGCCGAGAAAGGCGAGTTGTGGCTTGCTAAAAACCAGGACGACCCCAACAACCTAGTTGGCTGGCTATGGTCCAAACATTTTGCTAAGCTGGCAGATGATTAGGCCTCCTAACCTCTTTATATCCGAATATCCCGGCGCTTTGGTTGAACCTCGGTCATACTACTTTTGGCAACATCACAAATGCGAAATTCTTTATTATTTAGGCCGACCCGAATCTTGTTAGAAACGGCGCCATACAAGCCTTTTAGAGCAGGCTTGTCATTTCATGCTTTTTTATGTGTAACAAAACTCGGGCAACTATCTGGTAGTAAAGCGCCCTTCTAGCAAGGCGCGGATGAGCGTGGCGTTTCTTCATTTTGGTTTGGCATTATCTAAGGTACGACGCGATGGGATACGATATTATTCAAAGTACAGAAAGGGACAAAGAAAGGGATCTCAGCAATGAAAATGGCGAAAAAATATCGTGGTTTTCTAGGCCTTATCATCGTCTTTGGGGATACCTAGACCCTAAAGTCTACATCAGATCATATACCCCTTCGTTCCACGGCGGCGAGCCTGGTGGCCTCCGCTATGGGCCTCTCTTAGGTATTTGTACTTTCTTGCTACTTAGAAATGGGGATCCTGCGGTGGATGGGACGTGGGTTATCGTGGTGATTTGAGAGCCGGGCGGTGATATCAAAACTGAGCTTTTTTGTGCGGGACCCGTGGAAGTTATAATAAAATTTGTAACAAATCCAAAATACCGTCCATTTAAATTGTACTATTATTTCACAATGCGTGATTAACTGCAAGAATATCGCAAGTACCTAATGTCACAACCCATCAAACGGAGGTAATTATCTCCTATAAACTTATGATCCTCCATTTATGTAACCAGACACCCAACCAGATACCCCTTTTCTTTTTAATCTGCCTACCTCTTACACTAGTTCCGTGTGTTCTATGTGGATCGCCACAGGTATGTTGCAGCGTCGAAGCTGTCGGAAGGATGTATTATTCCAATCCGTTCACGTAGACAACGATGTGAGGGTTTAATTCGTAGTTATGTGACTCGATGGGGATGTAAGGGTAATATAAGTTATGGAAGCTAGACCGTTCTTCTCTTCTCTTCTCTATTCTTCGCCCCCTCGTATCCTATTACTCGTCTGGTTGACCAGTTGTTTGCGTATTCCATGCGAAGAGTGTAAATCTGTTTGCTTACTGCGCCGCCACGACGCAGTCCACATATAACGCTATATCGTCCAGCCCAATGGGACGGCCTCCTTTGCCGAAGAGGTTCCACAGAGTTGGGAAAACTAATTGAAAAATGTGCGGTCGTACATCGTACGTCGTGCAACCCTTTAGCCATTGCGACTCAATGTGCCTGACGTACCAAGCAGGCGGTGTTGGCATATCCGACCCTTCGGGCACTGTGTATCGCGCGACGGGGCAGGTTAATTCTGGCTCAGTCAAAGCTCCGCGACCCCTTCGCGCGGTATACTACCTGCATAGGTATATACTACCTGTATATATACCTGTATATACTACATTATCTCCTGCTCCTTCAGCCAGATATGGCTGCCGGAGAAAAGCCCGAGTTCTGCAGACGTGCATATGTAACTCTTCCTTCTTGCACATAATATACACCTACCGTGGTATATATTTATATATAATATACGCCCGGGTTTTATATGCGTCAGCCTTGCCGCCGCCGCTGACTATAGGATCGACCGCCGGCACGGCGGAAGCTGGTCAGGATTGTTACAGCTCAGATTGCCGAGCCCACCTTGTTTCGCCTTACTACATGTAGGTCTGTATAGGTAGACCGGACATTTAGACGCACATACATGCGTACCTAGGTATACGTACGTAGCGGGGAAATGTACACGCGACTGGTCAGTCAGATCATCCAGGCCGATCCTGGTCCGGGTCATGGCCACGATTTGTCGGGATGCGACTTTTCGTGCGTGGACGACTCCGTAGCTCAAGTAGGACTAGAGAGAGCAGAGCAGAGTATGTACATAGAGCAGAGGCCAGGACTCTGGCGGTTGTGCCAAGGCGCGAAAGCTCCCCTTGCAGACGGATCAGTTCCCGTGTAAGTCTAGACTAGGGCCAGCAGGGCAGTCTAGCACGGGGGGCTAGCATCTAGTGTATAGGTAGGTAGTTATATGTAGGCCAGCATGCGCTGGAGCTGCGTGCGGACGCCGGGCGCCGGGCATTTTTCCTCATTCTAGGACGGGAGTATGCGTTGTCAACAACTTGGTCGTCAATTTAACCAGTGTCAGGTGAGATGGCCGAGAGATGGCGATCGCAGTCCTATCCCTTTGCTCGATCTAGACATGCGGGAGAGGGGAAATGGCAGTGTGCTACTAGGCTAGTTGGCTACCTATACTATATAGGTAGGGGATTTAGTAGTGTTGTATGTAGGCTAGCTGGCTAGGTGGTTTGTTGGAGCTGGGGTCGTGATGGATTACCGCAATTGGGTTCGGTATGTGATTGTTGGACCGTTTATACATATGTCTACAAGCGACTTACTTAGTTCGTTTTCGGCCCTACCGGTGTAACAGAGAACCAGACATTTGGAATAGACGAGTGGTAAGCGCTTTGCTCCACGAGCGAGATGGGGGGATTGGGGATGGGAGGCAGAGGGGAAGCAGGGGAGGGAAAGGGAAAGGGAAAGGGAATGAGAATGGGAATGAGAATGAGAATGAGAATGAGAATGAGAATGAGAATGAGAAAAAAAAATAGGAAAAAAAGGGCATTTCCTTAACAATCGAATTCCTATGTAGGAGAGTTGTCTCCTGCTTGCATATGAATGTGGATATGGATGTCTATATTCCTACATGGGTATACTACGTATGCGTATACGAATAACTACATGTTATACATATCTACCTAGAGATATAGGTTCAGGTAGCTACAGAATTAAGACTAAAGAATATTATAGATCATATACCTATAGTACATACATACCCTAACCCTCAAGGTTTAAATCCAACGGCACGGCACGACCGAGCATTTTCATGGGCAGTCGATCATCACAGTACAGCGCTTGGCGCCGAAAGGTAACCTAAAGTCAGCCGCGGTAGCACCTTGGGTTCATACCTGACTCGTGAACGACAGATCTCCGCGGACTGACAGATAAACGACGGTACGTATATACATTAGGTATGCGTTAAAGCCGATCTTAACGCACATGGTTTGTATATATGACGAATCTCATCGACAGTAGTGATGATGAGTAAGAACATGTTGAGTGTTGGTTTCTCCATTTTGCTGGCAAGATAAGACGAGGATCCTTCAGTGTCTAGTGCGCTGTAGATGGACACTAGGCCGGGCCGTCCGCCTGCTAAATCCTTCAGTCCTATTCGATTAGTGTAGGGGACGGGAGCATGGACGGGGGGGCATTATGTAGACGCTAAAGAAAGGGTAAAAGAGGACGCCAACGTGGTGAGAGCTTGGTGCGCACAAGGACCCCAGCGTCATGGTGCAGGGCGGGAAATAGTGGAGAGATAAAGAAACGAAACGAGACGAGGCCGATCAAATCGTAGGGGGGTTCAAAAATTCGACAGCAGATACATACATGTTTCTTGGGGCCTGATCTCCACCTGTTTGCCAATCACGGATCGTGACCTCAATATGTTCGGGGCTGGTTCGGGATGCAATGCGATGCTACATATAGTCGAGGAGGAAAGTAACCTTGGGACAGGTAGGTGAAGCAATCTAAGGTCGTGTAGGAATGTAGGTATAAGTATATGTGTACGAGCATAAGTGGTATATCCAAATATCCAATAGAACTCTAGAACTCTAGGTTAAGAGAGTATCCGTGTAAGTCGATATCCTTTCTGCCTTGCCCGCATGTGATGACGACCTCTCGCAGTCAGGTAACGGTAACAGTAACAGTGACAGAAGATGTTACATATTCATCGAAGAGGGTCGATTTATGAGAAGCGAGAAACAAAACGAACCAAAGAAAAAAACTGACAGACGACAAGGACCCCAGAATGTGGCACTCGGCAGACAAGGCCCGAGATAGCATGGTGACATGGACGCAACGGTGGGATGCTTAGGGGTGCTCGGGGAGCCGATCTGGAGCCCCGTGCTCAAGAGGTAACCCTTGCCCTTGACTATCCGCGGCTTCAAAGGAGGAGGGTGATCCAGCCCCCAGGTTCTTCTCACGTCAACGAGTAAGTCAGGGTTCCAAAAGGTCGGGCAGCCTCGAGGTAGCGCTGCTAATAACAATAAGCCGATGTCACTAACGCCGATGACCAGATATTAACGCGTCAAAAAGAGAGGGGAGAAGAGGTGAGAACCCGCGTATGATGGCACACTGCATGGATATGTAGGCATGTAGGCATGTAGGCATGTAGGCATGTAGGCATGTAGGCATGGTATGTAGTATGCATGCGGGGTTCAAGCGAACCAAGAGAGGGGACCTTTCTTCTTCTTTACTATTATTAAGTAGGAGTGCTACATGGATCGATCTGGTAAGCCGAATCTGAAAGTAAGGATGAGAGAGACATGGGCTACGGACTGGACGAAGAAATCCTAACAAAATAAAGAGAGGACTACTGGATGCAACGTAGCGTCACGATATTTCTTCCACCGCCCCCGGTCTTTGCATGTCTATAGCAAGGAACTGAGTTGATGAAGATTATGTTATTTTATTTATTATGTTTGTGTATAATGGTCCCGTCGTATGCGTTTGACACAATGTAGAAGAAGGCCGAAGAGGAAAGTCTGTCTATCCTATACTCTCGGGCTTCACAATGGTTGACGCCCAATCTATAATACAAAAAAGAGATCTAATAATATATAAACCAATAATCTAATTGTCTAGAGTTCGAATAGACCCGTTACATCTTGCAGCTCTACCATCCAGTATAAGCAGTGAGACAGACTATCGAAGACATGCATTCAAGGATACCTACCTACCTAGTTATATCATGTATAGCTACTACCTATTACCTACCTATGTATACGCTATATAATTTAAGGCCGGTCTGCCAAGCGTCTAAGCGTATACACAAGCATTTATGCTCTAATATAAGTCAGCGCTTAGAGAGCAATGCTGAAATATTGTTAAGACGGGAATGCTAACCTGATAATATCCTTAATATTCTTATTATACCATTGGCACATGTAACGCGGGATTCATGTTTACGCACATCATCTGCAGCCACGAGTCATGTCTACTTAGTTGTCGTTCGATCAGTCGTCTCTTGTTCCATACCGGCGGAGCGAGAGACGCAGAGCCAGTACGATTGTATATATATCTCGGGTTCGTGCCAGGAATAGGCAAGTACATGTAAAGAGTAAGACAGGAGAAAATAAGAATAAAAGGTAAGGTAAAAGGGCAGTTTAACCTTGAAAGGGGATAACGTTCAACTACATCATCAGCCCCGAATATACGGCATCCAATCACCCCGCAGCAGCTTTTCCTATTGCCGCGCCCTCGGCACTTATAAGTCTTTATCGACAAATATGTATAGGTACGTGCCTTATATATGTAGTGCATAGGTATGTACCTAGAAAATAGAAATGTTGGTCTACCTATTCTGTACCGTTTTTTATACTTTTGAATTTTATACTTTTATATATATGCACCTCTTAATTTGACATAGACTTAGCCTTAAACTGTCGCATAGTGACGCTCAACAAGTGTCACGATTCCAAAGCCGTCTAGACCTACGTCCGTACATGAATTTTACAAGCCTAACCCGTGTAATTACTTACCTCGGTAGCTACCTAACGGTACATAACTATGGTACCTTAAATATGTACATTCAAGCTGGCCTACCCTTGTCCTGACCGTTCAAAACTTCCGATGCATACCTTCCTGGGGTCGCTAGGTCGTAGCACATTAGCATGGGTTAGCCGCCCTGCCGCCATGTCCACTAGTCTTTTATAGGTATCAATCACATCACAGTGCTAAAGATAAAATATATATATACTTGGTATGTATTTTCTCTTAAGTGCATGTACAATACTTACCTACATTATGCTACCTAGTAGTCTACCTAGGTACTTAGATCTTCCTCCCACAGTCCACGGTTGACCACCCCCCACTATCACTTTCTCCCCACCACCCCCCAAAGCTGGGCAAACAGGGACGAGCTATGTAGTGTATGTACAAGCTGCACATAGCACCTGGACACTTTGACATTCTGACACTTTGACATTCTGACACTTTGACATTCTGACACTTTGACATTCTAACACTGTAATGGGAAATTATTGTACGATACAGGTGTAGGTACCTACCTGTTAAAGACCCTTGCCTCTCCAATCGGCTGGTGGCGCTTCTACTTTAATAAGGTTTGCGCCTCTCCAAATCCCCCCAGTTGATCACAGCAGGTGTCCCTTAAGAGCTTGGGCGGGACTGTCTTACATACCTAGTTTTATTTTATTTTATTTTATTTTCTCCAACCACGTTTCTCCATATTCGACGGTCAAAAAAAATAATCATCCCACCTTATTTCTACCGCATAGTAAACAAACTTTGACAGCATAAACCGTCCGATCTACATATCTACATACCTACCAGGTAACTTTTCTCGCCCCGCGAAGGTCTTGTCTCGTTCCATTGGAAAGGTAAACTAATAAAGCTGTGGGTTTCCCGCTAGGTCCCACCGCCGAGATACCCTTGATCGCATGAACCTAAGCAAGCTTAGCTAGCATCTTTACCGCTGCTCCCTGTACATTAACCTGCCTACCTATATACATAGTGCTCACGTCCTTATTAGAGGACAAACACTCCACCCTCTATACGTTTTTCGAGTACGGCTTAATTCCACCTTTAAGCTTGCCATTTCATCTCGACCCTAACCGACTAACTCAACCACCCTCCTTTCATCCCACCATACTCTTACAGACCTTACGTCCGCAGCTTCATAGGCGTAAGAGCACTACCGAAGTCGACAGAGAGAGCGTTGCATAGAGTTTGAGGATAATTTGCGTAGTAGCTAAGGGGGAGCAAGAGATCGGGACAACATGAGTTCAGGATATCCGGCTCCGCCTGTTCACCACTCGCAGGCTTATGCGCCCGAGATGTCAGGCCCTTCCGCACACCATCCGGGCTATGCCCAGCTTCCTCCCCCATTGTCTTTCAGCTACCAGCAGGATCCCATAACCAACCCTCACCGTGCAAACATGCCTCCGCCGCGAACGAACATGGCCCCGCCCAACATGCCTGGTCCCAGAGATCGTGCTGGCGAGCTCGGCACGGCAGAGAACGGCGTCACCAGTTCTGGTCCTAATCCACTTTCTTCCAAGCCTGGTCCCGAAGAAAAAGACAAACCGGCTCCCCAGCCAATTGAGGGCACCGACGCGACTAGGAAATATAGGTAACATCAACTCTTAACAATAGCCTCTGGAGCTTGTTAATTCTAGTGCTTTGGGAACTAATGAGTGATACAGACTTGAGGTGGTTCAACAACCTCTAAGGGCGAGAATGTGCGGTTTTGGTGACAAGGTGGGCGCGTTTTGCCTTCACCGTTTGTCTGTGCCAATTAGACGCTAATATCAACCAGGACCGACGGCCTATTACCCCCCCGCCCTGCATCAGACTAGTAGTGATGGATAAGACTACGGGCAAAGAAGTAGATTGCAAGTGTGTGGAGCGCGGCCTTGTCATTCTTTAGATTAGAACTAACCTTGGGCCAGCGAGGTTGAACATCAACATTATGTCTTACACGTGGATCTCTGGTCTGAAAATGGAGACAAGGAGGTCAACCTTGTCAAGCATTCTCAGCAGTCGCCGTCGATTTCATCCACGCAAGCTTCATCTTTCCGAGAAGTGATCGAGGGAAGCCAGGCGGGAGGTTATGGATACCAGTCCATTGTGCCGTCAAACCGCGAATACGCACAACAACCTAGCCCTGCTTACCCACACCCGATGCCTCCTTACCAGCCAGACCCGTATGGCCAAGGTAGAAAGACCCCGTTTATGCTCATCTGATTTTTTCCATGTCTTACACATTGTCTAGGATACGGTTATCCCCCACAAGCCCAATCATATGGCTATCCCGGTGGCGGTTACCGAAATGACATGGTACCAGGCGTGCCTCAATTACCCTCGCAGCCCATGTTCGGACCCCGGTTCTCCCAGGATATGTCGGGACATCAGATGACACACAACCGTCTAATGGGACCTCAATCACCAAACGGCATGTACACGAGAAATCTCATCGGTAGCCTCGCTGCAAGCGCTTCGCGTCTCACCGATCCTACAGATAAGATTGGAATTTGGTTTATTTTACAGGATTTAAGTGTCCGGACAGAAGGGTGGTTTAGGTAAGGCGCCAAGCGTAAGCCACTCACCACATACCACACGCTTACATGATGATATAATATAGATTACGATTTTCCTTCATCAACCTACGACGGCCAGATGCGATAACTAATGGCGGTAGCGATGCCGAACTCCTAAATAGAGGCAGGGCTCCAGTCCTTGCGCAGGTCTTCAGCGAGAAGTTCCAAGTATATTCAGCAAAGAAATTTCCAGGTGTCTGCGAAAGTACTGCTCTCAGCAAGTGCTTCGCTGTGCAGGGTGTTAAGATCCCGATCAGAAAAGACGGCCAGGATGGAAAGGGGAGCAAAGGCCGAGGATCAGATGACGAAGATGAAAACTAAAATAAATTACCTTCGGTAATTTTTTTTTTCGGGTACGGACGGTGTCGGCTCTTTTGGAGAATACGGGCATGTCATTACCCGGTGACATCAAGTTCAGAATAGGAAAAGCTACCTCGCCACGATGTGCTCATCACGACATGTGCGCTCATATCATTTAACAAAACAGGTATGTGGCGGAATGGATCTTGGATTACAAGGTGCAGAATAGAGAGAGGCCCATTTGATGCCGGCAAAAGACGAGGTTCAGGCGACTAAAGGGGCAAATTTAAAATCAGCCAGCTCGGCCTTAGCATTACCTACCTGAGATTAACTAGGTTTTTGACGTTTTACGTTTGCAAACCGATGGTTCGGTTTTGCAATATACCCGCCATAGTACAGGTCAGATATGAAAGCGATGAATTATAAAATATGTATGCGTCATTGGCTGCTTGGGATTTCCGGTAGCTTTCCGCGCGCGACGAAAGCAAATACCTTATTCCTGTCTCTGGTACCTTTTATGATTTACATGATAACGAACGTATATTGACTGATGAGGCTGGTTATCGCCGATTAATTAATCACAGGCCTTTAAGTCGATGCTCGAAGCTCATTCGTATGCTATTCATAAGTCCGACGAGCAGGTCTGCTAAAGACGGCACAGTGATATTCACATGCAGGGTGTGTCCAATGAAGTCGCGTTGGATGCCGCGTGGATATATGTGTTATATATATTGACAGCCCCGACAATTTGGTATGCTACAGAAATGTGGTGTAACTTTATCTTTAAATTCTTGGGATGACATGACAGGTGTGTGTGTGTGTGTGTCCATGTGTGTGTGTGTTGCGCCACCGAACCGCTTTTTGGCTTTTGGCTTGGATAGAAGAAACGGACAAGGTAACGTTCGATGAGATAAGACCGAAAGAAAATATTCCGACTTTTAGGGGGGGGGGTTCTCGATGTATGATTCAGAATGAAACGTAGAACGGAAGTACTATGCAACCCAACCGACATTGGACACGGACGTTTGTAAGTTGAGGCAAGCAAGTACGAAATACGAAGAACGAAGATGCGAGGTCGGACTGAGGTATACAAACACCTAATGTAACTGCCCTATACTGTATATATATAGGTACATATGTACATATATATGTACATATATACGTGCTTTCCCGTGCTATTAACAAGGACTTCGTCCTACTTATATACATATGTTAGGTAATCTCTTCAAGCACATATAAGACAACAGGATTGTCCCAGTTATTTTATAATCCTCGCTCATACATCCACGTTGCTACCGCTTTTGTTGAAGATGACAATATCGATATGTAGATCGGTAGAGCAATGCGCCAACCAATCAATCCACTGGCTACCTGCTAGCTCGCTTGGATCATACAATCGTACATTATCAGATTGATTGATTGATGGATGGATGGATCGATCTAAGCTCAGCCGCGATGAAGAAACTTGATCTGATAGGTACCTACATATGGGGAAGAGGGCAGACGGGAACCGCGTATCTCCGGTAAGGCGAGATGGCTTAGTGTAGGTAGATTCGAGCTAACCTAGCAGATTGGCAGATCTTGCTGGTTGGACGGATAAGATGTGTGTAGATAGGCCGCCTCGTCGAGAACGAACCCATCTGATGTGATAGGTAAGGCTGGTGTTTGGATCTTTTTCTGGGCTGGTTTGCTTGGATGGGCGTAGGTAGCTAACCTAGGTATGTATGTTTAGGTTAGGAACATTGAAGTATCTGAAGAGGTCCATGTTACCGTCAATACCTTATGTAGGTCATATACCTAAGACAATCCGAGTTTAGGTTAGGAACATGTATATTAGGTACCTAAGGTACCTGGCACTGGAAAAGTCACTTCGTGCACGTAGCTCGGTAGGTGCTAAATCCCGACTATTACAGAAGCCAAGAGGTCGAGACGACAACGGCACACCACCGCTAGCATTAGGGTGTAATGCCTAAGACATTGATCTTAGCGACTTGCGTGCTAGCTAGGTACCTACAATACATACCTCTTTACATGTAGGTAGTAGGTAGGTAGCTAAAAGGTAGGTAGGTACCTAATGTATTTGGATCACCCGCCGTTTCTATTACGTCTTAATTACCTCATTCCGTTGGCCGGTTTTGGGCGGTGGGGACCCGGGCGAACTCTGCTTTGGCATTCGGGCGGCGCGAGTGATGTAACGATTTTTTTTGTTGGTCTTGGTCGTGCCTTTCGACTTGTATGTGAGGGTCTTTCTTTTATTCCGCGTCTAGTGTAGGCGGGAAAATCTTTTTTTTTTTTTTATAGTCTTGTGATTGAAAAGTAGGTACGCCCGAATGTGTTATACATATTGAAGGTAGGCAGTTATAATATTTTATTTATAGGGCTGTGCTCGTGATGCTGTAACAAGGAACCTTACATGTCTTTGGTATTTTGTAGGTCCAAGTCAATCGCACAAAACTGTACCGAGGTGATCGTCTGTTGCCTAGCCAAATTGCGCAATTCCTAAGAACTTAGCCGCTTCTCTTTGTTCTGAGCCTTGTCTTCATTGTTGTTGCATTTGCCCTCGACGGTTCAAGCTACTGGGCTATTCCAATACGATTACATACACCATCTTCGTAACCTTTATACTCCCCGCGCTCTTATAGCTATAACGATCCCCTCCATTCAAAGCTTTTAGGACTCTCGGACAGACACTGTGAGAAGATGACGGGACAAATGACTTCGACCGGCCGAGGCGGCGCTGGCAACATCGCCGACGTCTCCAAATCCCCTAAGATCCAGCCGACTGACCTCGAGACTCCGATTCTAAAAACATCCGTTGTTACTACCGGCCGTGGTGGCTCCGGCAACATGGCGCCGAATAAGGATCCCGTCGAGACGCGAGCACGCCAGGACGTCGGACCGTAAGTTCAGCACCTTTGTTCTAGAAACCTCGCCGAGGGCAAAATAAGGGAACAAAGCAATCGATAGACGGAAAACTAACATAGTTCATCTCCAGTATCGAGCGACTCCCGAGCCAAGGCCCAACCCACGTTGGGCGCGGAGGAGCAGCCAACGTCGTGAGGCTGAACAGCGAGGAGGCCGAGGTCTCAAAGACGAGCCTTGATGGTTCGGCTGCTGCCGGCGCCGAGGACCACCACCACGGCGGCAAGGGCCATGCCAGCGGAGCTAATGGGTTGGCGGCTAAGGCCAAGGAGTTCTTCAAGAAGGTTTAGGCTGCCTTGAGAAGAAAGGCGAAGAAAAAGGGGTCTCGAAAGGAAAATCCTCGAGACAGAGACGAGCGGGTCGATGGGATTGAATTGCAGGCTGAGGAGTAGGCGTATTTTCACGTTGTGCGTTTCGTTTCGTTCTGCTTTGCTTTCTTATTCCGATATACCACGACGATGGTGCCGGTGTGGGCGAGCATGGAGTTAGGGGCTGTCTTTTTATATTTTTTATGTTAAGAATAAAAGGAGGACGGGTGGATGGTGGGCTATGAGAATGGAAACCGGTTGTGGTATTAAGGGAGAATGAGAACGAGAACGAGAACGTTGGCAATCACGCAGCATCGGGGGTCACGATGATACCAAAGGCTTACTTACAAGCTAACCTAGGTAACTAGGTGTAATAGTTATGAGTTCTTCTCCGTACGGAACGCTGTATCCCACGAGTGTTGCACGGTGACAATATTATGTTGGGTGTTATTGTGCTTAATATAATATAATATAATATAATATAATATAATATAATATAATAAACAGGTAAATACCTAGCTGCAAATGGACATGTCCGGAGTTTGGCTTACGTCTTGTCTTACTACTCCCGATATGTAGATCTTGTTGGGTCATTCTCTTCCGTCTTACTCTCCTAGTATCGAATCAGCTTATAGCTAGAGCATGAAGATGAGGCTCTTATATACCGGTGTAACATATAGCTGATGAGGCTTTTTAGCATACTGTGCATTAGCTGCCATGCAGGACTTCCCGAATACGACAGTTCTATGATCATGGCAGTGGTTTGCGGCAATTCTTTTTGGGTGGTACATGTCAGCAACTAGATAAGTTGTCGGGTCGAGAGCCTTTCTGGAATATCAGATGACTTAGAGCCTCTTTATAAATACCTAGGTATACATGGTGGGGGTAGCCTTGGAGGTTTACCTATATTCTTTGGGGAGCATGTATATTCGAGAAGTGAGGAGTGGGGGTTTTGATGATCTAATATTAAAACGCTTGACGGTGCCGATACTGATCACAATAAATGTAGAGGTTACGCGGCAGTAAAATGAATTGAAGTTAGAATGTGGTATTGAGAAATACTATAGGTACCTATTTATTTAACTATAGCATCATAACTCCGGCACGAAACCCGTTCCGACCGCGGAATCTTTCATGAGTCACGACGAAACCCGCGATGCCGGGGGACAGCGCCGATAAATATCAAAGTCCGGTGGCCGTCTCGATATGAGCCGGCAAGTCCTACCCCGGTTCTATACTACTTAAATTATTCCCCCCCCACTTACTCTCCAATTCGTTTTCTTCACTCCTCCATCAATACGGTATCCAAAACAAGTAGGTACCTACATAAGCTAAGGAATACAAACACGCAAGGAAACAGAACGAGCAGAGAATTAGAAAGGGAAAAACTCGGCGAGATGTCTGTAGACACATCTGTGACCGTGGCCGTGACCGTGTACACGCAGCCTCCGGAAGACCTAATCAACCTCTTGCAAACGCACCACCGCCCATATGCACTACCACTGCTCCGGCGTCTGCGTTTCACACGCTCCCCGGGAGGTATCACGAAGCACACGCACATCCTCTTCGCCTCGGCACCGGGCCTAGAGCCCCGCGGCCACACCCAAGACACCCCCTTCGCAGCCGCATACCTAGACCTCTCGCGCGGCCCCGAGACCGAGATCTGGCTATACTCATCACTAGAGCGACGCCCCGGCCCCGGCCCCGGCCTCGCCACCCTCGCGTCCGCAGCCTCCAGCGCTGACGCGTTAGCGACAGAGTGCGCGTACTACATCCTGCGCGAGGCCAAGACCATCCGCGAGGCGTTCTACGCGCCTGGGACGGAGCACGCCGCGGTGCAGCGGCTAGACGGGCTGGACCTGCATCCGGCTGAGATACTCGCCGGGACGCTGAGCGAGACCACCAGGCTGGCGTTGCTGAACCGCGGTGTCGTGTTTAGCTACGTGGCCGTGTTCGACAAGTGGATGTTTACCCTGGGCGGGCTGCCCGAGGTGCCGAGCCCGCTTGTCGAGGGGATGGAGTGGAGGGCGGTTGCGAGGGAGGATATCCCGCTTATGCTGTCGCGGACGAACATCCAGCGGAAAGAGTATGTTTCCCCCTTTTTTTTCGTTTTGGCTAACTACCTACCTATGTACGCCTTTACTAGGTAGGCAGGTAGGTATGGTTGTGGATTCGAATTAGAGAGTTGACGAGAGAGATATATCTACAGGAGAACTATTGTACTACTTCCTAGCATGGCCGTCTACCAAAGCGACGGCACGCCTATCGCATGGGTCCTGCTAGGACCCGATTCTTCGCTGAGCAACCTGCATTGCGAAGAGGAGTGGCGCGGTAAAGGGTTTGCTAAGGCGGCTGCTGTTAAGATTCTGCGCGAGCGCTTGAAGGAATATGATGACGATGAGCATTGCTGGGCGGATGTCGCCCCGGATAACCCAAAGAGCCAAAGGGTCTGCAAGAGTTTGGGCGGAAAGGTAGCATGGTCAATCTCATGGTAAGTGAAGCCTTGACACTAATTTATTTACTTTTATGATGCATAGTGTTCTAACAGTAATTAGGAGCGGAATAGACCTGGATAGAAGCTTTCCAGATCAATAGGTAACCTTTTCTCTCCCCCTCCCTCTTTAGAGCATTTAGATACGCCGGCTCGTAAAGTAGATTCGAGAGAGCTGCGTTAACTACTAGTCAATCGCTGGATTTCCTGTAGATAGAACTTTAGATCTTCCGGGTTCACCAACGGTGTGATGCCGTGACCAAGATTGGCAATCCAGCCCTTCTTGCCGCCTCCAAAACCTGTAACCATTTCTTCTACCGTCTCAGATATGGATGCTTTTGTCCCGTACAACACTCCCGGGTCCGCATTCCCCTGAAAGACGATCCGCCTGTTTCCCCGGATCTTGACGGCCTCGGCCGGGTCGATCTGCCAATCTAAACCTACGACGTCGTAGCCTAGATTGCAAACCGAGTCTAATGCAAAATTGGCTCCCTTAGGAAATACAATCATAGGCACACGCTTTAATCCCAGCTCTGCCAGCCTCTTCGGTAAATTCTCCGAGATGTAAGCTAGGTAAGGCTCACTGAACTTCTTGAATGTCGAGGGTGAGAGCTCTCCTGCCCATGAGTCGAAGACTTGAACCAATTGAGCGCCTGCTTTAACCTGTAGAGCCAGGTATTCTACACAGACCTCTGCTATCTTCTGAAGTAAGGCTTTAGATTCTTCGGGGTGTCGGTAGATCCATTTCTTGCTCTCGATGAACAGCTTCGTACCACCTCCTTCGACCATATAGCAAAAGAGAGTCCAGGGAGCACCGCAGAAGCCAATTAGCGGCACACGGCCTTTTAACTTCTTCCTCGTTAAGGTTATCGCCTTATATACGTAATCTAGCTCGACCGCGACATCGACATTCTTGTTGAGGACCTTGGAGTATTGGCCATCGTCGGGCGACCTCAACGGATCCGGGAAGTGCGGTCCCTTCTTATCCACCATCTCGACGATCATTCCCAGGGCCTGCGGTACGACGAGGATATCGGAGAAGATGATTGAGGCGTCTAGCAGGCCGGCGAACCGCTCGATGGGCTGCAGAGTCAGGGTTGAGGCGACCTCGGGGTCTCGGCAACATTCGAAGAAGTCACGTTTGCCCTTGGCTTCGTGGTATTCGGGTAGATACCGACCAGCTGACGAGGCCATCAGCAATTGAGCGCACTTATATTCGAGCTGACTATGTGTATATACCTTGACGCATGATCCATATTGGTGCGCGTTCTACATCCTCACCTGCGTTATGCAACAACTCGGGTTAGTATGCTTTGGTGGAATGGTGGTGAAGATTGGGATAATGCACACCTCTTGCTGTCCTTAGGATCAGATCATTAGTTAACGGCGCAAAATCGGGAGCCATTATTAGTGAGGAATGCGTTTGGAATATAATTGGAAGGAAAGAAAGAAAGAAAGAATTATGTCTTGGAGGAAATATTGAGGTAATGTGAAGGTCGCCCGTCCCTCCCCGTCTTCATTTGACCCCACGCAGCCCACGGTTTGCTAGCTCCAATGCTGCTCCAATGGTGGGATGTGCCCCTGTAAGTGTCTTATGTAAGGAGTCCACTATACATTATCAGGTACAGAATGCTCATAGTGGGGACGAGAAGCTAGAGCTGAACCAATAAGCTTCTTCTAATTGTTTTCCAAGCACCAACTTTCGACCTCAATTCTTTCACAAGCTTTCATAATTTGATGCTCATGTAGCCTCGTTGACACCCAATCGCGCCAACCGGGTGTATTATAACCGTTAGCGGAAATATCGATTAATACCCGTTTATTTGAAATAACTTGGCTAGATCTATCAAATTTACTCATGATTGAAAGGGGGATTTGTACATCTTATCCTCCTCTATCTCCTCCCCTTCGCTCATGTCTCTCGCCTTGGCTTCGCAATGTCGTCGAGCCGCCAACCGTCACATAGGTCCGCAAAACGATAGCATTTGGATCCCGGAGGCCCTTCTCGCCGCTGCATTTGGTCGTTACTGTGCGAAGTCAAGGATAATCGCTCGTCATGGCTCCTCTGTTCCCGGTCCGATGGAGAATCGAAGGCGTATGGGGAAAAGACACATGATAGAACTGAATCCAGGTAACTTACGCTCTGCCTCGCCGCCATGGGGGCTTGAGAATTTGGCAGACCTAACACAATGGCGTTGGAAACCGCCATCACCGCCTCGTTCGCGACTTCAACGACACCGAGACGAGAGCGCGCAGGAACGGACCTTAGCACGAGCCATGCTGAACTGGTTTGCTGAACCTTCCCATGATGACATTATGCCAAAAGAATGGGTTGCAGAAAAATCGTTGCCAAACATTACTTGGGGCGCCCAGACTACGCCGACGCAAGTCATCGATACCGGGCTAAATCTCATCTTTCGGGATTTAGAATCCGAGGCAACGGCGGCGACAAGGCCAAAATTTCCAGAATTCTGCCGTAATTGGGAAAATTACCTTGCCGGCGGCTTCTATTCTGGCGATGTTATCTGCGCCGTATTGGATGGCATCCAACAGGGGATTAATACACCACGAGCAGGCACTGGGAAACCTTTGGAACGGGTCTCTGATCGAATTAAGCTAGATCTCCTCGACGCCACTGTTTCAGGTCTTTCTAGCCGCCGAGTACAAGAGCATAGCTCTCTAGACGCCTTTTTTTGGTGCGACTTATTACAAAGAATTTCAGAGTTGCGGATTAATAGCGTACGCGTTCTTACAAAAGCCATGGGTAGTATACCGGAAGATTACTTAAACGACATATCAACAGGCGTTCTAGCAAATTTGCGTACCTACTTGATTGCCTCAAGCCGTACCTGGAAGCGTTCGGCTGTCATCCGGCAAACTAATAAAATAGCCGAGCCCTTAAGGAGACTTAACCTAGCCAATAATCTCCATATATTAGAAAGCGGCACTCAGTATGTGTTGATGCATAGGGAATCGACAGACGTGTATTTCCCTCGAATGCGTATGGGATGGCTACATCTTCTAGCCCGGTTACCAAGCGTAGATGGCCGTTACCTTATACAGGCAGCTTGTATTCTTGAAGCTGGCAAAGACACAAAGCCTATTTCGGGGAGAGAAATTTGCGAAATGTATCTGGTCAGGTGTCGTTCTTCGCTTAAGCATCAAGCAGACATGTATAATGTGTTCCAGGGAACTCGAAAAAAAGACTCGACGTACTACGGCTACCTCGGCATGGCACTATGGAAGACAGGCCAATTTGACCTTGCGAGGGGCCTTTGCGAGTTCCTCAATCAACTCGGCCGAGAGCAAGATATTATGAACTTCGCGAAAGGGATGCGGATCCTTGCCAAGAGCGCGGCAACCCCCTTAGCTAATATTGCTATTGGGATGGGCAATCCAGTCCTAGCCATAGAAATCTTAAGTCTCTATAGAGAAAGTAGAGCAGGAGGCAAAAGAAAGACCGACAGTAAGAATTTCTGGGACACTAACTTATCTACCGAGACCTTGAAAGTTTTGATAGGAAATCAGCCATCCAGTCATAACAAAGTTATAAGTTCTCTGCGGGTAAAGCAGCTACTGGAAGAGCAAAGGCAAAGGCAAAGTCAAAGACCTGTCAAGTTCACCACGAGACGGAAGCTCCTAAAAGCAACCAAGGCAGCAAACAAAGTAGCAATGGCATATGCTATCTCACAAAATATCTCGCCTAGGCAATCTTTTGCTTTTATTTCACGGTGTATCACCTACTTCCAAAGTAGACGCGGCACAGTAATACCGACGATAGCCCTACGGGCACTACTCCACAATATCACAAGGGACCTTGCAGAAGGGAATCCGGGAAGGGTTACCCGGTTGCGGTGGTTTTTGTCGTTATTAGACAAGCATGTCGGCCGCGATAAGATGATGAAGATTGGATTGGCTATGAAGCAATGGAGAGAAATTAATGCCCGGCATCGCCGTAGCAATAACGGATGAGGCGCCGGCCGAAGCTGGGGTGGCTTGAAAAAAGCAAACAAAGCATGATTCCGGCTGTCTAGTGAACCGCTAGACGATGGCCGAATATGATATACAAAACTACGACTGTTGGGTATTATGCTCGCGGTGTATCGACACACGCCGGGGTATGTGATCTGCATATATGGTCAATATATGGAAAATAGAAAGAATACCTGTACGACAAGCAGAATGTCGTGCGAACTACGTAATACATTGCAGTATCGACTGATTCTACCTGGGTTCGCTTGCTAAAACGTGAGGAGAGGAGGGTGGTGATTGGTATCTATGACGGCCTAAAGTTTCTGTTAGAAAGAGTTGAGCTTGTTATTACATTACTATCGGTTACACGGCAGCTAGGATGTCTTGAGCAACACAAGCATTAACGGACTTGGGCGTCAGCCTCTTACCACTAAGGTAGATACCTTGAACACCTAGTTAGGCTAGTAACCAATATTCTCGATATGGTAAGGGGCTGAGAGAGTTATAAGAGTGGGTATAGTTACATAGCGCCTTATACTATGTAGTTAATTGTATTATGTATAGTTAACTAGACTTATTCGACTCTTCGCCCCCAATAAGTTATCTATCACCATGTAGGTATCGTTCGAGGACCGCGTCGGCGGCGCCGAGCGAGGCTGGATAATTCAACGCATAGTAGGTTAGTCAATATGCGACAGACCAGATGCAGAAACAGGAAACGGGAATAGGAACGAAGGGTCTTCTGAAAGGACGTCTCGAGGTTCTTGATTGGTAGCCATAAATGGTTAGCCCTAACTTTTATATGAAGGGTTGTTCCCTGATGGTTCCTTGAGCCCTTTCTCCGCTTATTCGAGGTACGTTACCCGAGTCGCTGGACGAGCCACTAGGTTACATATTTAAGTACCCACTATCGATGTTCGATGTTCGATGTTCGTTTAGTGTACATACCTTAGGTAGGTATGTCCTGTGTGCTTTGGCAACAGGTAAGGTTATGTAGGCAGGTGCTAGAGAATACAGGCGTACATGTATTGTTACTTCTGCGTAAACGCACATAGATACGGTACCTGCCTACCTTAGGTTATGTACAATACATTACCTACATGTATGTATGTACTAAGCCCTGTGTCTCAATGCTTCGGTGTGTGGAAGCTACTCAACCACGTGCGTACAATAAAAGGCAGGCGCAAGAGAAGAATAACCCCACCGTTCGCGCGCCTATCTTTAGGTACATGCTCTCTGTAATTTTCTCCTTCTTTTAATATATCTGCCATTCTCATCCCATTCGCCTATTAGTCATGGCGGAGTAGACAACCCTGCCTTTTTTACCTCCCTCTTACCTCTTACATAACATTCTCTCTCGGTCTGACCCCCTAGACTCGCTTCATACCCTACGGCTATTCGTGGGCGATTCCGCCATGCATCATCTGCTGCAGCGGCGACGGAGGGACCTATAACGCTGCCGATTCGATTCATGGACGTTGATTGTATGCAAGGGAGCCCAAAATATCGGTATATTACCACCCCCGTCAATGTGCAGAATCAGCCTAGCTTGTCCCAATAGCAAAGGTGTGGATGCAGACGCCGACAACTGACCGGGTTCTGTTCTGATTCCATATAATAGACCTTTGTTCGCCACACCTAATAGACGACTTGATTTACGTCCGTACATTGATCGTATTGTATCGAGAGAATCCTACGAATATCTACCGAGCTCGAGACGCAAATAAAGATCTCGGCGCCCAATTAATCTATACCAAAATCTCCGACATTCTGGGTGAGATCTGACATGAAATCTGGGGGGGTTAGATGGACCTATAAGATCGAGCCGACGATCCACAGGGCGGCGTCGGCGCATTAGCACGGCTAGAGTAGTTCATCACAATCCCGCGCCAACTCCGGCCGCTTTCCCACTATAATACCGCTCCTCAACCATGGAACAAACCGACCACGTGGCCGGCTTAGATCCGGACTCACGCGCCGCCTGGCAGGCGAAGCCTATTCGCCGGCGCAACCGCATGATTAATAGGTGAGATATACCCTCTATTCCTATACTCCCAACGCGAAGACAAAGAAGAAAAAAGCGAGTCGAACATACGTATTATTTATCTCTAACATACCCCACCTCCTTGCGTTCTCTTTGCCAATACGAAGTATGGATGCTAATTTACAAGCACGGAGTATCCTGGAAGCAAAGCTTGGTTTCCCGGCATGTCCCTCCGAACATAGCCGGGGAACCAACGTTTTGCTTCTTGCGCTCCGTCTATAAAAGTTGCTTAGAATGTCGAAGAAGAAAGTTAAAATGCTCTAAGACGAGCCCGTCCTGCACAAACTGCAACAAGGCTGCCCGAGACTGTCTATACATAGGACCACGACTGGACGAAGCTAGTCAAATGCGCCTTGCTGAAATCAAGGAGAAACAAGGAACTCTTGAACGAGAACTCGAGCGTGATGTTGCAAAGTCTACGACGTCCAAGAGTACGTTACAACAGCGCAGCCTGGCCGACGATATTGTAGGTGAAGATGACGAAGAGCGCGATTTGGAGGCTACACCACTTGCAGCTTTAGATGTAACGTATGAGGACGACGTTGACGGGGCGGGTGATATGATAGACCTAGGGATCCAGATCGGGAAAATGCGCATCACCGAAAGAATAGGCGGTCTCTCGCGGCCTAGGATATCCGAAGAGGTATGTGACGCATACGATACACATGGGTAAGATACTTATACGGTGAATTTCAGATATCGGCTGGCATCTCAGGCTCACAGCCTTTGGGTTCGCAACCTCCGCATCACGGAGGGCAGGCGTCCGGCATCGACGACCTACCCGAGTTCCTGAGGCCAGGGGACCAGTATATAGTACCCACTTCTGGCTTCTTCTTCGGTCAGCTGGGGGAGCCACCGTCGATCCTCCAATTCCTACCATTTAGGGCCGCCGCAGATCAGTTAATGAAGCAATACTTCACTTCTGTTCATCCAATTGCTCCTTGTGCCCATAGGCCGACGTTGGAGGCTACCTACGCGACCTTCTGGGAGGAAATAAACGCAGGATATGAACCCCGGCCTTCAATGCAAGCTGTCATTTTTGGTGCTATGTTTAGCGGAGCTATCAGTGTAGATGAGAACACCCCTGAGTTAGTTGGATATCCCAGAGCTAGCTGGGTCTCTAGCCTGAAGATGGGCACCGAAACCGCCTTAAGCAAGGCAAACTTTCTACGAACTACCAAGGTAGAAACGATGCAAGCGTTTATTATGTATATGGTACGTTTATTTACCCTAAAATTAGCTATAAAGACGACTAATTTCACGATAGCTTCCCCTTTGCAGAGGTGAAGTGTCACGGGCCCACTCAGTACTCGTTGGTGCCGCAGTGCGGATGGCTGAGTGCATGGGTTTACATCGTGATGGAGAAGCATATGGTCTTACGCCGCTCGAAACGCATGTTCGGCGTCTGATCTGGCACCAATTATGCTTTCTCGATATTCGGACTTGCGAGGCCCAAGGACCGAAACCAGTGATCAGGCGAGATGACTACGATACGAAATTGCCTCTAAACTGCAACGACGAAGAACTCACACATGCCGTAAGACCTCCAGAGCCATCAGACGTGTGGACTAACAATACTCTTGCCCTGATCCGCTTTGAAATCAACGAGATGATGCGCATCATATGGATCGACAGGCGGAGACTTGAAGCTCGCCGGACTACGTTAACAGCTGTGCTCACTAAGATCGAAAACTTCCGCCGGCGGATGTCAGAAAAATACGATCGCCTTCTAGATGTTACACAGCCAATCCAGAGGTATGCAAAATGCGTCATGTATCTATTGACATATCGCTTGCACGTCATGATCCTGCATCCCTACCACTCAAATGCCGCCAACCCAATGCCGCCACGGCTGAATCAGCTTCTTATCACATCAGGGATCATGATCGTCGAGCTCGCAATACAACTTGAGACCAATTCTAATTTTAAGGATTGGGCATGGTATCTTGGTGCTTATTTCCAATATCAGATCGCGCTGCTATTGGCGACTGAAGTTTATTACCGGCCGCAGTCTCGCGACGCTGATCGGATATGGTCGTGTTTGGACTACGTTTTTGGCATGGACCGCAGGCTTCCACCCGAAGCCAAGGCCGTGCAGCTCCTTTCCGAGATACAAGGTAAGACTGCAGTATATATGCGCATGCGCAAGATGCGTGGGCCCACAAGCCTCTCACGGGCCGTTCCTGGGCAAAATGTTGTCGCGGGAACTTCACGGCCGTCGCCACTTGTGCAAGGTCATCTACAACAACCGCTTCAGGGAATAGCTCCGGATGTACCCAAGGTTGAACCGGGGTATACTCCACCAATGCCGGCTGGCCCTGCGATGGCACAACCACAGATGGTGTTTGCCGGTGTTTCTGACGGGCAAGCACTATGGAGCTTACCACCGAACCACGCAAGCCCGGGGAGCGATAGCTCGAGCATAGAGCAAGGGGGTCAACGGATCTCTACACCGGGGACTCGGGGACCGGGGATGATACACAACGGTAGTATCATGGATAATATTGATTGGGTATGTCTCTTACGATCTTGTTATGTTGCCCTTTAAATTATTAACAGCGGTGCTAACTTAACGTTCAGGACACAATCAACTCTCTCTTTCCTAACGATCCGCAAACGGGCGGGTTAAGCATACAGGGATTTCACGACCCGAATTTCAGCGCTGCGGGTTGGAGCACTTGACAGGATAAGGATAGGACAGGATGGGTAGGACGGGCCAACATTTGGAGTTTCTATTTATTTCGATCTTTGAACTTTATCTACTTCAAATTTAGACGATGATATGAAGCAATTCGTAGTGAGAGGGAGCTAGGATCACTATATTTTCTCCTTTTTTTCTTTTTCTTTTTCTGTATATCGGGTTGAGAGTACAACAACGAATACCTAACGAGACACGGATTGGAGATATACCATTATTATAGAGCTTGGCACTCGCTTTTTGGGAACATTGAAAAATAAAAGATATACCTTCTCGATTTGTTACTAGGTTAGGTAGTTTCTTAACTCTCTAACCGCAACTTGAGCTTAGATAAACCAATACGAATCGTCACAATAAAACGCCAAGAATGCATCAACACTGTGCGTAATAGTCGTAAATTCTCTTCTAATATAAATACACATAACATCTTCATCTGAAGTGGAGAATAGTAGTAGAAAGATAGGCCGTAATAAGAGAAAAACACGATCCGAGGTCATGACTCATTAACAATAATTCTATCTTTCTGCGCGCTCCCAATCCGAACCGAGCCGAGAGGATGGGATGGGATATTGGACAGGAAAAAAGCAAATCTCATTCATGCAGATAGGTATTGAGCGGGAAAAAAGCATAATGCCCCAATTCATTCATGCAGGCAACGCCGGTCCAGGTATCACCGCCGTCCCCTTTACCAAGAAAATTCAGGGAGAAGAAAGCCCGTTTTTGTGAATCCGTGGAAAAGACAAAACGTGACAAAAGCTTGAAAAGAAATCTTAAATCTTCAGATGCGTGATAGGCCCCCCTCATTAATGTGTATGCCCCCTTGGCCTAGGCCCTTCGTTTATGATTATTACTATTATTTTTGTTATAAGTCCCCGTCGTCGTCGTTGCTGCTGCTCCGCGTATCCGCAAGGATGGCTTCATTCTCTAGATGCCGCCTTCCAGGTACTCGGCCTCTTGCGGGGGAGTTGGCATGGGGAGGGGGGCGTCTTGCATCTGAAGGCTGACGGTGCTAGGAGCAGCTGCCGAGGGCGTGGCGCCTCGCGATAGCGGGCCCGTGTCGGATGTGGGTGTGACTATACGGATGGTGGCGTGACGCGGGGGCTTGGCGACGAGCACCTGCGCAGGGCAGATGACGACCTCCTCATCCCCAACGCCGTTATCGTCGCCCTTTTTAACTACTAGTGGGAAGAGTACCGTGCGGACGATGGCATGCTGGAATTCGTATTGATCGTTAGAGACTGAGTCTCCTGATCGTTCATTCATGAGCGCAGCGTTGAAAGCGACAGTGCGTACTAGGTCGCCGTTGGCGTCGTACTCAGGTTGTAACGGCGGTAGCATCATATATTCGGCCCGCTGAGTACGCATCTCGATTGAAAGGTCGACAGCTTCGCGCATGACACGGCGGAGCTGAGATTGTATCTGTGCTTCCAGGTTAGACGGAGGCGGGAGGATCATGCATAGGGTTTGGAAGACGGCCTGTACGACGGCCTCGGTGTCCTGGTTGCGCTGATCACCAAACGCTGGCCTCTTAGACAGTAGTGTCAATGTTACGGCGCGCCACTGGCGGACAGCATGCGGTGGTCCAACTTCTGATAGAAGCTTCTCCAGGGACTTGAGCTTCTGCCGGTGTTCCCGGTCCATGCCGAACAGGTAGCGAGTGAAGACAAACTCCCAAATCATGTTCATAGTCATGGACATGAATATGTCGCGACGCCTCACTCGGTCGCTGAGGTATTCATCAACATCGGAGCCGTCTAAGACTGCGTTGTCTAATCGGTCGATGATCTTTTCATCGTTGATTTCGCTCGTCAATCGACAAGCACGCATGTCAGAGAATTTGGAGAAGCGAAGAACCCATTGCTGCACGTGTTGGCATAATTGTTGGCAGCGATGGTCAAAGTGATCTTCATCTTTGAGTCGAAGGAAGTCTGCGTCGGGAGGCTTGTGGGCAAGTATTTGCCGCTGCATTTCCCTGACCTGCTCTTTGGTAACTTCGAGTTGAGCACGTAGCTCTTGGATCTCGCTGTCTTTTTCTTGTAATGTCCTATCGTACTTCTCTTGAGCTAGGCGGGAGTTTTCGAGTTCTTTGGCTGCCGACGCGTGCAGGGCTTCGAGGTGTTTGTACTTCTCATTGTGCTGAAGGGCGAGGACGTTATTGGCGCTGTGAAGACCTTCGTTAACCTCAGTTAATCGATTGACTTCTTTGTGCAGCCAGTCGAGTGAGGCCTTGAGACTTTCGATTTCGGCATCGCGCTCGGTGATGGCGGATGCAGTTCGATGGGTTATGTTTTGTTCGACGTGGGCTTTTTCGTCGGCAAGCGCGCGATTTTCGGCCACTAATTGCTCAACTCTTGATTCGAGTTCTAGAACCTGTATGCTTTGTCGACGACGCATGCTCTGTGGTCGGGTTGGAGACAGTGGGGATCCAATGCGGCCCTCGCCGTAGCCATCCTGCATATGGGGATTAGCAAATAGAGTAGCGGCGGTCATGGCTTGACGATGTGTTCTGTGATGGATAATGAATAATGGATTGTGGATTGTGGAGAATGGAGAATGGAGAATGGGGAATGGGGAATGGACTATGGACTATGGATACGATGGATAATATGCACTTACATATACGTCCGTCATGTCCTTGGCTCGGACACGGCCCTCATTAGCCACAGGTATCGTGGTTTGTTGAAGTTGTTGCAGCTGCTGCAGTTGTTGGGTCTGGTGGAGATTTTCTCTCGAGGCATTGTTGTTATTGGAGAGGTTGGAACTTAATGATCTAAGGTCACCGCTCATTCGTTGTTTACCCGTGCGTCGGAGCGCAAGGGGTGGGGTGTTGGAGCCTGATCGAAAATTACGTCCACCTGGACTTTCAGGCCGAAACTGTAGTGGTTCAGGTGTCCTTAGCCGTGAAATGCTCGTGTTGGATGCAGACCGCCTTGGCTCCTTTTCCATCCACCGTGTTGATGATCCTCGACTTATACTTTCTGATACACTTCTTTGCCCGACATCTTCAGATTTGGACACGCGCGTTTTCCTAGCATCTATAATATCCTGTACCTCATCTTGACTTCGAGCAGTTGGCGTGCTTAAATTTGGCAAATCTGGCGTCTCGCTTCCCAACCCTAGCTTTTTGCTTCTTTTTTCATTCGGTTGGGGAGTGCGAATTACACTGCTTTCCTCTTCTAATCCTGTAGTTTTTTGGGCCGTCTTTTCTGGCCAATCGCGCAAATGCACACCGCTGTCTCGTAGGCTTAATTCGTTCATCGAACTACGCCGCATCGGATTCGGTGAATCTGTTACAAATCCACTGTCCCTATTCGCCTCTGTGATAATTGGTGCCTTATTCGTAATTCCCTGACCCCGATCCCGTCCTTCATTTTGTAGTTCTTCACCCGTCTCTTCCTTTACTGGAGGAAGGACACGGGGTGAATTGCGGCCGGAATTTCCGTAGTCTTGAATTAAAGGCCTTGAACTTGATGACTTTAATAATGCTCCGTCGATCTTGCGCTCCACTGTTGGCTCTGAAGGTTCGCTGCCGTGCTCCGATGTGTCTAGATCGTCCAACTTTTTTATGATTTCAGTAGTAGGTAGCTCTCTCGATGTTGGGCCTTCACGACTAGCGCTGCGAAGTTCCGGTGAGTTCTGTTGTACTTCTCTTCCTACTACTGGGCTCTCGATTTCTTCGGAAGCGCTCCCATGTGATGGGACCCCTATACTCGGCCCAGTCTCCTGATCGCTTGCATTAACCTCTGGATGCTTATCTTCTAGTACCTTGGGCTCAGAGGTTTCTGAAACTACACGGTTATCAAGTATGTCTTGTGTGTCTGGCATTTTCATGTTGACATACTTCTCAGTTAAATATGCAGCCTCTCCAGTCGAGGGCGCTGCAGACATAATTTCTGGAGCTGTAGAGTCTGCATCCTTATCCATCTTCTTCCCTTTTTTAGAGGAGTGAAAGTAAGATTCCATAAGGATAGCTGCAATTTTGCGTGCTGGTGTGGTCGTGTCTTGAATGAGGCTGAGCTGCCGAGCCTCAGGCTGAGCTGAAAGGGAGTTTTCTTCTTCTATATGCCCGGGATCCAATTGCGACTCTGCAGGTGAGGCAGAAATATTCTCGCCCATTGCTACCAGTGGTACATTGACTACAGATTCTCCAGCTGTATTTTCTGGCGTGTTGTCATGAGGTCGAATCTCATCTGAAGGCTGCCCTTCAAAATATGAAGCGGCAATCTCTCGTTGTGGTGTGAACATCGGGAGTAAACCAGAAGTGCTAATTTTCTTGACACCACTATTCTCCTCAACGTTATGAGAGTTTTCGGCCTTTGTAATTAACTGAGATTCAAGATACGAGACTGCAATCTCTCTGGCAGAGGTGATGTCATGCGAAACGACATTGTTATCACTGGCTTCTGCCATGTATGATCCTGCAGGTGGTAACAGCCCGCGGGAATTGTAGCTTGAGCTCTCGGTATTTCGAGGAAATTTAAGTTGAGTCGGAGGCAGTTCAGATATCGTAGGGTCTCCGCCGGACAAATAAGTCCTAATCCTCTTGCCTGGCTGCGGTGACTGATCGAATGGACGCTCGTGTTCTATATGACTACTTAACTGGGCCGGCGAAAGGTCAATATTGACCGTGTGTGCGGCAACCGTTGACGGAGTCCGAGGAGGGGTGACAGGCCCCGGTAACTCGACGTGGTCTAAAATGTCTTGTTTGGTTTCGCTAAGAGACCCTTTGCCAGTATGGCGCTCCGATACGGGCGACGGCGGTTGAGTGATTCCCGGAACTTCTACGCTGTTCTCGTCAGGGTGACTGATATTGATGTTTTCAGCATTTTGATCTTGGTCTTTCGGCTTGGGGGGAATTCCTTCTTCGACGTCCTTTGCTTTAGAACCTTGCCCTTCGACTTCTGAGATATTTTCTGGAGTCAGTCTTCTCGGGGCGTTCTCTTTTGCTACTGTATCCGGAGAAGCGTTTGCCAGTACATCTTCTATGGACTCTAGAGGAGTAGAAGTGCCCGACGCTTTGCGGCGTGTCTCGTCTTGTGGGGGGTTATTTGGGGATTCTGACCACTCACCCTCATTTACCATTGTCCTTTCCGGTCCCTGATCCCTGGGCTCCCCTGTGGTGATGTCGCTAGAATTATGACTTGCATTCGGTTCTTGACTCACAGGCGTCTGGGTTCCCGAGCCTGTTTCTAATCCGGTTTGGGCGTTCATTCTTTTCTTTTTCTTGTCCTTTTTCGCCTTCTTGCGGCTGACAGGGGAAAGCTGAGGTTCCGGTTCTTTCGGCGCAGAAGGGTCTAGTTGTTCATTGATAGGCAATTCTCGCTGCTCGATGGCGCTTATTTTAGGTGTCTTGATGGGCTCCGGAATATTTGACTCCATAGGCAATTGCTCTTCGCTTATCAAAGGTTCCATGCTGGCTGTCGTCTCATCTTGCTTTTCGACATCAGGCAAACTTTGCGACTGCGGGTCAGAATTTGGGATTCCAGTGCTTGGTTCAGGAGTATCGAGTATCTGAGCCCCTTTTTCCTTCTCAAGATCTTCGACAGTGATGTCGGGTAAAGCTTCCTTTGATTCTTGTACGTCGTGTGCGACCTCGCTTATAGCATTGGGAGTTCCATCCAAATGTGTATCCTTGGCTATATTCTCAGCTTCAGAGGTTATAAGAGCCGGCTCGGAGCTGGGAGCTAAGCTATCTTGGTCCGTAGGCGCACCTATTTCTTCACCATTTTTCTCGGCAAGATCTCCGACGTGCCCTTGAATATGTCGAGTCGAGGATTCAGCCTCTACTGTCAGCGACTGCAAGCCCTCTTCCTGAAGGCTCGTCGATGTAGTGTTCGTAATAGGGGCATTTTGCACCTCCAAATTTGAGTTTACTGGCTCAGGTTCGGACTCAAACAGCTCGGCGGCTAGAGCGGCTAATTTTTTCATCTTTCGCCTTTCCTTCTTGGACATTTTGCTACCAGAAGATTGGGAGAGGTCTTCTCTGGGCTTCTCTCCCCCCCTCCGGGTTGTTGTATGTTCTACCTTGGGCGGAACGTCGAGCTGTTCCTGGCTCTCTTGTATGGGAGACGACTCGGGAAAGATTGGTTGCGCTTGGGATTCTAGAGGGACTGTAGCGCTAGACTCAGGCTCCTGGCTGACTTGGCTTGCTTTCTTCTTCTTTTTCTTGGATTTTTTACTTGTAGCCATCTCAGGTAAGACGTTTTCGGGTACAGCATCTGTGGCGATTGTGGACGTATCATCAACGATTAGCTGGCTATCAAGGTGCTGGGATTGTTCTGTTGGTTCTGACGAGGGCACGGTTTCCAGTGTAGGTTCCCCTTCAAGCTGACTGGCGTCCTCCTCCTCCGGCTTAGGCCCTGATTTTGTAGGCACTTCGGGTAGGTCTGTATTTTGGTTGTCTTTCGAGGTTGTCATAGGTTCTTGTATACTCAGGAGACTCTTGAATGAGTCGGTAAGCCAACCCCAGCTCGCCCGTTGCTCAGCACGTCGATCCACATGTTGCTCTCTAGACTGCTTCGGTAACTCCTTTTGAGCTTGAGTCTCAACTAGCTGCGTGCTTTCTGATGTGGGCTCTGGTTCGGTTTGATTAGCTTTCTTTTCCTTGCTTTTCTTAGACTTCTTTGTCAGCGTGGACTCAGTTTCATCCAAGGTGACGGGAAGCTCCTGGACAGGTTTTACAGAACTTTCTAGTTGTGTAGGTTCTTCTGCTTGAGCTGGCGACTCCGGCTCCGAACGTTGGGTAGACTCTTCTGGCTGTATTGGATCTTGCTGTGCGGGTGCTCCTACTTCCAAAAGATCTTGTGGCACAGAGATTAATTGCTCAGATTCGCCTGATTGAGTGAGCTCTTCTAGCTTGGGTAGTTCTTCCTGATTCAACGGTTCCTCCGTAGCTATTGGCTCCTCTAATTGTGCAGGCTCCTGTTTTGGCGGATCCTGGGTTTGCACAGGCTCTCCTGATACTACGGCCTCTAGTTGGGTAGATTCTGCTGGTTGCAAATCTTCTCCCGACCTGGGGAACTCATCAAGCTGTACTACTCCAACCGAAGTTTCGGAAGCGATAGGATCTACGGTTTCCTCGTGCTCTTTATCTGACTGGACTAGTCCCTGGGACACCGGCTCCTCTCGCGGCGGAGTTGAGGAAACAACATCGGTCTGCTCTTCCGGCATCTGGCTAACGGTCTCTGACTGGACGACCTCCGATTGAGCGGTATCTTCGGCGCCGGGCTCCTCGGACGTAGGAATAGTGACAGTATTTTCAGGAGGGGGTTGGTCCGATAGAGGAATATCAGACTCTGGTAACGTGCCCCTTTCAACCTGCTCCTCGACAATCTGGGGTGGCACTACTGCAAGAATATTCTCCTCGGTAGAAGGCCTATTATCCTGTGTGTTTACAATCGGAGCCTCTTCGACACTGGTGGACTCAACCGGTGCTTCGGGCAAGCTAGTCGAGCGATTCTCTTCAATGGGAACCGTATCTTCAATGCTCACAGGAGATACATCGGGAAGTACATTAGTAGATCTGATCCCCATGGGCGACTCTAGCTGTTGGGGGATGGAATCTAGCTCCGGTTCGGCTAGCATCTCGGCCTCAAGTTCAGGCTCCTGGGTGCTTGGCCCCTTCTCCCCATCGTCTTTTTGGCTAGGTGTTAGATCTGCAGCATCCTGATCTACAGAATCTTCTGGAACAGAAAGCTTCTCTGTATTCACATGCTCGATCGCGGACGTACTAGCTGCTAGATCACTAATGGTTTGATCTAACTTTTGTTGTAAAATTGCCTCATCTTCCCGTAGACTTGCGCGCTTCTTTTTCTTGTTCTTTTTGCCTTTCTTAGTAGGAGCCGTCTCCTCAACCTTTTCGTCCTTTAAGCTCTCGAGTGTTAAGTTTTCAGTCTCTGCAATTTCACTTATGTCTGGTTGAACTGCAGACTCAAATTCTGCTTGATTTTGTTCTTGTGACTGTACATCATCTGAACGACCAACATCCTTGGCTTCTGTATCTTTACTTTCAGTGGGGACAGGATCAATAATGTCTGCACCTTCAGGGCTTTCCTGGGAGGTAGATCTGCTAATATCCGCCGGCTCGTTATTGTTTATTGTGTCCATGAATACTTGACTCAGTTCGACTTGGGAGGCAGAGACATTCTCATTGTGAGAGTTGCCTCCCTTGACTTTCTTTCCTTTCCTATTCTTTCCAAGGGAGCCAGGTTCATCCAACTTTTCTTCCTTCGAGGCTTCTGTAGGAGCTGAGACTTGAATTTCGCTTTGTTCGTCTGTGGAAAGCATCACTGCACTTTCCTTAGCTGTCTGCTCTGGAATTTGCTCGGATAGGTTGTCATCTAGAAGGGTTAGTTGTTTGTTTTCTTCACCTTCCTTATCCTCTATAGAGACGCTCTCGGGGCTCTTCGCCTCTAGCTCTGCAATTTCCTTAGCATTGGCTAAGGTAGATTGATTATTTGTAGGATATCTAGAATAATCTTGTCGGACTATTGTAATTTCGGTTTCGGTAGGCTTGTCCACTCTGTCCGGGGGCGGGAGAGAAAGCTCGTCGCTAAATATAGGTATAGCGCTATTCGTAGGATTTATTGCTTCGTCGACGGCTGCTGGCATACTTGGGGCGGATTCGGTAATTTCTTGGCTTGGTATAAATGCCGTATCATCTAAGATTGACTGGCTTCCTCGCCTTTCCCCTTCTTTGCTTTTCTTTGGCCTGGGCGTGACCACGTTTTCCAGGCTTTCTTCGTCGCGTACAGGCTCAGCCACGGGTTCTTCCTCTAGCATAGCGTTTTCAGTTAGATCATTGGTTTGCCGAGTTTTCTCCTGGTCCTGGACATTTGTAACTTCTCCACTTGGGGCGATCTCAGGCCTGATTATCAATATATCGTCACCTGCCTTGTCTGTCTGAACTCCTGGTTCCTGCTCAGATTCTTGAGAGTGGACGGTTGTACCCGTAACATCCGATGCTCGTGGCTCAGCCTCTTTCGTTGGAGAAGGAGAGATATCTAATGTGCCGGTCGCGGTCTTGCTCGTTCCGGGGGTAGGTAACTCGGATAGGTCAGGCGGGTCTTGCTCAGTCACATGCGGCTCCGGCTTCGGCTTAATCTCTTGAACCGAGGGTGAATCCAAAGGTATCACATCTTGCGGTTGACTGCTCTCGAGAGCAGGAGATTGCGGTTGTTCGGTCGGAGGTTCTGTTGGTAAAGGGGCCAACTCGGGTTCTCGTTCTTGTACTTGGCTAATTTCCTTCTCCTTTCCTTTGTCCTTATTTATAGGGTTCTGCGGGTCATCTTGATGCGGCTGAGACACCGATTCCGTCGCTGGTTCAGCTATCACCGGAGCTTCTGACACGACTTCACCTAGATTAGTCTGATCTTGCGATATAGTCGATGGTATTTCGACAAGGTCTGAGGAAGGGGCCTCTGTACTCGGCTCGTTCATCGGCGCCACTGCTCCTATTGTAGAATCGAGTGCGTCTTGATTTTCACTCTCACCCTCTTCCGCAATCGTTGGCAGTATTTCTATAGTGTTTTGAGTCTTGTCTTCGGCTACTAGGTTAGACTCGGCCTGTAAATTGCTGAGGGTGATATTCTCTGTAAGAGGATTCGACAAATTATCTTCGGAACTAGTAGACATGGCTCGAGTTGACTCGCAGAGTTGAGAAGTTGCTAAAACGCTGTCATTTGTCATACTTTCTGAAGGCTCTTCAATATTATCCTGTGGCTCAAGGACTGCTGTAGGGCTGGCTTCAGTGGGGAAAGTATCTTGAGCCGGTAAGATTGGTATGACTTCGGATTCATCCTTGGTAGAAGGCTCCTGGACAGCATCCGCCTCAATGGGTGAATTGTCATTCGCACTTTCCTGCACCGCTGGTACGATTTCGTCCGAGGGTTGCTGAACACTGTCACGCTCGCCCTTTGATGCGCCCTCCGCTAGTAGACTGTTTTGGGCTTCCATTGAGTCTTCTGCATTTTCCTGGGGGACTTGCTCTTGGGTACCTGCAGCAACGTCGGAATCTTTTAGGTCTGGCTCGTCTCGTGCGTCGTCAAGGGTATTTGATTGGGTTTTAGCCTCAATATGCTGGATAAGCTGATCTAATGGGTCTATTGGCTGACCCTGAGATGGTTCTTGTTGAGCCTTCGATGCATCACCAAAGCTGCCCGATGCCTCTTGAGAGTGGACCTCGGATTCCGGTAAGTAATCCGGTGGGGGCGGCACGTTAATAGAGGCCCAGTCGGGGTTGAAGGTTGTGCCAGGCGCAGGGGTCTCATCGACCGGTTCCGCCGAAGTCTCCATAGGTCCCTGTTCGAGTGGTCCAGGGAATTGGGCGCTCTGGGGCTTTTGATCGTCCTTCTTAGATCCTTCGGTGCTAGATAGATTTAGATCTAAACCAAGACTCTCTCCGGGTTGTGTAGTATCCTCGGAAACGACACCTGGCTCGGCTGATATCTCTGGTAAGATGACAGCTGTTGGCGTTTCCTCAGTGTCAGTAGAGATGTTTTCAGGTTTCTCGTCCGTCTCTTGTTGTTTAATCGTCGATGGTACGCCAATATCTTCTTTTGCTTGAATTGCTTGGGTGTCGTCGCTAATTCTATCAGTGGTAAGTTGAGTAGGTGAAGTTACTTCCTTGTTCGCATCACCCCGCGCATCCAGAATTTCCGGTGTTGCCTGGGTAATATCGTTAGTGACAGTCTCGACTTGGATAGGACCACGCTTTTCTTCGTCCTCCTTCTCCTTGCTAGGGGTAGACTCGGACTCGGGGGCTTGGTTTTCCACCTGAGTGACAGCTGTCACGTCAACTTCGTCAACTCCGGGAGCGAGAGATTGGGAGGGTGGTTTGCTATCAACATATGTCCCCACAATCGTGGGCTGTCCCACCGACTTCTCAGATTCCTCAGATTCCTTAGATTCTAGTTCTCCACTCAATTTAGGTGCGTCAATTGCATCGGTGATAACTGGCTCCTGCACATCCTCTACAATTGGTTGAGGTACAGAGGACTGCTCCTCCGCGAGTAACACATCCAATTCATTAACGCGGTCTTGGGACGGCTTTTCGAGAACATCACTGACGACTTGAGGCTCGTTGACATCAGTTTCAGAGGGTGGTTGGGTCGCCGGTTCCGGATTGGGACCAGTTAATACAGAAGTGTCAACTACTTCTGACGCATCTTGACTTATTTCCTTGCTTTCCCCCTTCTCGCTACTGAGTTTATCTTGTGGCTGAGTCGTTTCCGGTGCCTCTTCATTGATCACCTCGCTAGAAAGGCTCAGTGGTTGGGCGTCATCGGTGTTTGGGGTTAAACTCGATGCTTCCTTCACCGGTTGGAATGATACGGCCGATTTGTCTTGTTTGTCTTCTGAGCCCTCGTTCCAGTCAGGCTTGGAAAGCGGAACCTCCGTTGGATCGGTTGACGCAGGTCCTTGCCGGTCCCTGGTATCTTCATCGCCAAGTATATCGAGCTGCAGTGGTGATTTGTCCACGTTAGTGTCCTTCAATAATGCTGAGCCGCTTGATTCCTGCTCGATGGGGCACTGCAGATTAGTTTCAGTCAGAGTGGGTTGCTCATCGTGTTGTTCTCCGCCAACAATAGAAACTTCAGGCTTTATAGAATCGTCAAGTGAATGGGTCTCTTCTAAAACTGATTTCGATGCTGATTGCGGCTGCTCATCTTGCCCAAGAACAGGGACCGTAGACTGGAGATCGTTGTGGCTATCAACCGCGGGCTTGCTCAATATCGGCTCCACCAGCTGGTTCGGAGAAAGTATTTCTCGTGGCGTCTTCCCGTCATCCTGATTGGCTTCGCTGGGTCCTGTAGGTTCTTCTTGGAGCACGTGTTCGCTAATTGATTCATTTCCGGGAGATAGATTTAGCTGCTGTTCAGTTTGTATCGGGCTAGCTAACGCTTCTGCGAGGCCTTCTACGGGAGTATCAGATTGCTGGTCCTCAGCTTGCACTATTGGAAGAGATGGTGATTCAGAAAGAGGCTGGCCCTCTTCTTCGTGGGCTGGGATTCGTTCATCAATAACTTGGTCCTCTAGCTCAGGTACTGCAGCTTGTGTCTCGTCCTCCTTCTCGGACGTCTCTATGGTAGGAATTTCCTCGAGCGAGTCCAATTGGCCATCACGCGGTTCTGGTGAAGTAGCTTCCGGTTGATCTTGACTAGGGATTTGCGGGTCAGCAGGAAGCACACGGGGACTCTTCGTGCTGGTCTCCTGTGTTAACTCCTCGGCTCTTTTGGTTGGCTCTTCAACAGAAGTGACAGGTTCAGCTTGCTCATTCTCTAATAGTGGCCGCTGTATATCCTCTTCCTTTTTCTCATCTTTCTCAGAGGCACTAGGAGAAAGCTCTAGAGTTGTCTCGAGTTGCCCCGGCTTCTCTAGCTCAGCATCGGGCTGGACTAATTCTTGTTCGAAGGCTGACCCTACTCCAGCTATGGTAGGCTCTGCCTGGATAGTAGGAGTCTCGCTTCCAGCTGCAGTCGGGCTGCTCTGCAGAGCAGTTGGCTCTAACTTAGCGATCGGTTCTAGTCCAGCGTTAGGCGCGTCTGATTCCACTACAGTCAATCCAGCTTCAGTAGCAAGGATATATTTCTGGGCGGTAGAAGTCTCTAGCTCTTCGATACGAGTTTCTCCAGCGTTCGGCTCAGTTTCCACCGTGCTTGCTTCGCCGCTTGGAAGTTTTGGTTCAGCAGTCGCTATTGGCTCAGTAGAGGATATCTCTGGTTCAGTAGCAGTAGTCTCTAGCTTGACGGCACCATGCTCCGCTTCAACTGAAGGAACTCCCAACTCAACATTAGATACTTTCGGATGGATAGCAACCTCGGCTTCAGGAGCAGCAGGCTTCTCAATAGCGGCCATATCTAATAGGATAGGAGCTGGCTCTGACGCTGGCTCTGGCTCTGCGTGTAGCTCAAACGTAGGACTATCTACTTCAACCTCGGGTGTCTTGGACTCAGACATGGCTGGCTCTTCGTGACTGAAAGTGAGTTCTCCAACAATGGCCGGTTTCTCTTTGACCAAAGGCAATTGCTCGGTGGGGATCAGGTCGCTGTAGGCTGGAACAGCATCACCAGCTCGCTGTATGGGCAGCTCGTCCAACCCTACGTTTTGAGCATCCGTAGTAATTAGCGGACTTTCCAGACTAAGCTCTATAGATTGAGACCTGCGATTCTTCTTCTTTGGCGTGGTATCTGTACTCTGTGGAATAGTCGAAGCATCGGAGTCAGGCTCGTGCACTTCAATTGAAGGTTGTTTCTCGTGTGCTTCTGAATAGGAGGGCTCGGGCGCCAGTGTTTCGATCGATTTATTATCATCTACGTCTTCTTCCGAGGCCCTTGGTACAATACCACCGAGAATTTCATCTTGGAACGAAGTGGCCTTTGTATTAGTCAAGCCCGCCATTAATTCTTCAACATCGCTCAACCCCCTCTGCTGTATTGTATCGTCATCTTGAGCATTGTCTAATGAACCACTAGATTCTAGGGGTCCATGGTCACCTGCGTTGCTCAGAGCAGTATCGAAGGTATCCATCGAATCTGGCGTTTTACTTCCAGGAAAGAAGTCCGAAACGGGAAGAAATTCGTACGGTGTTTCTGCAGAAACAACAGCCTCGTTGGCCTGGCTTAAGCTATGGTCATCAGGTGTGACCGTAATTTCTGGTTCTCCTATGATAGGCATCGCTGTTTCTGTTGAAACAACACTATTCTCCAAGTTGTCTTTGAGAGGACCTTGGGCAGAATCATCTCGATCTCTAACGTTAGGAGCTGCTAAGAAAATTGGCGGGCTGAGAGGACTATGAGAATCATTCTCAGTAAACTTCAAGTCTGACTCTTCAGGGAGAGGAGACAAGTAGGAACCGTCTGCTCTACTATTTCGGTGAAATGAAGCTTCGTTAGGTAGTTGCCTAAAGGTATCTTCATGAAGTTGGAAGGCTTTCTCAGCCGCATGCGGGCTTTCTGTTTTTTCTGTAGATATCCCAATTGGCGATGACAATGGTCCGGAAAAGATATTATCGCGGAAAGGGTGGTCTCGGTCGGGAGACTCCAGAATTAGATGGGCTGATGAAGGCGAGCCTCGCTCACGAGGTTCAGACCCCGAAGGCGAAGATTCTCTCTCGGGAGAGTTTGATAAGTCGATCGATCCCCGTAGCGCCCTTTGGAGAAGAAGTAAGGGTTTGAAGTCCCGAGAGGCTTCCCAGGATGCCGGACGAGAACGATTCTTCGATTCGCTTCCGAATTCTACGGTGGCATTGATTGGTGACACCGACGGTGAGGATCTCCCGTTGCTCGGCGTATGCCTATGCCCCGGACGGAAAAATTGGATAGGTATCGCGCTTTGACTAGGCGTTTTTGGCCTTGTCGGCGTTTCGAGGGTACTGCGACGACGAGTATGAGTAGGCGCCTCGCGCGAATGTCGTTCATGCTCAGGTGTCTCGGGACGGCTATCCGGTAGAGGTGGAAAGTCGTCACGAAGCTTAGGAAGAGGAGACTCAGAGCGACTTGGAGGTAAGGGTAACAGGTCACCATGTTTAGGATCTATAGCAGGTCGAATTTCCCGCGGAGCAATCTCGGGGTCGATGGGCTCTGCTTCTCGTGATAAAGTTGATTGTCTCTGGAGAGTGAAGGGAACAGATTGGGGTTCTTGAGCATTGGTGGCATTTGGCAGGGGCTCTTGGGACATGATAGCATCGCCCGTCGAACCGACACCTGCGCCAAGGATGCCGGCATTACCTAAAAAAGGGTCATTCTTGTCCTCGTCCAACTTGCGTAGAGGTTCCTTTCCTTCAGCCATCCCAATTGAAGATTTTAAGCGGCCGAAAAAACCTGTATTTCCGCTGCTCTTTTTATCTATCTCCGCTTTAGAGCCTTCGCGATCCTTTTTACCAGCACTGCTCGGGGTGGAGGCCACGGCTTTAGCTTGGTCCGCCTTATCATCCCTCGTCCGGTTACCAATTGGTTGGCTATCGTAACGAGCTTCGTTCGGAACTACAGAGTCAGCATCATAATCCAAGATCTCAGATCGACCCTTTCCCTTATCGGTCGGCCCTCCCTCAGGAAGATCATTCTCGTTTTCGGGTAAATCAGCAGCGATGCTTCTCCTTTTCTTCTTCTTCTTGGTCTTCTTCCGGGAATCATCGGTACCCACGTCAGAGGCCAGAACTACGGTACCCGCGTCAGAGGCCAGAGCTAACCTTGATGGCGTTGACAACGGATCAGAATAGGAATCCCGTTTTGATCTCTTGGAACTTCCCATGGAGGCTTCAGATGGAGCTACGGACCGGGGCGTTGAGGGCCGATCTTCATATGGAATCGAACTTCGCGTAGATTTCTTCGATTTCCTCGTTGTGTCTAACTCCTCTTCTGTAGCGGCTGTCTTTTCACTACGTACATCGCTGGAGGATTCGGTCATCTCCTTTGGGCTATCGTAAAGATCTTCAGCAGGGAGCGTTGCGTGCGACAAGGAGTCGTGGACACTAGAGTCTTGCGTAGACTTATCCTTTGACTCGCTGAACGAATCCCAGTCTTCGAGGCCACGGACAGTCGGAAACGCAAATTCATCATCAACAGATCCACGCTTACTCATTTTACCCTTTCTCAAAGCATCCTGTTCGCTTTTAGGGAGAGGAGTAGCGTCTGCCTCTTGAGCAAGGTCTAGAGCAGTCTCCAAGATTGGTACAGACCTGGGTGGTGAATAATATGCCCCATCGTCACGCTTCGACTTCTTTTTGCTCTTTTTCGGTGTATCCCACTCTTCTTCGGTCTCGATAATACTATCCGTGGTATCGATTATTCCGTAAGAGCTTGCCGTTGAAAGTTCCGATGGCAAAACCGTCCTCGAAAAAGATTCACCCGAGTCTTGCCTAGCCCTCCAGCTATCCTTTCTTGAACTGCCAGATTCGTCGTCAGGAGTAAAAAAGACATCCGCTCTAGCAGGCTCTCTCGGCCTATTATTTGAAGTCTCGGGCTTCGGCGTGGGTACTGAAGGCGAGTTATATATCTCTAAACCACGCTTGAATCTCTTGTTGCTCTCATCTAGACGATCTGATGTGCCAATATGTACGGTATTAACATTTTGTACATCCCGAGAGCCATCGACTAGAGCTACGACCTTGGGGTTCTCTACAATCTCAGGCTGTCTCGAATCCTCTTGGACAACAACAGCCCTTTTCGACTTCTTTGACATTTTCTTAGGTGAGCTGTCTTCCCCTTCAGCGGTAAATTCGGCCTCTAAATATTGCTCGTTTCGGGGCTTATTGTCGATTGGTGTATCATCCAATGATTGAGCTCTTGCTGCTTTCTCGCGTTTCTTTCTCTCCTTTTTGCTAAACTTATTCGAGAGCACATCCCAGTCGTCCTCTGTAACAGATCTCGAGAGCTCTGCAGCCTTACTGCCACCGACAATAGCATGGGGCTTTTCAGCACTATCTCGTTCGGGGGCCTTGTCCTGCTTGCGCTGCAGTGCTCTATTGAGCTCGGAAATAATTCGCGATTTATCGGTCGAGATATCCCTCTCGTCAGATGGCGTCTCGACTTCCCCAATAACAAAGCCATGTTCCCGGCCACCCTGCGAAGCGGTAATCCCTGGACCGTCAACTGTTCTCAAGTCGGCCACCGACTCCACGAACGGCGCTTGGCATACGCTAAGGTCATTCGACCCAGGCGGTGAATCACGCTTATGAAAGCTCGCATTGTCGATAACGATATTAGGGTCAAACCCGCTACCTTCAAGGGCGGCAGCTATATTTGCTGTAAACCCCGGGTCTTCCTCAAAGGAACCCGGCATCTGGGCACCCTTTAGGCTTGGGGGTTTGGGACCGGGGATAGGCGGGCTATCATATGTGTTCTTGAATGGGACCGAGGCTCTACGATTTGCGGGTTCGTCCCCGTTCCTTGAAGTTTTTTTAGGCCCAGTCGCTTCAACGGCAGCAGTCTGCTCTGGTGTACTCGATGACGCATTTCTATTGCTACCACCACCGAGAGTTGCTGCAATGAATCCTAATCCCCAACTCCTTTTCCCCGTCCGACTTCTTGGAGGTTTAGCAGGCGTCACAATCTTAGTCCCCGAATATGGGTCATCCTCTCTCTCCGGACTCTCCACAACATAGCGTTTTGTTTGATTCTCTCCCCAGCTGACAGATTTTGCTAACGGCGCCGGGGCTTCTTCGCTTTGAGATTCAGTAACTACGTCAGGTATGACCTTAGGGGGAGGAATATCAATCTTCCTGACAACCTTAGGAAGAGGCTCTTCCGCACGTCGCTGTCCCTCTGGAATTGGTGTGGGAACAGGCGTAGGCCGCACGACATTAAGCATTGGCCGCTCTCGCTCAGCGGAAGGGTCTCTTGCTGTGAATACGGGGATCTTGGTGAGACCCTTGATATCTGACGTTCGAAAACGAGAAAGTTCATTGGGATGTTCAAGAACATTATCAATGCGGACATCAGCATCGGGTGCATCGTAGGCGCTCTTCTTCTTCGCGTGATCCATTTCTGGGGGTGATACAACATCCACAATCACCGGTTGCTGATCCTGCTTCCATTTGTCCACAACCGAAGGCTCAGCATCTCGTATCTCCGCGTCCTTGATTCTGCGCGCAAGTTCTGCTTCCCGGTAATAACGGTCAGCATCCTGTTGGACAGCATCCTTTTCACGTTTTGGAGATTCATCCCGTCGCGATCTATTCCTAGAGCTAGCATCGCCACCTCGGCTATGACTACGTCCACGGCGATCTTCAGCCATGACCACTGCAGCGGCGGCAGCAAATGCAACTCCGCTTATAGGAGCTGTCGCGTGCTCGGCAGTTTGGTATATTTCATGTGCATCACGAAGTTCCCGCTCATAAGAATCTCTCCGACTAAGTCGGTCCGGAGAGAAATTAGGCTCGCGATCTACAGTTATCACATTCGGCGTAAGGGGTCGTTTCGGTGTCGTGTGAGGAGGAGTCTGAAAAGCATCATCAGCTACTTGAAATTGGAACGGATCAATTGGACCCTCTCGCGTAGGATACTCGGGGCCATTCACAGGTTCGTAGCTTCCCACACTAGGACGATCAGCACCGTCTCTGTTGTGACGTTCCTTTTTATAAGCATCTTCATGGACAATCTTCCGTTCATCTTCTGGATCGGGTTTGCGCCTATTACGCGTCAGGTCGTGATCGAAGTTATCGTCATTGTATTCGTCACGACGGCGCCCCTCCTCCTCAGACTTCCGTTTTAATTCGGGCACTATCAATTCCCGGTAATGCCAATCTCTTTTAAACTCTAGGCCGTTTCCAAATCGCGATTCTTGGGGTATTTCAGTGAGATCATTACGAGCCGCAGAGAGATTATCATGGCTCTTACGCTCTTCAGCCTTCCGAGCCTGGACGCCAGCGTCTGAACGTTTTGGTCGGCGCTCATTATCACGATGACGCTTCTCCTCGAGCTTGTTGTGGTCATCTTTACGATCAGAGCTTAGTGCCGCACCCCCTAATGCGGCCCCAGCCAAACCAGCAACAACAGTGTCCTCAGGCACTTTTTTAGATGACGCATGCTCTGAGTATCCAGAGCCCGTTTCCACCGAGTCGAGAACCCTCCTGGGCACCTGCACTATCGGCCTTGGATGTTGTATAGGTACTGGTGCAGGCCGAAGCGGGGCAGACAAGTCCTGTTGGCTAGACACGACGGGACCATTATAAACATCAAAGCGTTTTGGATCAGATGTTGGAGCTGGATAGACCAGTTGTAACGGACGATTACTAGGTGCAGCTTCACTAGGAGTTATTGTAGGACTTATTGAGGGTTCGTACGGTCGCGGAGATATAACCGTAGATCGGTCAACCGTTTCAAACCCACAAGGAGCCTCAACATAACCTCGGAGAGAATTTACGGGCCCGAAGAGGCTCGGATCGACCACCGAAGATTTCCGGCGGAGAGGGGGGCCATAAACTGAAACTTGAGAGGGACGAGGGGAACGGGAAGAGCTAGGGGTACTCTGACGGGGAATAGGCTGGTTAATGGTATTAGGTAGGCTAAGTCCCGAGGAGCCATAGGCAAGGCCGGAGTCAAATTCGCTAGACGACGACTCGTCTTCAGAAGCGGATTCCCACTCCGAGTCATCTGAAGAATCATCAAGGCGGGGTTTAGAGCTTCCAACCCCCCTGTTAGAGTTCCCGCTATTTGTTCGACGAAACTGACTCAGGGCCGCCGCAGCACCAACCAATGTCGACGGCCGGCTCCTCCCAGCTGCTTTAAGGTCCTCGGCATTTTGTTGTCTAGCAATCTCGGCAAACTGTCTTCCTAATTCAAGTATTTCTTCGTCCGTCTGATCACGTCGCGGACGCGGCCTACCAGCACTACTACTAGGGGGGCTGAATTCGCGACTCTTCTGCCGTTCGACGTACCCTTTTCCATAGGCAAGATCCGAGCCTACAGATGACGAGGAAGAATTCCCGAACCGAAGAAAACGGCTACGCTTCTTTTTTACACGATGTTGCTTCCGCCCACCGCCACCGCCACCGAAGAACGCGCCAAGCCCGAATCTCCTAGAGGGACGGGAGATATTTAATAAGGAGGAAGATGTGGAGGATGACGATGAAAGGGGCGAGGGTGCACGCGATCGAAGGTGTATGAGTTCGTTTTGTTCTTCCGGGGGCGGTACAGGTAGTGCTATTTGCTGATTCCGAAGTTGCTCTCTGGAATCGCGCCGCTCTTTGCGCCGGCGGCGAGAGGATTCGGGGCTCCGCCGGCGATGATGCTCTCGGGTCATCATCTTACAGGATTAGACTCGTTCCGTATAGTCGAGTCCATTCAGAAAACACTCTCGGATGATTAATAACAAAGAGTGTACATTAATTAAGTTGGTATACCGTCGCGACGGGCCAAAAATTGAGTATAACGATGTTTTGTTTAGATCCCGATTACAACTGTGGGGACATATAGGAAACTATCAGGGACTGGGAAATGACTTAAAACCGAGCTGAAGGATGGTACTGTAGCAGTACTATGTACTATAAAGTCAATGCTTGCTGCCAGACAGCCCCACATAAGGCGGCTAACACTCCTAATTGCTGATGAAAGGGTGGCTGGGAGGTTTTTCTTTCCTTCGCCGCTTCCGACTTCTTGACGCATAATAATTTAAAATGTTGGATGGAGGCCTTCAGCTGTTCCAGAGCGGGGATTCGGCGATAATCCTATCACGTGGGTTGCACCTGAATGCCGTCCTACCACTGGTTGTTATCAGCCCAATTGTAACCGTCTATCAACTAATCGATCTTGACATTAATATGGACTGCCACGTCAATATGCTGCAGGTTGGCCACTCTCTTCCGCCCACACAACGCTAAAGCATAAGAACCTTAAGCATAAGCATAGGTACCTACCTACCTATTTACCTGCCTACCTACATACAGCTGCAGCCGCTTCTACAAGCTACCTAAGTTAGACAGTCCGTTAGCCGAGCAGCTGATTTAGGTATTGTACCTACTGGGTGTAGCACCCGATTATTAGTAGTGTATCCCGAGGAAATTCGTCTACTCATACTCAAGATGCCACATGTGTTTATACTAGTGACACGAAGGCTGTGTCATTGACATTCGATTTTATTGTTTCTACTCGGCATGTTTCAATCGGGCTGTACAGCTGAGACTAGACATACAGAGGTACACTACGTGTCTTGGAAGCCTGATCATTACCGTCATCAGTATTGAACCAGTATTGACGGCCACCGTGGCAAGCGGCGATGTTCATGTGTGTCTTGACGATGCTTAGAGGCAAATGCCTAAGAAATGCCTAAGAAATGCCTAAGACAACTCGGTATCAGCCAGCTGTACGTATTACCGTCGTCTTCAAATAGTAACCGTCGACGTGTATTCATCCGCTAGAAGTGAGCATGGAGGCCTATTCTCAAAGTACTTCTAGAATGCACACTAGTTATTGGTAAAAAGGAGATAGTAGAAAGGAGAGCCGACAAGCACGCGGGGCCATACCTACCTACCTAGGCAATCTATGCGTGACGTCTCTGTAGTTGTTCCACGAATACTTATACTTAATTCAACCGAATCCAACTCATCATTAAACTAAGAGGCATACTAAAAAGATATTATAGGGGATAGTATGTTTCTAGTCTCCAGCTAGTTATACGCACTTATTATCTTATAGCTACATACCTACCTACCTATCCAATAGCCTACCGCAATGAGAGGAAGGGATAAGAGTTCAACGAAGCCTTACTCAATACGAATGTCAGCTCCCAAGAATACTCTCACTTACGTGGCTTTATCTACCATACAGCAAAGCCATTGGATTAAAATCTCACAATGAGCAGTATCTTGTTTACTTAGTCAGTAGGCCGGTGGAGTTACTAACACAGCTGAAGCAGCATTAGACCAGAATCGATTGATTTGACTCCATACATAGTACATAAGCTATGTACCTTGGCAGTCTTGAGCGATAGGTAAAGCAACCAATCAAACCCATATAATAAATATGGACACTAATATACTCGTGTGAAGTTCGGGTAGCCTCATAGGTAACATTTCTATATACGACTCTCGTATATAGAAGGTCGGTCTAGAATGAACGACGATGCCTTTTTTGGCTAGACGGTTTTCTAAATGTGAATCTACTATGTATTATGCAGTAGGCTATTTCGTACCTATACGTATCTAATAGAAAATTAGCTTGATTCGTCGGATTCTTGCCTTTAAGGGCTAAGGTTAGGATTTTCAAACATGGAAGATTCGTCTACTGTAGGTACCACCTTAATCTGAATTATCCTTTAGACCCTGAAAATCTTAAAACAGCAGAGTTCATCTCGCCAGGGTGCATGTAAACTATCATGGGTTACTAGGACCCTTAATCAAGCAAGATACAACAGATACAACAGACACAACAGACACAACAGACACAAGAAGCTAAAGGTTCCAAGTTGAATCTGAGGCACGTCATCTTGTATCACAATTGCACCGAAGAACTGGGAAATTCTCATTAGGTGCATCCTGAAGGCTTATCCGTCCTTCTGCTGTACGGATGAGGCAGAACGCAGGGTTTAATTGGACGGGTTTCCATGCGTAGGTAGTGTCCCGAGTTGTATGCATGCACACTATTTAGCGAGTCAAACCTACTTACATAGGTGGTAGGTAGGTAGGAATTCTTATAATATCATAGCAGCATTAGGAGGTAGTACCTAACCTACATACCTACCTATGCTAGGTACATATATGTATAGGTAGTACTTAAATAAGGGCAACTGATCTTTTTGGCGGCTCGTGGGGGCCCACCATCCCACACTACAACCTTGGAAATTTCATGTATTGCTTGGCTATCTGGCTATCTGGCTATCTGGCTATCTAAGTAATGTCGCGCAGGATGGAGAGGCAAAGGAGGAAAGGACAATCTGGAAGGATAAAAAAAAAAAAGATTAGTCTATTAAAGACTACCAGATACGGTTACTGCATTTTATCTATAATCCCTGCATATTAGAAGAAGGAACTATGGAACGACAACATTAAACACAGTTGTTTTCTTAAATTTGTTGATTGTACTGTCGGGTCGATCTACTTCGTAATTTTTTGCTAGATAGGCAAATTCTCCTCCGATAGAGACCCAATCGCAATCGGGACAAGACCAATTGTCCTGTCGCCGTGTTGTTATCACTGAGACATTCCTGTCACCTTTATTACCCGCATCTTTGAATGTGGCTTCAGCCACCTTAGACTTTCTATCTACCTAACATATTTGTCTTTGCCTGTCGACAGCCTCTTAACTTGAGGACTGCGACGGAAGGGACAGTAAATCTGGCTCCTGTCGACTCCGATAACGAAGTCTCTTCCTCGTCTTTCAGCGACCGCCCCGCGATCGCCCACCGTCGGAGACGATCTTCCGCAGGGAACGACTCGGTCTCCGCGCCTGGTAATAATCTCGTTCCTCCTCTGCATCTGGGCCAACAGGCCCAGTATTTGCAACCAACGCTGAGTCCGATTCCTGGTATGTTGACGACATGCGCCTCCCGTCGATTCAAACAGCCCTATTAACGCGAGTTATGTTCCAGGCACACCCAACCTTTCGATGTCCTTGAGCAGGAGTCCCTCCCCCGTCCCCGGAGGAGGATGGTCTTCTCCTGGCCTAAATATCAACAGCGGCCGATCCAGCCCAGCGAAGGCGTCCTTCTCGGGGCCCAACGGCGGTGGCGTAACGTGGGAGTCTGCAAGGCTTAAGACCCAAGGTGTTGCCAGTTATCCTTCCTTCTCAACACACAACCAGGGCTTCTTCACCCGACATATGCGACGCATCTCGAGTAGCCTACCATCTTTTAACACGGCAACGGATGATAGGTATGCAGAGAAAGAGAAACTTGGACGGGGCAGATGGAAGGTTCCCCTCCTTGGAAGGATAAGAGCCGCAATTACACGAGTGAGTAGGAAATGGAAGATACGTGCGGCTATAGCGTTACTCCTGCTCGCGTGCTATATACTATTCTATATCACTCGTAAGTCTTAGCCATAAATTTTACCCGTGCAGGTAACTAACCGCGCTTCAGCCCTGTGGTACTACTGGAGAAGAGCAGGCTGGTTAGGAGGCGGGGAGAAGTTTGTCATCATACTTGCCGCAAATGTTGGCGGTGGGGTGATGGAATGGAAAGGAGCGCGGGAGTGGGCTATCGAAAGGGATAGTGTAAGGAACAAACGAAAGTATGTCGCGAGATGGGGTTACGACCTCGAAGTTGTCGACATGAGCACCAAAAAGCGGTATGCGCATGAATGGCGAGAAAGCTGGGAGAAGGTGGACAGTATCAGGAACAGTTTTAGGAAATATCCAAAAGCCGAATGGTAAGCAACCGACTGCGCTATGAAGTTTCGTTACGCTAACATGTCGGAGGATTTGGTGGTTGGACCTGAATACGTTCGTCATGGAGCCCTCCTATTCGCTTCAGCATCACATTTTCAACGATCTAGAAAAGCACATATATCGCGACATAAACGAGTTTAACCCCCTCAATATCTCCCATCCCCTTCAAGCCAACTATCTGGATCCGGAGTCTTTGAGCCCGGTAGGAGATGGAAGCGCCGACTCTATAAACCTCATACTCTCTCAGGACTGTTCGGGGTTTAACCTGGGCTCCTTCTTCATCAGACGAAGCGAGTGGACCGATCGTTTACTGGATATATGGTGGGACCCGGTAGCATACGAGCAAAAACACATGGAGTGGGAACATAAAGAACAAGACGCGTTAGAGCAATTATACACAAACCAACCTTGGATTCGAAGCCATACGGCCTTCCTTCCACAGCGAAAGATCAACAGCTTCCCGACTGGCGCATGCTCCGACCACGGAAACGACCCCCGCATCCATTATAAGCAGGAAGATCGAGATTTTGTTGTTAATATGGCAGGCTGTGAATGGGGCCGCGACTGCTGGGGAGAAATGTATAACTTCCGCGAGCTCAGCTACTATCTAAACCGCAACCCTTGGGAGAGGTTTAAAGAAGACCTCGTTGCCGTAATTTGGGAGAAAATAACGGGCCAGAAAGTCAAGTGTGCGTATAATCTGTTCTATTTTCTACTTCCCCTTTACCTTGGCTACGTGTCAGCGCACCGCTTACCTTTTTTAACCTTTCCCTTCTCAAACTCAATTCATACCCATTAGCTTTACATGGCCCACGATTACTAACTCTCGGCGTTACAGTATAGGATAACTACCTTCTGGACCCGGTATTGCCCTGATTCCAACGTAGTTCCTGGTTTGGACCGCTGGATCGCGTAATTTTATAGTTCTCTTCATTCGAATATTATATTATTTGTCCCCCGCCTACGAGATCTTAACGCCTCCCTATTTGTGGCGCAATCAACGGCTTTGTTTGTTGCGCAATATACCCATCTTGCATTGCAACTGGAAGGGCATGCTTAAGTCTTCGGGGTTTACCTATTCGGCTGTCGTGTCTATCCTCAGCTTCTTTTAATCATGGACGTGGGCCACTAGGAGATATGGTTCAGCCAGCCTGTTTGAGGGGATGAGACAGCTTGGAGTAAGAGGACTGGGGCTCATGTGCATCTGTATTGCTATGTAATGTATGTCCTTTGACGTTATATGAAAGGATTCAATGATATTGAATATTCGGGTTGCAGTTTGGATCACCTGAGATACGTGCTTGCTGGTGGAAGATATGTTTTCATGAGTGAACCATGCCACGATACTCTAACGCCAATATCACACTCCAGGCCAGATAGGTAGTATAGGTAGGTAGTAAGGACAAAAGATCCAGATGAGTCAAGCAATATGATGTAACAGCCATTATCGATGATAATACCAAGCCTACCTCTTGAGGTACTACATGAGGTAAATACATGGAAAGAGAAAGAATGTTTGTCGCACAGGAAAGCACGGATATTTACAACACACAATACACACAATACACACAATAGCAATTGGCGCTTTCCTAAATGCCTTTTTAGCAGAAATCACATCGGTGCATGTCGCATTAACTCCTTAGGTAGATGCCGGTTTTCTCCGTTCCGTCTTCTTAAACTCTCTATTGTTATCCTCAAAATCGTCTCGTCTTCCCTACCGGCGATCCCATAATAATCTGTTCTTCTTCTATACCCACCCATACCATATCCGTATCCAATATTCCAAAGCATAGTCAAGATGCCGGCCTGGGGCAAAGGTCTCATGCAGTCCGACGATGACTACGATATCGCCAATGACCTCAGCGACATGTGCGACTGCGACCTCATATACCCAACCGAAGAAGAGGATAGATCCGGCACGATCAAAAAGCTGAACGACGGCCTGCTCTCCCAGAAGTTCGAAAAGATCCTCTCCGGTGACTTCAAGCCAACTACCAGCCACCACAAGCGAGAGCGCATAGCTATCATCTTGGGGATGCTAGCCATGGAGCTCGGCGTTATCATCGAAGACCGCCACCTGAGGGCGCTTCGAATCCTTCGGCCCTGGCTCCCTACGCTCGAGCAGCAGTTGCAGCTGGTCACGGCGCTCGACGAGTACAAGAACGATGGGACACCCTGGGAGACAGGTTCTAAGGGTCTTATCGATACAAGACGAGCTGAGGAACGAGGTCCGCAGAAGTATGACCTGGGTGATGAGTTCTGGTTCAGCGGCTTAGGGTAAGTAGTGGACTTTCATTCTTGCTAGATTCCTTGGGTATGTATCTATTCAACAATTATCATTGTACCAGTTATTTTGCAAAACGTATCGTTGATAGTACCGAAAGATAAAATCCTTGATTTCTTAATTTCTTAGCCATCGCTTATCTGATACTCGGCGATACATGAAAATGTGAGCTAGGTAGGAGATTACTGACCATATCTTCATCGACAGATTCTCTTCAGACGAGGCTCCCTCATCAGAGATGGTCAGCAAAGTCTGTATGAATTGCGGGGACAGAAATGTCGACCTTCGCTGTGGTCGGTGCAAGATGGTTCGTTACTGTAATAAAAATTGCCAGCGATTTGACTGGTCAACTCACAAGAAAGTTTGCGAGGCTCGTGACAGCATTCGCAAATGCGTGAGTTATAATACCCCCCCTTAAGTCATCTAGACCAAAACTGACAACATCGTTAGCCTGTCCCTGATCTCAAGTAAGATCTAGAGATCAACCACAAGTTTTTCGTTTGTCAATCGATGCGTTTGATTATAGTTCCATTCGAGGCAATGTTTGATAGTTTAGCCACACTACTGATTCGATAGCCTACGTCTTTTCGTTGAGATTGAGATCTCGGGAACGTAGTGAAACGTGAGATGTGCCTTGCAGGATCTTTACTAGGTAGCACGGGAGTTCGAAGATGCACCAACTCACAAGGGAGATAGCCCCGAATATAGATGAATTCAATGCGCTGTGCTACTACCATCTCGAAATAGACGTTCGTGGGATTTATCTGTTCAAAGGGTATCGAGGGATAATGGATGGTTACTAATTTATAAATATCTAATTTTAGGCAATATCGAAGCTGGCTGGAGTCATCTTAAGTTATAACGTAGTTAATTTATTTAAGGCTGTTAGAAGCGTGAAGGGCATGGGTGTGAGAATTTTAAATATCCAGAAGAAAGAGCAAAACCATCTAAAGCAAGGGAATAGAGAGAAGACCTGTTGTTATATTGAAAAGGTTGAAGATAGGTAACTTGGAGCATATAACAATGCTACGGTCTCAGCTCAATCTGATAACATATGTAGGTAGGTAGTGTATAGATATGGTGGTATTTTGTTTCTGGCGTTCTGTAGATCTTCCGCGGCGAACTCGGCGGAGGGCTGAAATTGTGTAGTAGTTGCTACCCGATTTAGATTTCGATATCCAACGGTATGCCCAGAGGATGCAGGCCGTTTCGAGCAATTTGTTTCGCCATGTTGTTTCAGAAACAGGGTGAAGGCCAATCAGCAGCTGTGGCGCGTAAAGGTAAAGCTTAGTACTACATGTAACTATGCTGATTAACAGAAGTTGCTCGTCATGTTATTCATTAGCAATGAATACCTTAGGTACATATCACTAAAAGTATAGTACGTTTAGTAGACTAAGATACCTTATGCAAGACATAAGGGGCCAGCCGCGCTGCCAAGGATGTGGCGCCTGTATTCCCAGGTTCGATCGGTACCATGCCAACTATTGGCTGAGGAGCTTTTAAACCTGCCCGACCTGGAAAGCGTCCACCTCCACAAAAACCGGAATGCCGGGGACTAGCTGGTCTTTCCAGCAGACTTCGACCTTCTACTTGCGCCTTACTGTCGCATCCTAAGAAGCATTTCCCCCTGAGGCTCCATCTCCTACTCTAGCCCGATGTTTCTACTGTCTGGTTAGACTACCTATCTAATGTTTCCAATACAGCAAATTCGGTGGCATATCCTCCAACCAGCACCATTCTGGCTCTCCGGTCTAAAGATGTGAGCCCGGGCTCCCATGCTAGCTTCACATGTCCGCGTCTCTAGGGAAGCTCGTTTCGCCAATTGACTGGTGGACGGCATAGGTCCTATCACTCCGGTTTGTATTGAATAATGTGGCCCTGTCCGAGGATGTTCGAATGTTCGAGCCATCCTACACATCAGCTCTGCGCGGGTTGAACGTGACATATCAGGTAGTTGGCTGGGATCTTCTTTGGATTCCTTGGATTCCTTGGATTCCTTAGGAAGGTTGTAAAACTTTGATGGTGCCTTCTTCATTTATTTATGGCCGAGGGAAACATCTGGTTATGTTTTATCTTCTCTCCGACCTTCCCTCGGAACTTCCTGAGTCTGTTATATTCGACGACTGTTGCTGCCGAAGTTGTTAACTCTGTGGCCAACACATTCCCGTCACGTAGATTCCATCATTCTTCAACTCGGTCAGCCGTCGTTCCTTATGCGGCTATCACCGATTGTCCAATTTTTGTCTTTCATTATATCTACAACTACCTGACTCAACTTACTTACTTGGCTGTCAATCAAAGCAAGTGAGTGATTCTTTGTCACGGCTATCTTTGTTCTCGACTCCGCCACGTGCTTCAGCTGCTTCAACAAACAACAACGAAATATTCAGCCGCGTGATTGTTTGGTTACAACACATTCATTTCAAGATATATAACTGTTGCCTTTCATACTCGATCTTGTCTTGTTACATATTTAAATTCAAAGGCACTGGTTTGCAACACCGACCTCGGTTCTCTCACTATACTATCGTAGCCTTGCCCGGCGCAAGTGTTTTTTTTCTTCTTTTCCACGCATCCATTCCTTACGGTTTATTTACCACACATATCTGTGGCCTACGTTCACATTCCTTCTTACGCGAACTATACTGTGCCAACAAGATGTTATTCACAAACCCAATATTGCGCCTTGGTGGCGCCCTAGCCCTCGGAGCTGCAACGACTCAAGCTGCCTACACAATACAAGATTCGTACAACCAGACAAACTTTTTCCAAGGCTTCGAGTTCTTCAGTTTCCCTGATCCGACAAACGGGTTTGTCAGGTATCAGACAGCGATTGAGGCAAATGCCCAGTCGCTTGCTGGCTTAGCCAACGATGCCGTCTACCTCGGCGTCGACTACACTACCATGAATCCGATTGGTGGTCGTGGATCCGTGAGAGTCAACTCTAAGAAGACTTATAGTAACGGTCTTATTATTGCTGACATCGCCCATCAGCCAGCTTCTCAATGTGGAACTGTAAGTATTCCTCCCTTCCCAGCACACAGTCACCCAAATTCAATCCCAAGAGAAACATAGTGACTAATCTTGATATTCACAGTGGCCAGCGTTCTGGACCGTTGGTCAAGACTGGCCGTTTAACGGGGAGATTGATATTATTGAAGGGGTGAACCTCGACACCAACAGCACTTACACACTACACACTGGTCCTGGATGTACATTCTCGCAGGGCGATTGCAATGCTCCAGGAACCGGAAACCTCGGCTGCGGAACTTCAAGTCAAGACACGCAAACATTCGCAGACGGCTTCAACGAGATAGGCGGCGGTATCTTTGCTGTAGAGTGGACTTCGTCAGCTATTAACATATTCTTCTTCCCGCGAAACGGCGACATCCCTCAAGATATCGCAGCGGGACAGCCCGACCCTAGTACCTGGGGCAGTCCTCAGACTTCGTTTTCGGGAGAGGGCTGTGATATCCCGAGCCACTTCAAGGAGCACCAGATCGTCTTCGACACAACGCTGTGCGGCGACTGGGCTGGAAAAGCATTTGGCAGCGACCCGGTCTGCTCCTCGAAGGCTTCCTCGTGCCAGGACTACGTGGCACAGAACCCAGAGGCGTTCAAGAATTCGTACTGGTTAATCAACTCAGTCAAAGTATTCTCGGACGGTTACGCGACGAAGCGAGACGGCGCTGTCCGGAGACGATTTACAGCGTAAATGTCGCATATTACACTTGGGGGATCAGGACAGATTTTGGCATGATCTCTTCTACTAGGGGCGGCTTGGATTGTGGCGTCGGAAGGAGAGAGGAGGGGCAGTGATACCCAGAGGTTCTAAGCATGGCGTTTTATTCATTTTGCGATTTTATCCGGCAGGATACTAGGGTGCAGGGGCGAGAGTAAAGATACCCAATAGGCCGGGTATCTCGCTCCGATGGATAGCAGGGGACTGACATTGGGATTTTTGACTTTTCTTCTTCGACCTGTATATATTCTTCACCATTTATTCCCCCCCTCTGAGGCCTCGGCGGGCGGTGGACTATGGGCATGCGCACATAGCAAATGGACTTACCGTTCAGGAATTTATGAAGCATTGACTTTTAAGATTCTTATTCTACATTTAATCCTTGCCGCTTTTCGCACTCTTATAATGTAAATGACGCGAGTAAGTTTTCGTAAGGTGAGGTAAATTGTGTGTGTGTGTGGTGTATAGTAGGGGCACGAAAAGGAGAATATCTATCGGGTTAGTTGCACTTTAAAACTAATATTTTGGTAGTAATTAGGTGTAGTAACTAGGTAGGTAATCTATAGTACGAAGCTTAGATTGAAATACGAAGAACAATAACATAACTTCCTGATGCTATTCCTTGGCTTAATTATCTAGACAGGGGAGCAAACCCCTAAAGGCCATAAAGGCCCAAGTTCGTAAATTCTCTCATGTCTTTACAATAATACGTCAACGTAAAATGCATGTTTGAAAACTTGGTGTATGTAGGGTCCGCATTCCTCTTCACTATTTATAGAAGAGCGTGTCGTGAGAAGTGTTATTTTCACGCATGTAATAGATGCAAAAATCTTCGGTTTCTCTTTCTTGGGATCAAGAAAATATGGCTGAGAATCCCGTTTACCCATTGCAAATCCCTGTCTCTAGATCTATAGTATATACGTTGCCGTTATATCAATGCTTCATTGCCCCTTAAATCCTAGCTCTAAATCATTCTTATGAACTCCATTCCCTCCCATACCGTAGTCTAGACCCGCAATGAAAACTTGGATACAAAAGGAAAGCAGATGATTGTTATCCATAGAAACCGTATCTTCTCTTTGAGACATGAGTTAACGTCGTTATTTTGCTTCACATCTCTCATGGGCTTTCCAGAAGCGCCTGTATCAAAACATATCCCAGCACTGATGTAACGCGTTTCGGACTCCCCGATTGGTAAGGGTTCAGTTGTTCGTTAATGAAGACAATGATGGAATGGGGCCTCGTGGTTCAAGGTCCCGAAAGGATAAAGATAGAGTGACTGGATGACTCCTGATGGCGACAAAGAAGTATGAGCCCTGATTATCCTTCTATATCCTGTCTCGGTTCGGATGCGAAAGTGTCGTCGGCGAAATCAGCCCAGTAAAGACAGCTCAACCCACATCAGATATTGGGAGCCGCATTATGTAAAACCTGCATAGACATACTAAAGGGTCATGCGAACGTGTGCTTCGGGTTCTTGCATCCAACAATGCGGCAACATCTAAATGGCGGTGGGAGGTGTCTAAGGTCACCTTTCGTCTTGTCCGAGAATAGATTCAGCCAGGATAAAGTATTATCCTGTAAGAGATCAACAAGATATGCCCGCGATCTCTAGACGTAGACGATTATAAAAAGAAGCGGCGTGTATATCTTCTCAAACGTGCAACTGAGTTCATCCCGCATTTTTACTTCTTAGTGATGTGAGTGATGTGCTTCTTCCATTATCCAGCTCCCAAGCCCAGGAATAAGAAGGCAAAGAAGCAAGCGAGTTTGAGGAGGGCAGTCGGCAGTAACGTGGTCCACGATATTCCGTACGAAGCAGCGGACAACGCACTCTATCAGGAACCTACGGGAATAGGAACTGCGGTGGCGATGTATCATCCGTACTTCAATTACTTCCCATACGGCATGGAGCAGTATTTTAAAGACGAACCCTACTACGTAACGCGTGGCTCGTGGGCCTCGCATGGAGAGGCGCTGAACGGCAGCCTGGGCGCGACGAAGGAGATCGGGGAGAAGATAGAGGAGCTGAAGGGCGTCGTCTCCGGCGGAGTCGCGGTGGCCCGCGCCTTGGCCGGAAGCACCCAAAGCACTCTCGAGGGGGCCCGTGATGATATTAACAACACCCACGCAGTGGTCCAGGGCGTGAATGACGCGCTTAGACAGACCCATGATGCGATCAACAAGCACTACAGCGAGCACAGCACCAAGCAAGACAAATGTGTCGCTGAGATCAGCAAAGTCCGATCGATGTTAGAGGAGGACGCGAAGAATAAAGAACAGGCGCGCCAGCGACAGCAAAACATGCAAGAAGCGTGGAACTACTACCAATGGTTTCGACAGGCCGAACAGGAGGCTAAACAGAAATCGTCGTCGTCGTCGTCGTCGTCGTCGTCGTCGTCGTCCAAGAGTAGTAGCAATACTCATCAGACCCAACAATCAAGCAGCAGAAGAAACAACAATAACAATAACACGACACCACATGAACGACAGGCACCCCTCGACGACCCGTACGTGTCTGAGGGACAGGGACGAATGCCTCCCGACCACCAGAAACTCAAGCGGTCAGTTTTGGAATGCCTGGGCCAGATTCTCGGTGAGGCGGGTTCGCACGCTGACCGCCCCGAGCGAAACCCCCAGAACCACACTCACTTCCATGCCTACGCCCCGACATCTCCACCGCCGTGGGGGGGTGCCCAGCACCATGCAGACCCCCCCCGCGGCGGCTGGCATCAATTTCAGGCTTCCCCTTTTCCGGCCCGAGACGATGCTTACTACCACGACGGCACCAGCAGCAGTACTCGCGGTGGTGGCCCGGGGAAGAGAAATGCTGCTGCTGCTAATAGATACCAGTACGATCCGGGTATGCACAACGGGGCGTGGAACGGTCGTGGCCCTAATTATTACTAAGTACCTAGGTTACCTACCTAACCCAAGATATATATGTCTATGGTATGAATGTATGTATGTATGTATGTATGTATGTATGTATGTATGTATGTATGTATGTATGTATGTATGTGGATATGTATTAGAGCCCAACCTCTTCCCCTGATATTAGTCATTACATATCGAGCATGAAGTCGGAATCCTCACGTGTCATCATGGGGTTGTTGTTTCTACAACATACATACCAACCTAGCACCATTACTCAGGGACCAGGTTCTGGAACCCCCAGGTCCCTGTATGTAAATCATGCTGAAGCCGCAAGTTCGACGGCTGCTATGACCACTTGGCTGCCCCGCCGTGATTCGAAGTAGAAACGAACTTCTCTCCTTTCATCTCGGGGTGGCGAGGTGAGTGGGGAAGGCTCATTTTAGTCTTCTCATGCGCGATCTAGTTGTTTGGTTTCGGTGGAGGTGAAAGATGTAAGGAAGTCAAAGAGCTGAATGGAAAACCAAGATTGTATTTATGGAGGTTCTAGAAATAGGTACCGCCTAGAGATATATGTAATTACCTAAGCACTACCTACATACATACATAGGTATGGAGCAAAGAAACAGGAAATAGATATCTTGGTTGGATAGGTACCTAATCGGTGATCAATACGGAATATGCCCAAGTGTGTGTGTGTGTCGCGCGGCAGAATCATGCCATACAGTTGTTTGGTGTTTGTAATTTCGGGAAATGAAGGAAGAATACGTTGATGTAGGCCAATGAGAGATACTCGAGATATGATTATTCTCCTATCTGGGCGCGATTTATTATTTTTGTTTGCTATCTAACATTAGCAATGAATAATAGTTTATAGCCTAAAGACTTTATAACTGTTAGATGAATATACGGCAGGAGGCAAACAATCATAATAGACTTTAGACTCATAATACTGGAACCTTACACTATGTACATACCTACATGTATCTTGCATATGCGGTACTTTCTACAATTTCTTATTCTTTATATGGTACGCATTGAAATAGACTATGATTGGCTAGATAAACTAGGAAGATCCTTAAAAGCCGTTTTTGCTTTAGTGTCGATGATCTAATTCTATAAAGGGAACTGCACGCGGCTGCGCTAGACCATCGGTTCCTGGCTAGTGCACATGGGGCTCCAATGACAGGAGACTGAGCTATGACTTTATTCCCGCTTTCTCTCTCTCGTCTTTCCTGCAGGAACAATAATGAAAAAGTAACCCTATGTAGGTACCGAGCTACTGTAGGAACACGCTGCACGCGCTGCTTGCCAAGATGTCTGTTTGTGTTATTCTACCAGTCAGAGAGTTGTTGTCAGATACATACAATTACCGAAGTACCTAACCTGGGTAGATAGTTTTCGTTTTCTTTGATCTTTCTTATCGACTTGGTCCATGGTCTCCATTCAACTGACAGGCTGACAATATGAATATGGCCATGCGGATTACACGCGGGTTAATGGCACGACCATGCCTGCCATGCAGCAATAGAACTGCCCCCTTTGAAATCAACCCTTTGTCGCAATCAGGGCTGTTTGTCTGTTATTCGTGTTACCCCGGCAGGGGACCGTAGTCGATAAACCCCCTTGTTCCTTCCTGGAAGACGTTTGTCGATCCACATTAGTCGGTAGGTAGTATGCCTTAATTAGACCTAGCTTTTTAACCCGGCCCTTGTCTCTGAGGTATTATTGGAAGAATTTGGAAGAATTTGCAGCTTTGCGAAAATTCCCCCCGCCCCTCCCCATGTTCTAATAAAAAAGGCCTTGTCGCCAGCATCCACACCCACCGCCTATTTCCCTTCTTCTGTTCCTCCCCTTTTAACGTCCCCCTCAAGCTTCAAGCACCGACTGCGTTTCCATTCCCTTTTGTAACTGCAAACTAATTTGCATTTTTGCAACCCACGCTCCTTAAATATCCCGTCAGTTACGCGGTTACAGTCACTCCTTCGACAACAATAAATAACGTCCTAACGAAGTACAATTACAATTACAATTCCGATCGTCACACAAGATCAGCACATCGTGATATCCACGCTCCCTTCAGATCCAGTGATTTTCAAGTAGCTATTTTAGCTTACACGATTGGAACATTTCCGCTCCGGCGATCTCGAGGAGGATATTCTAAAAAAGATACCCAATTTTATTTTCCATCATCAAAATATTCAAGATGCGTGCCTCATCTTTCATCGCAGTGGCTGCTAGCGTCGCGTCCGCCGTCGCAGATACCACCACCGCCACATCTTACCTGACGGCGACAATCACCATGACCAAGTGCAGTCCTGACAACACTGCCTGCCCGCTGTACACGCCCTCTACCAGCTCTGTTCCGACGACGTCATCTTCGATCTCAACGCCTCCTGCTTATCCCACCGTCGCGTTGAACACCACTACCACCAGCAGCAGCTCTTCTACCTCATCTACCTCTTCATCTATCATCTCTTCCACTTGGTACCCCATCTCCAACGCCACTACGCATGTTGGACCTACTGCCTACCCCAACGTCACTTCTAGCTACGCGACCCCCACTACGTACGCTACTCTGACTTCGGTGGTCTCCACAACGCCGGCTGCTACGCCGTCGACCTCCGTGCCCGCAGTCCCCACCACCGGTGCTGCTGGCCTGGTGTCTGTCCACTCAGGTCTGCTGATGGGTGTCGTAGCTATGGGTGCTGCTCTCCTAATCTAAGCGGAAGGATAGAGGTAGCCGAGGAATTGCCAGATGTGACAATTACCCTTGGCAAACCTGAGTTCTAGCTCTCGCGAGGTAGAGCACTCGGCTCAAAATATTCGGACGATATTTTTCTTCACTTCCGTCTAATCACATTATTAATTCTCTGGGGAGGGACGTTTGGCGCATTTCGGAGGCGAATATATCGGTTTAGGAAAAATCTGGCCGGGTTTGGCCGAATACCCCCTAGGCGTGACAGCGCTTTCTCTATGTCTATAATTGCAGGCTTTATGTTGCGAGTGAGTGAGTGAGTGCGGTGCGGTACTTACAGGGGAGAGCATGCGGAGGAGTTGGATGGTTCATGTTGCATATTCAACTGGAGCATCGTGTTGGTTATACGGAGCTGACTCGACAATGACAAATATTTTCCGTTGCCAATGCTTTTTTGTGTTTCTTTGCTGTGAATTTTGTAATTTTTTTGTTGTAGTCCCCTCGGCCTCTTATAGATATAGTGATGCGGGTTGAGTGGCCAAGTTCTGTGCGAAATACCGTAATTCTTATTCTAAGCTATATTAGCAGTGTATACGTTAATATTGCAATTATAGTATAATTTGAGCTAGGCAGTATGTAGCTACATAAGGTGAACTGTGTTTTAAATAATTTTAACTTATAATACTACCGTAGCTCGGAAATTGTACAAGATCTAATATAAGATGGCTCGATGGTAAGGCCGATTTCGCTGGGATCTGCGGGTATAATGTAGTTGGTAATAATTAACCCCAGGGGGATGGATGGATATGACAGCTACCTTTCCCCACACCGGTGAAAGGTTTTCGTGCAGTTGTTAACGCGCATCTTATTGATTACCTACCTCTTTACGGGAATCTTGCCTCATCCCGCAACCCGCAACCCGGTTTGGAGGCAACAGACTTTCGGAAAGGCTCCGGAGGTCGGGCCAACAGAATCCATCTCCCCACCATGATGAAACCGGGAATCCCTGTCCAGCCACGAGGTTGGAGGGTTGGACATACCAGGCTGAAGGGTTGGGTAGCACGGATGATGATATGAACCTTCTGTACGGAATATGTTGTGCTTTAGGTAGATTTGAAATTGCTTTTGCTCACGTCAGGAACAGGGAAACCGGGACATATTATGGTGTGATGTTATTTTGATATAAACACGGAATTTAGTAAAAGCGAAGAAAGAAAGGGATTATTATTAAACATGAAAATAACAATAACAATGAATAAAAATAAAAATAAAAATAAAACACGCACACTCCAAGCCACTGCTTCCTTTACACATACATATTATTCCCCCAACGTTCAACGTGAATAAACAGTTGAGAAGAGGTAATATTATAGATGCCCGTCCAACCAACCCATCAAGAACTCCCCGCTCTAGATCTGTTTGTTTCCTCCGTTTCCTCCGTTTCCTCCGTTTCCATTCCAAAAATACAAACAAACCAAAAAGCATAGACCATAGGCATTTTTAACCGTGAAATGCACTACATTCGTTTCTCTCGCATCTATCACATAAGCTTTTTTTCGAGTCGCAGTCGTGCGGACAACCTCGATCTCGATGGTCGCACCACTTTTGCGCGAGTTCTACCACTCTTGGTCCCCGATGGCTCGTCCCAAGCGGCGATATGTCCTGGACGACAACACGGAACCATCTGTGGGCGGAAGAGGGCTCCGCGTGGCTGTACGTAAGCTCTAGCTCCAGCTCTGGCTCCAGTTCTGGCTCTGGCACTCGGAGAACCGAGCCACGGTCGAGTCCATGACGCACGGCATCCATTGCGGCGGCTGCGGGTGGTTTTATAAGCAGAGATGGACTTATCGGCCGAACGAATTATTGGGTTATCGCCGCGCGGCCCTCTCTTTCTCGCTCGCTCTCTCTCTTTTGTAGCACGAGCACCTGATCCAAAGGTCAGTCCGGTTTGTGAGCTGTCATATTGAGGGATCTCTGGGGGATAAGCCACTAACGAAAGAGGGAAAAAATACCCAATATTAATACCAAACCCTTGTAAACTCTTACGGTCCCGTCAACAAGAAGAAAGAAGAAAAAATTAGATGCGGTTTGCTAGCAGTGTCTCTTCTCTAATGTAGGTCTTACGCATATACATATACATATACATATACATATATATATAGCAAAAGGGCAATCGAGCGGGAATAACCTGCGTTGGTGCGCTACGAGAGGATTCCCGTGGCCCTTTTTATAAGCAGTAGGCAAACCAACCCAGACCAGATTTATCTCGCCTACCCAGGTTTTTTTTTAAAGCCATGCTGAGGACAATCCTCCTCGTCGGGGAAAACACCCTACAGACCAGTCTACGGGGGGGGGCTTTCTTTTTCCTTTCTTTCTTTAGAAACATGTCAGACTCCCTTATCCGAGGGGTTGTCTCGACCAGAACTCACGTCTACTTGGTTGAGTGGCATCTCGTCATTTCGTGCCCGCTACCAAATGTTGCCATAAACCATTTATTATGTATACGTTTGGTATTACATGTTTGGTATTACATGTTTGGTATCATCACGTCCAAGTGGTAGTTCTCTTCATTGTTAGCCTCTTCAATCATGGCCCAAGTAACGTCGTGTTTCATGTCTATATCTATTATATCCGGGTCAACGACCAACATCTCGGGTGCCCGATCAGGATGTTGCCTTTTAGTTTCTGCTCTCCTCCTTTCGAGTTCGGCTTCGGCCGTCTATCTCTAAGAGGGCGCGTACCAGGAATGAAGTCGGCAGTCTGAGAAGGAATTTGGGAAAATCAGACCGGCAAGTTTGGGGCCTGTCTTATCATTTTTACCTTTCGGGGGTTTTCAGACCCAAGGACTTGGATCTGCAACACACACCTTCCGGGCGTGGAAATGCGGTGCACGTCCGGAACGAAATACCCGTTTGGAAAGAAAAGGTAACCCTTGGCCGTCCCAACATTTGGTCCTTTCAACTACATTCGACCATGCCATGCCATGCTATGCTATGCCATGCCAGTCATTAACGCGGGCTATTTTATCAATAGCCCTGCAACCCAAACAGGTTCAGCCCCTGTCGACGGTAGCATCTGTCATGATGAACGATGAACGATGAACCACCTACGGCGAAGGGGCTCTAGTGGGCCGGCTGGGCGGCTCCTTCGATGCATCTCTACCATGGTCTCCATCTCCCCCACGGTGAGCGTTCCCAAGCGACCCGCACGCTCTAGCAATATTTGGGTAGGTATATACTGTAAGCTCTAATGCTGACCGTCGGCCACTCAGCAGGACGGTTATGTGTGCTAAGCGAACACAGCTGAAACTGGTAGCGTGTGTGTACGTATTATGGTACCGCGTGCGCACTATCACGCACATCACGCACACATTAGCTGTTACGTGCAGCACAGCTATCACGTCACGCCCCTGTACGAAGTGCGCGACCTACGTAGGTAGCGCAAGGCAAGGGACTCTGCAGCGGAATATCATCGACGCTTGCCTCGTCGCTACTGAGATACGGTGGGGCCGACGGCCACTGACTTCTCAACATCCTACCCGAGCAGTCGGGACGTCAAATATGTCCTTTGGTATCGGGCTCAAACGCTATTGGGCAGCAGAGTGACATGGGATTTCTCCAACTGGCGCTTCTCGGGAAGTCGGGGAGTGAGGGCTAAGAATATAGAACAGCGGCGCTTCGGAGTTAGGAAGGTAAACAGGTAAACAGGTAAACAGGTAAACAGGTAGTTTGTTCGTGAGCTTGTTCGTGAGTTACGTTTCGGCATGAGACATTACCAAGTATGTATGTTACAAACTCACAACCTAGTCGTACACCGCTTATTACGGTATTACTAGAATAGAAATGTTCAGGTCTGATGACTAGCGAGCCGTCATTAGGATCTGGGCTTTCAATATTCCAGCCATGTTAACGGAACTAGGTGAGCTAGTGAAAGGAACTTCCCATCACTAACTACAGGTAGTTAATAGATATATTCGAATCAGTTTATGATATGTGATAAGAACCGTATTAGGAAACCCTTGCAGTCTTTCTATTCCTAATATTGGATAGTACTTGGGTTTATAGAAAGGATAAACTTACAAAGTCAGACGACAGAACTTGGGAAACAGGATTAGCAACCACTGCACATACTCTACCTAGTTCGAAAAGGAGTTGATCTGCGAGCAACCTCATAGCCTGTGCCTGTGTCTGTGCCACATAGGATAAAAAGGGAGACATACCACAGGTACCTACGTAGGGGGGAGGCTCAAGCCACGGCTATAGTTTAACGCAGCAGCCAATAGACTATAGTATATTCCTTATACATGATAGCCTCGTAGGCTGGTAGGCTTGCTTGCTGCAACCCACCGGATGTACGCGCAGGGATCCCTTGCTGCAGATACCCGGAAGAAATGGAACTAACGAGCTTTCGGGGACACGGTGAGAATCTGTTATATTAAGACCTAGGTTATACATATTTCTGACTGATCCGTTTCCATTATTTTTCTGCAATGGACTTCTCCCACGGAACCGGTACCGCGGGCAGACCGAGCCACCTCCTTCGGGATGAGCGAATTACGCAAACATCTTATTTTCTTCTTCTTATTTTTCAAACCGACAAGGCTTAGCACTCAACTTAGGATGCATGCATGCGCTCCCTGCCGGAGTATAAACGTCAAAAGGCTGGTAGCTGTTCACGAACTCGTTTTGCTCGTATACTGCGGACGCAAAGACATGGCGAGACGATACTTGATTCCCCTGTCTCTTATTGTTGTAGAATATAGTGTTTAACAACCACCACATTCCGCCAAACGGCACCTACGATTCTAACCCTTAATTATAGCCTCTGATTTTAAAGAGTGGTTACTTAGAACAAGTGAAATATGATATAATAATTTAGATTTATGCCGTCCCCTAATCAAGGCTAATACGTAATGACATAGATATTCTACTTTATAAGAGACTGTCTTAAATTTATATGTTACTACATTACCCTCGATGTCTGATACTCCGATACTCACATCGTACACTTTGCGAGGAACAGCCTCAATTGGAAATGCTCGAATTGCCAACCTTTCATTCTTGTTTAAGTTGTAGGTATTTAAGTTTGATACATACTACGTACAACTCGTTATCAGATATTTAAACAACAATAATAGAAATCCCAAGGTTTCGGTAAAGCTGCACATATGCAGTTAAACCTTAAACGTCAAACCTTATTCAATTATGTTATGAAGTCATATTCAGGTACGAGCGCCCAATCAAAACTTAGACCTTGCGCCAATTGCTTTTAGCCTTTAGCGGTCTCGTGCCGGCAGGCTGGTAGCTGGTACAATATGTATGTACAATACATAGAGCACGGGTGAAATGTCCTAACCCTCCTAAACCTCCTAAACCTCCTAAACGTGCTATCGATTAGGCCGTCTATCGTTATCTGATCCAGGGGATTCGTTCTCTCATTCTTCCGACCTCGAACCAGGAGCATCCCATTCTCAACCTTCAAAGACTTATAAGTTTGATTTCTCCTTCTCCTTCCCCATTCTTCTTTTATCCGTTCAATCCCCTCGAAAACTTGATAATATTATTTGCGACACGATGGCAGACACCGGGGCCGCGACGTACTCGACCGACCCCGCTCTATATATCTACACGTCTCTTACGGCCGGGTCTTCTCACATCGTGACGGCTACTTCGCGATTGGAGACCATCCTAAGAGCCAATAAGGTGCCCTTCAAGGCCCTGGATATCGCTGTTGATGATAAGGCACGTATGATATGGAGTCGAAGGGCTGGCAAGGATGCATCTGGACGACAACGCAAGCTTCCCGGTCTGGTACAAATGGGCCTGGTTTTAGGCGTAAGTCGATTACGAATATAAGCTTCTTAAATATACCACTAACGAAGTGGTCGCGTAGGATCTAGTAGAGATCGAGGAGTGGAACGAGTACGGCGAACTGAAACAAAATGTCACCATCTACTACGACGACTTCACCATCCCGCCCAAGAGTCAGGCGCCTCCACCACCTGCCCCTAAAGTTAAGAAGCCAGCCGCCAAATCAACCCCTGCCCCTGCGGCGGGCGCTTCCGCACCACCACCGCTACCCGAAAACGATAAGACGAAGGCAACAGCGTCATCCACAAGCAAATCCGGAGTAGCAGCCAAAGCAGCTAGCACCGCCGAACCCGTCCGTAGTATTGCTGAGGAGGCCGCGGCGAAAGCGAAGCAGGTGCATCTGGATAGCTTGCGAGCTAAGGTCTACGGGAAGAAAGATAAGGACGCTAAGGAGAGCGAGGACGTTAAGAAGTCAGACGACAAAGACACCAAGGAGAACAAGGAGGAGCCTAAGGAAGAGCTCAAGGAAACCAAAGAGTTGGTGAGCAAGACTACCGAAAAATCAGAAGCCGAGGATATTAAGAAACCCGATACTACTGAAGCAAAGGGCGTCAAGGATACGAAGGACACCAAGGCTGTCAAGGACACCAAAGATACCAAGAAAACAGATGCCAAAGACACCAAGGACACCAAGAAAGTAGACAGTAAGGATGCTAAAAAACCCGAGAGCAAAGATACCAAGAAGCCCGACACCAAGGATGTCAAGAAAGTAGAAAAGAAGGATCCTAAGAAACCAGAGGCCAAAGAGGTCAAGAAGCCAGAAACCAGGGTTATCAAGAAGACGGACACCAAGGACGTTAAGAAATCCACTGCCACCGCCAGTACTAGCTCTAGTGCTAGGAAGGCCACCACCACCACTACTACCACTACAGCCTCGTCCAGAGCTAAGGCGGCAGCGGCAGCGGCAGTATCCAAGCCTAAAGTAACGACTTCCAAAGCAACCCCCTCGAAAGCAGCCCCGTCGAAAGCAACTCCTTCGAGAACAATTCCTTCAAGAGCAACTCCCTCAAAAGCTACTCCTGCCAAGACGACTCCTAAAATAGTCCCGATCAAGCCTAAGACTACGACTACATCATCTAGAACTACTTCTACATTGGCTAAGCCTAAGGCTACGATATCAACCCGCTCGGCTGCCGAAAAGCTAAGCAAGCTGAAGATATCGGATAAAGATAAGGAAATATCGGCAGGCGAAGCGGCCCTGCGGTCGCCGACGGCAGCGTCATGGCGCGAGACTACCCCGACGGAAGAGGACGTGCTGCGCCCCATGCTGCAAAGCCCGACAACCGGGTCGTGGAGGGCAGACGGCACCGGCGCGACTCCTAACATAACCGAACTTCTCCACGGTGCCGTCGTGGAGGAGGTGCCTCCCGAGGAAATCGCCGAGATCGAGAAGGCCGAGGCGATTCCCGAGGCGACTAGTACGGAGGAGGAAGATAGTGAAGATGAGGAGGACGACGACGACGAAGAGGAGAAAAAGGAGGGCGAGGACGAAGAGGAAGAAGACGATGACGAGGATGAAGACGAGGATGAAGAAGAGGACGACGACGACGACGACGACGACGATGAGGAGGAGACGGATGAGGAGGAAGGCAAGGGAAAGGGAAAAGTTGAAGCCAAGAAATAATCAATCAACTTTATAGCATTCAATACGTCGACGATGCCGGCGAGTTTTCACTTCACTTTTCACTTTCCACTTCCACTTTCCACTTAATACTGCTTTTCAGCAGACCATAGGGGCGGGGGTGCTAATTAGATACCAAATTTGCGAAGGAGAAGACAAAATAAATAAAGACCAACTATCGATTATTATTATTATTATTATCATCTTAATCTGCGAGAACTTTAATAGCGGTACACGGTAACTGTTTATTATTGTATCGACGACGGGAACACTTCCTTTTCTTCTTTCTTCTTAGACTAGTGGCACGTTATTATAATAGTTAATACTTAATAGTTAACAGTAGATATATATATCTCTCTCTTTTATACTAACCTAACCTAGTAACCTACCTATAAATACCCTTCCGGATATACTATACTACTATACTACTTACTACTACTCTTACCATCTATATATATAACCCCCTTCCTCCCTTCCTCCCTCTATCCCTCCCTCTCCCCCCCCTCACAATTTTTTGACGGCACCCAGAATGTCCATTTAGTAAAGGCCCTCGTCATCGCTCGCCGTCCCGTGGTTAAACTTCGCTGTAGGTGAAGCCTGTGCTTTACCCTTCCCCTTAGTCGTCGTCGTACTCGCGCTCCCGCTTCTCCTCCTCCCATTCGTCAGGCTGCTCCCACCGTACGCGCTTCCCGCCTCGTTCCCGCTCCCCTCGTCGCTGGCGTTGGCGAGGGCCTTCCCTTTCCCCTTACTGTTGGTGCTGCTGGTGCTGGTGGGTGTCGTCGGTTTGCCTTTGCCCTTGTTGCTCGAGATCGACCGGGACTTTGGCCTGCGGAACGCCGGCGTCGCGGGAGCCTCGGCTATTTCTGGCTGAGGCGGTGGCGGCGGCGACGACGGCGGTCGTTGTTGTTTCTGAGGTTTGGAGTCATGGTTTTCGAAGGTGGCGCGGACTTGCTCGTAGTGGGCGAGCTCGCCGGCGCTGACGCTGGGGATTAGTTCCCGATTCGCGTCGAGGAAGTCTTGCTCTGTGACCATGACGGCGACGTCCTCGGGCGTGGCGTGGTGGTCGAAGAAGTTAGCTGTGGAGATTGGACCGTGCCCATCTTTCTCCCGCTCCGCGTTGATGATCCGAATCTTGGCGTCTACTAGAGACGCCTGTCGCGTAACCGCCTTAAGCATGGCGTCACTGCACAATGCGTAGAAATCGGCACCCGTGTAAGTGAAGGGCAGGTGCTCTGCGACAGTCGGCAACGAGACGGACGGGTGGAGTGTAAATCTGTAAGCGAGGTTAGCATATGCATATTATGAGTTGCTCCCCTGTGCAAGGCCAAGATAATTGGATTAAAGACATACTTTCTTGTCAGGGCTTCCATAATTGTGATCTGCTTTTCGTGCGTATCGGACACGCCAAGGTAGAGCATCTTGTCAAATCTACCGGGACGTAGCAACGCCTGATCAAGTAGATCGGGTCGGTTCGTGGCGCCAATAACGAAGACGCCGCCTCCCTCGTCGTCTCCCCCGGACATGCCATCGAGTTCTGCTAAAAGCTGGGAGACGATACGATCCATGACACCTCCGCTGTCGCCCTGGTTTCCTCGTTTTGGAGCAACCGAATCAAGTTCATCGAAGAAGACAACGCAGGGTCTCGCATCTCGGGCTCGCTGGAAGACGCGGCGGACATTGGCTTCGGACTCTCCAATATACATGTTTAGCAGCTCGGGGCCCTTCACACTGAAGAAGTTCAAGCTGTACTCTGTGGCAATTGCCTTTGCTAGCAGCGTCTTTCCCGTACCGGGTGGGCCGTAGAACAAGATGCCGGAACGCTTCTTCATTCCTTTAGCAAATAACTCTGGCCTCTCCAACGGAAGCTGGATGGTCTCCATCACCGCTTCCTTGACATTGCTGAGACCACCAACATCGTCCCAGGTGACGTTCGGAATCTTCGGTGCGCCAATTGCGTCTGCGAAGTTCTTCCGTGCCGCGTCCACAGCGATTTCGAAGTCAGCCTTCGTTAGACACCTCGCAGACGAACCTCCTGCCACTTGTACATCGCGAACGGTGACGATCGAATTGCCGTTCGAAGCCTTCATCGATAGTTTCTCCAGGCGTGAGTCACGTGCGACTATCGCACGCTCAACCACATCAACCAGATCGCCAGCAACTAGAGCTGCCGTTTTAATAGCGACTCCACTTAGCTCAACTTCGGGGGCTAAAGATACCCCTCGGTTTTGTATGATGGATTGTAAAATGCCTTCACGTTCGCCTTCATCAGGAGCACTCATATCGAGCTCGTGGGTAAAGAGCCCCCTGATTCCGTCCGGCACCTTGTCTACTTCGGTTGTCGTCGCAATTAATACTCTAGTTTCACCGAGTACTTCCTTCATTGCAGCTACCATCCTGTCGGCTGTGAGAGCCTCGATATGTCGAATAAGCAGAGCACAGCATTCCGGACCGCAACTCATGGCACGATCTGCTCGCGCCTTAAGGAGGCCTTCAGTTTTGACATCGCTCCCTCCAGCTCCACTCTCATTGACCACATCGTAAGAATCGATAGTGAATGTATGTAGACCAATGTCTGCACAAGCATTGGTAGCCAAAGTGGCCTTGCCTATGTTGCGTTGGTTTGATACGAGAAGAACAGCAACCGGGGGCATTTTAAGATGAACAGCTCGTTTACTCGTAGCAGCCGCCAGCAGCTCTCTCAATCGCCGTCTCAGGGGCGGGGTAAACCTCGCTTGAGGCTGTGCTACCGAAGACAGGATACTAGATGTAGGTCGAGGAGCCTCTTCAACGCCTAAATAGTAAGGCCAATTGCTATCTTTCGTGCCTGGGAGACAACTCGTAGTGCCGCCAGATTGGGCAATCTGAGTCGAAGAGCTGTCAACACAAGCTACATCACCCCAAATATCCCCGTCGTCCTCTTCGTCGACAGGTTCTATTTTTTGACGCTCTATGTGAGCGATTCTGAACCAAGCGACGGCGTCCGGTTTTGATGCTGCTACTGCACCGGACTTGCTTGAAGCCGTAAGAGCTACGACGTCGTCGAGAACGAGGCCATCACCGGTATTTGTTGATTCCTGGAGGGTACGTCCGAGTTGCGTGTCAATTGGAATTCCAACTAAGTCGCCAGTTTTGACTACGCGAATACTTCGCGCGAAATGATCCTTGAGTCCACCGAATATAGCTGTCTGAAGAGCTTTCTCGGAAGAGACGGGCGTCCGTATTTGCTGAAGAGTAACATCGCGAGCGTAGGGAGGGCGGGTCGATCCGGTGATTTTTGCCTGGCCTGGCCTCGGAGGCTGAGCTATTCTTTTCAACGGAGATATGCGAACGTAAGGCGCGCCCTCTAGGTTTGCGAGCAAGAGGGGCGACATATACGCACCCGGTCCAGTATGCGTTGGAACTTTGGAGTCAAAGAACGAAGGTCTTCGATTATTTACATCGTGTCTCGAGCTTGGGATTCTGGTCATGGGCCTATGTGAATACCCCTCCGGAAGCCCATATATCTTAGCTGGTCGCCATACTGACTCTTCTTCCCCTGGTTGTCCGAAGCTACCTAGGCCGAACAAGCCAATTCCGTTTGCGGGAGGTTCCTCTGAAGCCTCGAGTCGGACCCAATCCCCAGAGAAGCACCCTATCCTAGTTAGAGAGATGATATCTACGTATACCCTTACTTCTTCATCGTCTTCGGCTGTTGGTTTAGGGTGAAGTAATTCTGATGGTATTTGGCTCATCAAGCCGTGAGCCTTGAAAAGGCGACCCTTGGGACGATCTTGGCGAGCGGTTGTAGCAGTAAAACTAGAGAAGACCGAGGGGGTATTCACGCCGTTGCCAATCCTCCCGCGCCCAAGTGTTAGTGGCGTTCCTGGCTGCATGGTAGAGACGCCGCTAGCATTTGTAGGTGGCAACGATGGAGCTTGAAGAGAGATGATCTCGTCAAGTGAATCGTCGGACAGTTCATCTTCATTCTCAGGTTCTGAAATTTCCGTGTCAACATCTGTTATAATATCCGACGTCTCGCTCGGACCATCCGCCTTATCTCGTTCTTCGGTAGCGGAATAGAACTGGTCGGTTGCTGTGTCCTCACCATCCTGGTCAACGCTATTTAAAGCCTGGGGCGAGGTAATGGCGCCTCGAACTTGCTTCGACTGAGTGTGACCCCTCGTCAAAACGATCTTGGTAGTTGGTGCTAGGATGCCTTGTGCTACAGGCTCGCAAAGTGTTACCTTGCCGGGTGTAGGAGGTACGTGTGTGATAGAATGTGGAGGCAATGGTAAGGGGAATAGGTCTCCGTTATGAACAATCCTCAAGGTCCCCAAAGCTACACGCAACGCAGCAGCGAGGCGATCCGTCGATACATCAGGACCCGCGACCGCTTTCTTTTCAGCAGATAGATGATCGTTAAAGAAAGTCCCTTCTCCATTCTCAAGTCTCTTCACCAAGTCACTTTCGAGGTGTACAAAGACAGTATCCAAGGGGATGGTTGCCACGTCTAAGACCAGAACTTCAATACCGCCTCTATTATGGCCAGAAAGCCTCGAGGGTGCAACCTGCTGCAATATCGTCGCAAAACTTTGCAGGGCAAGGGACGAAGGAGAGAATTGGATTGTAGAATCGGTAAGGGAGGTGGATTTAGCGATCGGGACTATAGTCCAATTTGTTCGTTGAGGATTCGGAGACGGTGTCCACGGGGCAATAGCAACATGTTGAACGTTGAGAGGTTGACTGGTCTGATCTTCACCCGAATCTGTATCACGTTAGGTCTTTATTAGCTTTCGACACGGCTACGTGCAGAGGGCCTAAGCATCCCCTCGAGACACTCACCGTCTTGTAAGTGAGGGAACAAATCAACGAATAGGTTGTTGGATAATATGCCAACATCTCCTTTCATATGATTGTCTAGCACGAGCTTTGCTGGTAAGGCAGGCTTATCCTGCCTTCTCCTCCGCCTTCGCTTTCGATGAGCACCTGGATCGCGAGTCGGAGTAGCCATGTTCGCGACGTATGGCTTTTAGAATCTTAAGGAGCGGTACGCCGTGATAGAAATCATTAAGGCGGATCAGGGCCCCGCAAGTCGCGAGGTGTCGCGCATAGAGGAAAGTGGAATTCTAGAGGACAATTATTTGACAAGGTCGATGAATGATAGGATGACAACTCATAAGACCCCACGGGTACATATATTATTCCGTCGCGTCGTATACCTTTTTCTTCTTCTTCGCTTCTTCGGGTTGCTTACACCTGCTATGTCAGTATGTATAATTTTGACCGAGGCATTGTCCATATTCGACAGGTGCACGGGCCAGCAACTAATAATACGAGAAGTGGAATAGGTAAACCAACGTTATCGATATCGACTGATGGTGTGACGGTGGACCCTCTAGTACCTAAAGTATTTTTGTATTTACCACATGTGAGTTTAGGTACCTATTGTTGT